GGACACGGGAGCGGCTGGAGGAAGCAATCTGGCTGATCGAGCAGTGAAAGAAGCTGCTAAAGGAACGTTTATAATGCCTTTGGTGCCTGTTCTGGACTTGTCACAATTTGACCCTGAATATTTGTCTGCAGATTTAGAGGTTTTGATGGAGAAGGAGCTGACAGTGGATGGAGAAAGAATAAGAAAGGAGTTATACTGCTTCCTGAACATTTAGTAGAGCCAGTTATGAAGCATTTGCATGGGGCCACTCACTATGGAAGAGACTCACCAACCACCTACCTATATCAAGCTGTGGCTCACAGGTCCAGGAATTTTTAAAGCCACATGAAAGGTAATTGCTAGATGTGTCATGTGCCAGAAGAACAACCCCAAAACAGATCCTCATCAAAAGAAGGAAGGGAAACAATACCAAGGACGGTGCCCACTTGAGGACTGGCAAATAGACTTTACCCAGATGGTGAGGGTCATCTTTACCCAGATGGAAGGTGGAAATATCTGTGGGTCTTTGCATTTGAAGGTGGAAATATCTGTGGGTCTTTGTTGACACCTTTTCAGGATGGGTAGAAGCCTCTCCACTAGAATGGAGAAATCCCTGAGGTAGTGAAAGACTTACTGAAGGAAATAATTCCTTGCTTTGGCCTCCCAGGCAGCATCCAGAGCGATAATGGACCTGCTTTTGTTTCAGAAATTACATGGAATGTTAGTAAATTTTTAGGAACCACGTGGACCCTCCACACAGCACGGAGACCTCAGGCCTCTGGGAAGGCAGAGAAGATGAGTCACACCTTGAAGAAAAAGAGCCAAGCTGTGTCAAGAAACTCACTTCCACTGGCATCAAGCTTTGCCTATTGCCCTCCTCGAAGTGGGATTCAGTTGAGTCCTTATGAAATTGTGTACGGGCAACCAGTTCAGGCTATGAGTGGGGTAGGAGGTATGTATATAGATCAAGAAGTGAAGGTAAAGAAATATGCACAACATTTAAGTTAGACCTCAGCTGTCGTCCATGACCTTGCTTGTATTAGAGACCTCTCCCACACAGGTTTGGCTACATTCCTTTGAGCCTGGAGACAGGGGGCTACTCAAGACCTCCAGAGGGCCAACTAGAAGAGAAGTGGACTGAACCTGGGGATGTGCTCCTCACCACCCCCACCACAGTCAAACTGGCAGAAATAAAACCTTGGATTCATCACACCCGAGTAAAGAAATCACCGGAGGAACAGTGGACCGCCGAACCTCAAGAAGACCTCAAAATCATCTTTCAAAAACAATGACTTATGTTTTTGTCATTGCTTTTTATTTAACCCCATATGATGGACGACTTATCCCTTTCAAAGGAGATGAAAATATTTGGGAATATTTAGCAAGAAATGTTCTGAACATTCTGACTTTTGTCTTGCAGGAGGAACTTGTGTTGAACAAGTTTTCACTTCATGTCTTCTTGGAGTTTGTACTCCCTTGGAAAGCCTTAGAAATTATACCGTGTTTGAGTATATCCATAAGAAAATGGCTTACTATAATATTTATAATTGGGGACCTGTGGTCACTCTAAAGGACAGGGAAATGTTTTCCTTAAAGGTCACTAGTAGAGCCCCAGGTAGCGAGTGTGCAACTTTTGTCAATGTACTAAAGACTGTGCTCTCAGCAGGTGTGAAGATGCATTGTACCACCACCACTAACTTACCTCATGCCTTTGGTCATGGTACATTGCCTGCAGGATGGTTTCTGTTTGGGGAAGGGTTGACTGTTTATTCTTATGTTCCAGCCAACAGTCTGGAGGACCACGCTCTCTGGGAAGACTGACAGTGTTTATGCCTCAGAAGCCCCACATCACCTGGGCTGGATGGGAACGGTCCCTTGCGCCTGATTGTAACAGTGATTCATACGTGTTCAGTCCCACCGAAGATGTGCCTTTGACCATTTGTAATGCCGCCATGGTAACCTATTTGAATGTAGAAAGTAGATTAGCCTGTGCTGTGGCAAAAGCTTTGAATGCCACCTCACAGGCCAACAGTGCCACTAGTTAAGACCTAAGACAAGTCAGAGAAGCCATAGTGGAGAATCGTGTAGCTATAAACTACCTCCTTTTAAGACATAATCATGGGTGTGAAGAATTTAAAGGACCCTGCTGTTTCTACCTGACTGATAATTCACAGCTCATAGAGCATAAAATAAATGACAAAGAAAGGGACTCTGTGGTATTGATTTGTCTAAACTAACCTCCCTGCGGCCTATTATTACTGGTATTAGAGAGGCATTTGCTGTTTTCGGTTTCTTCAATATCATGGCTGGTTGCACACAATGTGCCCCCTCATGTGGAGCTGCAGTTCAGTGCATTTCGAAGCTCCCTACCAGGTGGTCTAATGCTAAGATACGTGCTCAGCAGCAAAACGAGCATTTCCATGACCTCACAGAAATAAGCTAGTTTAAACTAACAGTGGGAAATGGTGGGGGACTCGAACGTTGGAAAAATTGTACTTCCGGGTAATAGCTAATAAGCTCAGTAGTCAATGTATGTAAAAAGCAGCCCTGGCTGGTGTGGCTCAGTGGATGGAGCGCGGGCCTGCAAACCAAAGGGTCACCGGTTTGATTCCCAGTCAGGGCACATGCCTGGGTTGCAGGCCAGGTCCCCAGTTTGGAGTGTGCGCAAGGCAACCACACATTGATGTTTCTCTCCCTCTTTTTCTCCTTCCCTTGCCCTCTCTCTAAAAAATAAATAAATAAAATCTTTTTAAAACTTTCCAAAAAAAAAAGCTTTTGTTCCAGCAACTGAAGGTGTGCCCCACCCTGACTCCAGGAGGTCACAAGCAGTCCCACCTCTGTGCCTCCTGAGGACTGAAAGCAGTCAAACTGTTACCTGGACCATTGTCCTCCCGGGTGAGGCGCCCACCGCCCAGGACACAGGAGAAAGAATCCTGCAGCTTTTATCTGATTACCTTTTCCCCTGCATTCCAAACCCCTTACCTACACTTTTCTTCTCCTTTAAAAAAAGATTGGTTTAAAATGGAATTGAAGATGGCCTGTTAGGGTACAAACCCGCCATCTTCTCAAATCGTTGGCCGTCTGAGTAAAGCGCCCATAGATTCAACCCCTGTCTGCTTGTTGGGTCTGGTAGGTGCCAGGCAGCGTGAATGCCGGCTTTTCTGGTTTCCTAGCCCTGACTTCTATCTTTTACTTGCTCCTCGTCCAAATACATAATCAATTCTTAAGTCGTATTCAGTTTCTTAAATCTCTCCCTGTCATAAGTTGAATTGTGTCCCCCCAAAAGATGTGTTAATCCCCAGAAACTCAGAATGTGACCCTGTTGGGAAACAGGGCCACTGCAGGTGTGATTGGTTAAGATGAAATCACGCCGGACGGAGCAGGGTTCTGGGAGGTGTCCTTAATCCACTGCAGCTGGGGTCCTTGTGCTGCGAGGAGACAGACACTCGGGGAGAACACGTGTGACGGCAGAGGCAGACATTGGAGTGATGGCAGCTGCAAACCAAGGGCACTGAGGACCGACGGCCACTACCAGAAGCTGGGGAGAGGGGAGCGAGGTTCTACCCAGTCTCAGGCTGCAGTACGGCCCTGCTGACACCTGGAGTGTGGACTTCCAGCCTCCAGGGCTGCAAGGCCGTCCACACAGTTATAAAATACTGTCATGGAAACCCTGTTATTTAGGCCGCCAGGTTTGTGGGAATTGGTTACGGTAGTCCCAGGACACCGATAGGTCCTTCATCCTTTCCCACTGGACCCCGGGTCGTCAGACTCACTTTGCAGCAAACCAGCTCCGAGCTGGTTTTCCAGCTTCCAGCGTTGCCTCCTTGACCTTCATTCTCCGTGTAACAGCCTGAATGAGCTTTTGAGGCTCAACTCACTGCCCTGTTTACACGTGTCTGTGGTTCCCCAGGACTCCGGTCCAGGATTCTGCTCTGTCACCACAGGGAAGTTTGTTGTGTGTTGGCGCAGTGTTTAACAATAGGCTCTCTAGCGGGGGTGGGGGGGGTCTTGATTTGTAGCATCTACTGGTTTCTGTGGTGTAAATACTTTCACCTTGTGAATTTGAAGGTACACATGTGAAATCACTGAACCAAATTCTGTGCTCTCTGCTCTTTACTCTCTTCAAGTGTATAGTGCTGGGGAGCCGGACCGTTCAGAAAGTGGTTGTTGTCAGAACACGCAAAAGTCTATGTGTGAAATGATGCAAAGGGCTATACATAAAAACAAAGGATCCCAAAGGAATGACCGGTTGAAAATATGCCCAGATGGAAGACTCATGTGACTAGGAAGTGCTGTTTGCGGTCACGTGTTGGAACCCAAAGCCAGCGATAACGTCTGCACAGATGAGTTGATGAACCAGAAATACGAGTCCCGGAAGCAGGCCCACCTCCTCTCTGTAGCTTCTCAGACAGAAATAATTCCTCCTTCCTTAGTAGTTCCCGTATATTTATATTCAGCTGCTTTTTAAAAAAAATTAGAATTGCCTACAGAATATATCCATACTCCCTAGCTTGGCAGAGAGGTCTTCTTCCAAATGAGTTTCCAAAGAAGTTGAGCCGAGACGGCAGGGACACAGGCTTTGGGGCTTCATCAGCTGTGGGTTCAGCTCCTGATCTGCTACTTACTGCTGTGAGGTCTCTTGCTGGTGACCTGACCTCTTGGCCTCAGTTTCTTCATTCTCAGACTTCTTCCTTGTAAGATTAAAGACAAAACAGCATGAGACATGTCAGGTGTCTCACATGCCACCTGGCACATGTTAAGGATGCAAGACATGCCTGTTCTCCCCTTTTATAGGCTAAATATTTCCTGCCAGTTCAAATCACCTTTGCATTTTTGAGGACCTCGTTTGCCAATGAATGAAGTAGTTCCTTTACTCAGCCACTGTAAACTGAATCTCTGATTCCGTTGTCTTTAAAAACCAGTGGTTTTGCAGAACCAGGACACAGGTAAGTTCTTGGGCTCGGGGGTCAGGGAGACAAGGTAAGTTCCCATGAAATTTGTTCTTTCTTTCTTTTCTTAAAAAAAATAAGGAATGCTTCCTGAATTTGCGTGTCCTTCCTGCACAGGGAAGGACCATGCTAATCTTCTCCATATTGTTCCAATTTTTAGTATAGATGCTACCAGGCATGAAAGTCATTCTTAAATGTGGACCAAGATGCTAAAGGGTGGTGATGAGCAGCCCGTTTGTGACTGAACCTCATCAAGTAAAAGCTGTAACAGTAGATGACACTGGTGCCCCCACTAGAGTCTGGGCACTTAACCCACATCCTTAAATGCAGTCCTTTAACCCTCACGTCAACCTAATGGGGAGGAATGTTATCCCCATTTTGCTGATGAGAAAACAGATGTTCTGAGAAGTTCATGGTCTGCAACGTTCCCTGTACACCTACTATGTGCCATGCACAGTTGTAGGCGTGTGAGATAGAACGTGGACAAAAACATAGAAATCCCTGCTCTCATGGAGCTGACATTTGAGGAAAGAGTGCAGAAACAAAATGGAGTCACGATAGTTGAGCTGACAAAAATCAGAGTGGAGCAGAACGTGAGGAAAATGACTTCACTTCAGCTAGCCTGGGACCTTAAACTTGTGAACTTTTCGGTTGTGTATCAATGCCTGGAGGTATCTAAATTCTCTAGATAACCTTCTGAGAAACTTAGGAAAGAATGTTCATGTGTCTAGCCCATGGGACATCTGGCAGATCACTATCTTGGACCAAATCAGAAGCTAAGAATGCGGGACTGATCCTTCTCAAATATGTGCTTTTTATGATGAAAACTCTCCACTTTTTTCTTTTCTTCAGAATATGTTGCATAGTGCCTAGTAGTTTTTCCTGAGTTGTAATTCACTTGCTGAAGATCCTTGAATAAAACTTTGTCATTTAATTCTAGCAAAGCCTCTAATTCATTAGCACTTGGTTGGCACATGAACAAGCCAATAAACAAGATAAAGAAGTAAAATATAATGTATGTCAGGTGGTCTAAGCACTACAGAGAAACATAGAGCAGGAGTTTGAGGTGGGGGTAGGCTACATTTTGATTTAAGATGATCAGGGAAGGCTTCGTGGAGAAGGTGACCTCCGTGCAGAGATGTGGAGGAGGGGAGGAGTGGGTCACGTGGATAACTAGTTCAGAAAGTTGCCGGAGTTACAGGGAAGTGACCATGGGCTCTGGAATCACCGTCAAGCTCTAGAGCCCACCCTCTCATGTCATCAGGTCAAATTTTTCAAGAGGCAGTGCTGCTCCCCTCCAAGGTGTGTGTGTGTGTGTGTGTGTGTGTGTGTTTGACGTCCCTGGGCTGATCCTGTTGGAACCCTGACCTCCCCCTACCGACACTTTCCAGGGGCGGTGGCCTCCCATTGTTGATTTTCATGAAAACTTGGCAACTTCCTGGTTTCCCTGCCCTGAACCCTGTTCCACATTCCAATGGCTTTATTTGTGTGCTTTGGAGCCCTGCCAGGGCTGGGCCCCGGACGGATTGCCATGGTGATTTCCTGCTCCGTCCAGACAGAAACGTCTCAAGGATGTTGCCCTTGGGCCTGAAATAGTGCAGGCCTGCTCTCGGCAGGCAGCAGGATGAACTCTGGCTTGGTGAATTGAGCTAGGAAAGCTACTCCTTTTCTCCAGCTTTTGAACTTGTGCAAGCCGGGGAGAGACTTCTGGGGAGCCTGCTCCAGGGCCCCGAATTATAATCCAGTTGTTATATTTAGGGCCTACCTCTGAGAGATGGGCTGAAACAGAGCAGCTTCTAAAAAGCCCAGCTTCCCTGGGATATAATTTGCATACAAGGAAATGCACCCATTTAAAGTGCACAGTTTGCCCTGGCTGGTGTGGCTCAGTGGGACGAGTGCCGGGCCTGTGAACTGAAAGGTCGCTGGTTTAATTCCCAGTCAGGGCACATGCCTGGGTTGCAGGGGCCCCCCATTTGGGGGCCTGTGAGAGGCAACCAATCGATATATCTCGTGCATGCTTCTCTCCCCCTCTTTCTTGCTCCCTTCCCCGCTCTCTAAAAGTAAAGAAATAAAATCTTTTGAAAAAAGAGACCATAGGAAAAAAATAGGAAAGTGAAGAACAAACAGAACAGAAACAGGTTCCTAGGTGCAGAGAACCAACTATAGTCACCAGATGGAAGCGGGATTAAAAGGCTGGGTGAGACAGCTAAAGGTTGGGAAGCACAGAGTGGTGGTCACGGAACAGTCGTGGGGATGTGAAGGGAAGCATAGGGAATACGGTCAACAACACTGTGCTAACTCCCTGTGGTGCTGCGTGGGGACCATCCTTCTTCAAGGGACCACTGAGTAAATTATATCATTCTGCTGTGCGCCTGAAACGAATACAAAATAATATTGAATGTCAACTGTTATCGAAAAATAAAAAAATTAAAAATTAAAAAAAATGAATCATGTTCAGTTAGTCCCGGGTATTTACACACACGGTTCTCATGATTCAGTGTTTACACACAAAAATAAAGTGTACTGTTTGCTGAGTTTTGATAATGTATGCACTTGGGGAATGACTCTCCCATGAAGATATAAAGCTTTTTCATCGAGCCCCCCAGGTTTCTTCCGGGTGCTTTGCATCACCCCCTCCCCCACCGCTGACCTCTGTCACGGATTCATTTTGCCTTTTAGAATATAGAGGTTCGTATGAAGGGAAGCATCTAGCGTGCATACTTTTGGTGGTGGGCATCTGTTGCCCAGCATAATGTTTCCGAGCTCCATCCGTGTGGTTGGTTGGGTCAGTAGTTCAACCCTTTTCATAGCTGGTTCCATTGTGTGGAGCAAGCATAGTTCATGCTTGGTGGTAGGCTGTTCTCTTGGTGATAGACGTTGGGTTGTTTTCAGGTTTTGATCACTACCAATAAAGTTGCTAGGTATATGTGTGTATAAATCTTTGTGTAAACATATGCTTTTATTTCTCTTGGGTAATGTCAGCCATGGAACAGCTGGGTCATATGGCAAATGCACGTGTAATTTTATAGGAAACTGGGCGCAATTGGCTTTTGCTCACAGGGACTGGAATTACTGATGCCTCATGAGTTGGGTGCAGAGGCGATTTCAAGAAAGGAGAGCAGGGTCCTATTTCAGTGAATAACGTGCCTCTTTAAGGAAGTCCATGAACACCTGCTGGTAGGAAGCTGAGAACAGGTGGGGCGAGAGTCAGGTGGGGGAACTGGCTGAGGAGCAAAGTCAGGTAAGGGACTGGGTGAAGGAGCGTTGTGGGGAATTCGGAAAGGTGGGGGAGGGGTGGCACAAAACAGGGCTCAGGATGCAGGCTAAAAAAATCTCTGTACAGTCTGGTTTAAAGTGATCAATGGTTCTCTTTGGGCAGCTTGCTTGTCTCTCTCCCCCTCTCCCTCTGTCTTCTGTCTATCCGCTATTGTCCAGGAGAAAGGAAGTCAGAAAGAGGAACACATATTTGCCACTTTGTGCTGGACACTGGTCATATTTATCTCGTTTAATCCTCAGAGTAACACAGTGAGGTTTGTGTTCTTCCTCAGTTTCTGAGACCAAGAGTATTTTAATGATTAGTTGTAGGCAATCTTCGAAGGAAGGTTAGGTGAGGTCACTGCTGTTCGTAGGAGAGGGACAGCTCAGCTGCAGGCGACGCTTGAAGGGATGTCAGCAAGTGAGAGAGAAAGAGGAAAAGAGGTAAAGAGAGGAACACCTGTGACAGCTAATAAAGAGAGAATCTGAGGAAGGAGATGAAGGGCAGCAGGTGTCATCCTGCAAAGCAAAGGGTCGCTGGTTCGATTCTCTCCTCTCTTTCTTCCTCCCTTCCCCTCTCTCTAAAAATAAGTAAATTAAATCTTAAGAAACAAAGTTACTTGACTAGTAGCCAGTGCCAGAAGGGCACCTTGACCTTCCCTTATCTCCTTGGATGCAGAAACTAAGTCTCCAGTCTCAAAGGAAGGCACCTTCCCACACCCACCTGGAAAACACCTCTTATTGCTAGAGCCAAACAACTCAGAGTGAAAAAGTCTATAGAATGACTATTCTCTAATTTATTACTTTGTTTAAGTTCTTCATTAATAAATACCCAAACCTTGTTTAGATTCCTTTCTAAAGGGAACCAACTTTCTTTGTCTGGTCCACTTGTTTTTTTGGTCTAAAAAGTATAAAGTTTCCCGGTTTTGTTACCGAACGAGAGGTCCGAGGAGGGGCAATATCTGGCCCACCTAGGGATGCCAAAACCTGCCACAGGGGTCCCTCCCAAGGACAATATACTAATATCTACTGGGCTCTTCTGTCTGCCGCCAATTGGCAAGACATCTCTCAATGCCAGAGATTTGTGAAAAGAAAGCAAAATGTTTATTTAATGCTATTTAGGCTTAATGCCTCTACTAAAATATCAAAGTCCTTTGGGGTATACTCCTACACCCACACGGTGCTCCCTTCTCCTACTGTCCCAACTCTGGGTACCGTAAATCAGGAAAAGAGCACATGTCTGTTTTTCAGGCCGCTGGAATTGTCAGCTGTGTCACTGTGCAGGCTCTCGAGTTAATCCAAAGTACTGTGGTACCCTCTCATGGTCCACTGGCAAGAGTTCTTTGTACCCAGTTCCAGTCAAAGTCTCTCCTACTTTCCAGGCCACGTGGCCAAAGGGGACACCCCAAAGCCACATGGGCCTCCTCTACCAAAGCTGCAGGGGTTCGTACTCGACCAAAAGCATGTGGCTTTCTTCTTCACCTGGCTGCAGGAATCTCCATTCTGGCAAAGCTGCATGGTTTTCCCTTTCACCTGGGAAAGAGGGGGTCCTCACTCTGCTGAAGCCGCGTGGCTCTCTACTACATGATTGCAGGGGTCCTCACTCTGCCCCAAACCGCGTGGCCCTCTCCTCACCTGGGCAGTTATCCCCTCATGTCCTGGAGCCCATCTTTTCCAAGCTCTCACACAGGCATTCCCACTCAGGAGTGCAGCCCCTAGTTCCATCCTGGGTCAAAGTCACTCCCTTCTCCCTGGCTCAAAACTTAGCCACAGCTATTTAACATATCTATGAAACCAGTTAAAGTTTATAGATATGTTAAATAATCATTCCAGAGGTTAGCTGCAAAACTGTTGCTATGCAAAACAGCTCTCAATGGCCCTGGTTCTATTTGTCCCTTCCCCCTGGGGGGTGGTGGTGAGGACATCTTAATATGTCTCTCCAATATTCCTACATACTTTGAATTCTGAACACCATTGCAAATCTTTTTGGGGGGCTCCCCCTTGGCTGCACCCTGTATCAGTTTGATCATTTCTTTGAGCCTCATGTTATGAAAGCATAATATTGTGATTCTTCTGTGCACACATATTAAACTGGCTTTCCTCCTGTTAATCTAGTCGAGTCAGTCTTATTTGATTACTAATCCAGCTCTAAGAACTAAAGAGGGTAGAGAGGGGGGAAATTCTCCCCTGCTCTGGCGACAGCACACCCGGACAAACTTTGTCACAAACCATCACACCTCCCACATGTTCCTCAAAGGGCCCATCCATCTTTCCTAAAAATCATGCACTTTCTCCTGAGAGGCCAACCCCTTTCCTCTTTCCCTATTTGTGGGAGTGACTTCTCTCTCGAGTCCCTCCGGTGCCATGGACATGCGTGAATGAATATGAATATGGCTGAGACATGCTGGATCTGTTTGGGGAGGAGGAGTGGGCTGTGGCCAGTTTCTCAGGGGAGACAAAGGCCCTGAGCCTCTTTCTCCATAGCCTTTTATTGGGTTGTAATACACAGGAATACAGGGCGGCAAGGATCAAACAGTAGATAACATTTCAAAGAAACCTGAGGGCTTAGTCTGAATCAGTGTCTGTCAGGTAAGGGGGTTGCATAGACTTTGGGAGACATACCCATTTCCTCTCGGACCCTTATCATATGAATGAAAGCACTCTTAGCAGATCTCACAGGTTTATCAGCAAGTCTTTGTGATACCAGATTTTCCCCCAGGACACACTCTAGCAAGGCAAGGAGCTGCACCTCTCCCCAACAGGTATTCAGGCTTAAGGGGATTAGAGCCAGGAAGCGCTTCTCCCAGAGAACGTGGGGTTGCCCCCCACTGTGAGGGGTCTTACCCGTTACTGACTTCCGACCAAGCTTTGGGGGCAGGGAGAGGAACTGAAGCAGCGTTTGCTACCAGAGACAGGCTTCGTCTCCTGAGGCTGGCATCCGAAAGGTCGTTGCTCGTCCTTAGCCACAAGGGGTACAGATACAATTCCTAAAATCAGGCAGAGCAGTCTACTACACCTATTTAAACAGTATTTAATTCTGAATTCTAGAGCCACCTCTTCAGGGTATTAATTGTTCCTGGGTATCTCCCATGCAGACATGAGATATGCACCCATTTGCTTTTTGCTTTTATAAATATTCTTTTTAAAAATTATTTATTTACTTACTTTTAGAGAGGGGGAAGGGAGGAAGAAAGAGGGAGAGAAACATCCATGTGTGGTTGCCTCTCATATGTCCCCCACTGGGGAGCTGGCCTGCAACCCAGCATGTGTCCTGACTGAGAATCGAACTGGTGACCCTTTGATTCCCAGCCTGAGTTCTATCCACTGAGCTATACCAGCCAGGGCTATGTAGAAGTTTTGATTGCTTTGTGCTTTTAATCTGTCTTTTATTACAGATGTCTCAGCCAAGAACTCAGAAGTATAGTAGGGATTATAATTATATTTCCTTTCCTACAGAGCCGAGCCTTTGGGAAGTGTTGTTATATAACGTGCACTGTAATTCCCTCCTTAAAACATTCGGGGAAAGCACTCAATATATTCATTTTGCTTTTGAAGTCAGGAGTGTATGTATGTTTTAATGGGCTTATGTGTGAGATTGCCTTTAAGTCTTGGGTAGGTACAGGAGATTCGGTTACATCTGAGTTACATGTAAATGGAAAAAACAGAATGATGTATTTGAGAGAGAATAATCTGCCCAAGTCACCCAGCCGGATCGGACTGACTGACTCCAGTGCTCTGTCCTGTGCTCTGCATGGTCCCGCTGAGGTTGCAGGAGCTTGCCTTGGTGCCAGAATAAGATATGTTCCTCTGTTTTGTAATTCCCAGTTTTTTTTTTTTTTTTCGGGGATTCCACCTGCAGATGGATGGCTGGTCCCCGTAACCTGTGAAGGAAACCAGAATATGTCACCCACAGTATGCCTCTTCAACATAATTGTTTAGAGTTGAGGGAAAGTAAGAAACAGAAAATGCAGGGGAAGCTCTCCATACCTTTTCCCTTTCTGCCTAAAGGCAGGGTACAAAATTTCACTGGCTGGAGTGACTTCAGACTCTTCTCAGCCTGGCACTGGAGGACTCAGCACACGAAACTTACTTGGTTAATTTTTCCCCATATATTTCCCTTCACATAGTTTGCCAACGTTGGAAGCCTAAAACCACTTTCATTTGTCCTGCCACTTCCCTACGAATGAATTGTTCTTTGTTGAAGATGCTGCACAAGCCTGAGCTCTAAGCCATCTCTCTGAGCGATGTGTCTCTGAGTTTCTCCTGTGTACACATGAGATATGCATGTCAGTCAAGTTCTGTTTGTTCTTCTCTTGTCAATCTGTCTTTTGCTACAGAGCCCCGACTGAGTACTTAAGTAGCTATAGGATCATTTTTGCACCCCCCGCCCTGCACCTGACTTTCGAAATCCACATATATGGCGTTTGAATTGCAGAAGTACAAAATGATATTTATCTTTAGAAGTCTGATGAAGAAACTCACATCCCTAAGTCCTGATTTACAGCTGTGTCCACTTGTTGGGTTTCCCCTAGATACGTTATTAGTTTTGTAATTTTCATTGTGTGAGAAATATGCCAGAGTTTCAGAGCTGGAAGTGGCCCCCAAGATAATTTAGGCCAATTCCCTTATTTAAAAAAATATTTACTTTTAGAGAGAAGGGGAGAGAGGAAGAAAGAGAGGGAGACAGAGAGATAGCAACGTGTGAGTGAGATATTGATAGGCTGCCTCTCACACACCCCTAACCGTGGACCTGACCCACGACCCAGGCATGTGCCCTGACTGGGATTTGAACTGGTGACCTTTCGGTTCACAGGCTGGTGCTCAGTCCACTGAACCACACCAGCCAGGGCCCAATTCCCTCATTTAAGTGATGAAGATCTGAAGCTTAGAGAACGGAATTGCCACCCCCTCTGCCTCTACTTTCAAGTCCTTCCACGTTTTATTTAATCAGCGTTTCCTTATTTCTGAGCATCCTTTTTCAACCTGTTCCGCTGTGCTCATTCCCCACCCTGCCCATGAAACTGGTCGCCTCCTTGTGCCTGCCTGCTCTCTGCACAGATGGCTGTCACAGCTGCCTGGTCTGTTGGCATGTGTGTTGCTGTCAGGCTGGGAGCTTTCTGAGGACAGGGACAACGTCGAGCTCATGTTTTTTATCCTCAGGACTAGCACAGTGCCTGGGAAATACCCAAGTACTCGGTGAATTTCCTTTTATGTTAAATGTAACACGCATCTGTAAACACTCAAACATATGGAAGGCGATCTTCCAGGCGTTTTTTATGCGTGTACATAAAGAATATGGAGGTGTATACATCTTTAAAAACATAAGACTCCTGCTATAGAAATGATTGTTATTTCTTTTTCCTAATGAACATTTTTCCCAAATTCACTCCACTCTATCAGCCATCTATTTCTGTGTAGGGAACCATTCTAAAGCTAATCAGTGGCTTATAACCACAACCATTTGATTTGCTCAGGCTTCTGGGGGTCAGTATTTGAGCTGGGTTGAGCTGGGCTGGGCTGGGCTGGGCAGGGGGCGGGGAGCACCGGCTCGTCTGCTGGTCTTGTCTGGATCACTCTCTAACTGCAGTCACCTGGCAGGTTGGTGGGGGCCTCAGCTAGGATGAGCACTGCTCCTTGGTCTTATCCCCCAGAAGGCTAGCCCGGGTTTCTTGGCATGGCGGGCCTAGGTCCCTGAGGCCTGCTGCTTCCCCAGGCTCTGCTCAGGAGTGAGACCCAGGGCCCCTAAGGGGGCAGATCCTGGAGCTTGTAGAGTTCTGGGGGCCCTCTCTAAGGAAAATTTAAAAGTTACTAACACAAAAGCAGGTGTAGGACTTGGGAAAAGGCCTCCGCAGGTGAGGTGCCCAAAGCCTGAGCTTCACGCGCTTCCGGGCGGTCCATCCTCCTCTGGTCTTCGCTGCTCCTGGGGCCTCGGTGAGCCTTTGTGGATGCCACTGTCATCCCCATTCTCAGGAACGGGCTGGGGATCGAGGACAGCAGGGAGCAGCCACACAGCAGCGCCCACACTTCCCTGCTCTCCTCTCAGTCCTGGGGCTGGAAAAAAGGCTCTTACTTGATGTACATTCTTCTGAATGTATCGAGACATACATTTTGTGTTCTGAATCTTTCATGACTTAGATTTTAAAATTCAGCACCCTGCCCCCTTCCCTTTTTTCAAATATAGCCTCCCCATAAATGTAAAAGGTCTATTTTGAAACTCAGAAGCTGAGAACAGACTCTTTGTTGTGCTGTATCCTCCCCTTGTCCCTCCCTTCCAGGGGGGAGCTTCGCCAGCACTAGCTGCCTCCTGAAGGGGGGGGGGTTCAGGAGCAGAGTCCACAGTAGTAACAATGTAAAACAATCCCCTCCAGCATGGTTAGAGCTGTTTATTCAGAGGCCTAGGAGCCGAGGGGTGGAAAAATGTGAACTTTGCTCTCACTTGGGGATAGAATTTACTTGAGCATATTTGATGGGGGGTGGGGAGGGTGGATCCTCACACGCTGAACTGAAGGTGGATTGTGCTCCGGAGAAGGGGTGACAGTGGGGAGGAAGGACTGCGGCCACTGAAAGCCCAGACACGGGGTGTTGGTTGAGATGAGAGTGGTGCTCTCCCCCTGGGTGAGGCTGGGACCAGAACACAGTGATGGCGGCGCACGGTTACCCTGGGGAAGGAGCACGCTCTGGGCATAAAAACTGCGAGAGTTGTGGTATGTGGAGCCCTTCCCCTGCCAGCAGCAGACAGCCAAGCATCGGGGTCAGGTATAGGTGACAAGTGGTGGTGGTGCACTGGCTGCTTGTGGGCAAGAACAGGCGTTGGCGGAGGCAGGCAAGAGGCAGAGGTAAGCTCAGTAGCCGGAGGGTCTGGGTGATGGGTAGTGAGAACTGCAGGAACGCTGTCCAGACCCCTGCCCAAGAGACCTGACCGACTGCAGGGGGGCTTCTAGCAGCCCACGGTGATGCCCTTGGGAACCCCCAGCCCCTTTTGAGTTCCAATCTGCTAAAGCTCAGGGTTGTCAAAAGAATTTATTGTTTGTTCTAGCCAACATGTGACAGAGCCCTCTGACTTCCTTCCCTTAGTGCATTTACTAGAAAAGGCATTCAATTCCTTCCTCTGTCCCCTTGAGATTTATGTGTATCTCTTATGACTCAGGAGGGTCTTTCCCAAGGACCTGAGAGCCCTTCCTATGAAACGTAACTAACCAACCAGAAGGAGCACCCCCTACCCAGTCTCTTCCTCTCCCAGCTCTCTCATTCTCTCTTTAAAATGCCTTTTGCAAATTGGAAACGAGCTCAGCAATGTCCTGACTATCAGTAGTTCCCGAGGAAAACCTGTTTTTTGCTGCTTGAACTCATGCCCAGCTTTGTTTATCTTTGACAGTTGCTAAGGGGTTGGCCATGGCCGTGGAGGAACTATAAGCTGCTGCCTGGATGAGGGGCAATGACAGTGAGCTGTGTGTCCAAACCAATGGCATGATGCCCGCACTGGGGGGCCAGCCAATGGGACTGGTGCCTTGGACAGCATTTGAAGGTACATTAGGGGCCACTACAGGGGAACATGGGGGCTTTGGCCCAAGAGGGGCAGCCAGGTGTGCGGTCTGGAGCAAAGAACATGAGAGACCCCCCTGGAGAGACAGAGGAGGGGACCAGGAACGCCAGGGGGAGGCAGCTGGGGTCCTGCCTTTTCCCACATATTAGCCGTTGAAAATGTTACCAGATATGGGACCTGGCCCCGAGCGGGTCTGCTCAGGCCGGCCTGCAGTGTGTGGGTTCTTAACTTCATGTAGGAAAGATTTCACAACACAAGTCCAGATGATTTATTTTATTTTACTTTTGAAAAGACTTCATTTATTTTTAAAGAGAGGGGAAGGGAGGGACAAAGACAGAGAGAGATAAGCATCGATGTGCAAGACAAACTTTGGTGGCCTCTCTCACGCCCCAACCAGGGACCTGGCCCCCACCCAGGCACGTGCCCTGACCAGGAATGAAAACAAGCCAGCTTTCTGTTCCCAGGATGGCACCCAACCCATGGAGTCACAGCAGCCAAAGTGAGCCCTGGAGATTTTAGAGCATGTTTATTAAAGCTGGGGACAGTGAAACGAGGAAGGGCTTGGGACAGTGGGTACAGCAGGGGAGGGACTAGACAGGAAAATGAGCCTGGGCCGGCTGCTTTGGCTCACGAATAAGTCAGAGAAAAGGGGGCCTTGGGGACAGGTTCCAACGGGCACTGGCCGGAGCCTTCATTTTGAGGGGTTTTAAAAGCTGTAAGTTTAGGGGAGGTCTTAGGGGAGGATCTCAATGGAATAGTCATCAATGTTATGCTGATGTGCCATAATGAGACTTATTCCTGTAACTTCACCTGTCCTTGGGCGTGGTTGGCAAATGGCACTAATTGGATTTCTGTTTTCTCCCTGACTGGGGTGATTTAAGCCGTTTATCCCCTGGTCGGGAAGGAGGTTTAAGGTTTTAAACCTGTTTCCTCCTCCTTGGAGGAGGAAGGAAGAGTGTAAACATTTACTCTTAAGTGTCCTTGGTTTGGGGAGGATAGGATTTACTAGGTGGCTGCAAACTACTTGTTTAACTGTCCCTCTCCAGTTCCCTGTTCTGCTTGTCCTGGCTCACCCTGCCTCAAAACCACCATCGGTCTGTTGATGGACCTCATTCGGGTGTCCAGACCACAGACACAAACCCCGGCGTGTTATTGTGACCGTTCTTGGAGCTTTCTGTTCACCCACAAATCTCTTCGTTGGCAACCATTTCTGGAGGTCATAGTCTCTGACCTCTGAAATGAAAGGATTCTTTTTTCATTTTTCCAGCAGGAGGGAAAAGGTTCTTTTGGGGAGAAAAAAAATGCTGAAAATTCTAATAAGTAGAATATGATTTGGAAGTCTCCCCATGGACTTGATAAGCATAAGGGGGCTTTTTTAGGGTGAGGTCAGACTTTTGGGAAATGAAGGAAGTTCCACTGGGGGGAAGAGGGCTGGAAACAGCGCGAAGGTGAGAATCCAGCCTGCCTGCCCCTAGGGGACCAAGAGCGACCATTTCAAACCTGGAGTTCAAGTGATACTCAGTTTTTACGTGGGGGCTCAGTGTTTGCCACGTTATTTGCAGTCAGTTACGCTTCCTTATATATTTTCGTGTTAGAATGAGTCGTTTGTTTTAGGCATTTTTCCCCAGATAACTGAAGTGGGTACCCCCAGAGTAAATGGTACTTTGTTGATACAAGGACTTCAGCTAAATGAGTTCAGCCACCCTCTGACCTATGTCCAAAAGGAAACTTTTCTTTTAAAATTTAAAAATATATTTAGGGTTGAGTGAAAGAAGCAAGGTACCAAAGAGTAATACCGTATAATTCCATCTATCAGGAGGGAACTAATGTGTGCTTGTGAAAACCCCAGCAGGGCCCACCTCTGAAGCGGCTGGACTGCCAGGTTCGTCAGGTTCACGCAGAAACCTCTGTGTTGCGAACACAGTCCTTGTTCTAGGCGTTGGTGTTCTTGTTTTATATATTTGTCCAGACTCATCAAACTGCACACTTAAGCCTTCTGCATTTCTCTGCATGCAAAAGCTACTTCAACAACTATTTAAAACACAATTTTAAAAGACACAGTGAGCTCCCACATTTTAGATGTTGAACTAGCTTGGATTGACCTCTCTCTCCCTCAAAATCAACTCTGGAGGAACTCTTGAAGCCAGAGGAAAGCATACATTCCAGAACCAACAGAAAATAACTGTGAGGCTGCCCCGCCTGTAGGTGGGGTCTGTCTTGAACCCAAGCATGATGGGTGGGTAGCTGCAGCCTGGGGAGGGGGCCTTTGAGGGGGTGGGGGGAGTCTCCAGTAACCTGGGGTTACCTGGGGGTGGGGGTCCTTGAGGTCCTGGGGCCCACCCACTTCCCTATCATTAAACTTGTCAGGCTGACCTACGTTTGGATTTAAACTTGGGCTCTTCCCACTACTTACCCAACCATTAGCTGATAGATCCCTGATTTGATTCTTGTAATTTAGTCACACAGACCAAAAGGTTTTCCCTTTCATCAGTTTCACTTTTCCTTCTCCCTGCTTACTCTTGATCGAGTCAACATAGACCTTTCCCCATAGTGCAGGCTTTACTTTTTGTGCTTTAAAACTGTTCCCACTGTGACAATTCCTTCCATATGCACATGTAATGTTAGTTTCCTCATTTTCTCACCATTCTCAAGGTAAGTATTATTTCCACATTTGTTTCTTTCATAATTGCCTCTTTCTGGTGCGTTTGAGGTTCTCACTGGCTTCATGCTTATTGGCTATTACAGGGTAGATTATGTATAAAAAATTACTTGGGTGCATGGACAGCAACACAACAGAGTAACGGACCGGACCAGGTGCCGTTCCCGGCGATGGGTGTAAAACCACCTCTCACTCTAGCTGATACCATCTGTCGGCGAAGGGAAGAGTTGGCATTCTTCCTTCTGGAGTTTTAATGTCTGCGGATCTGTAGATACTGAAATTTAGGTGGAAAAGCTTCTCTATGCATACTATTCATTACATAGAGTAGGTGTCTTGTCAATGCATATGGATCTACTTCATTCTTTTCATGGCTGCATAGGGACCCAAGCGTGGTGCGTGGGTTCTACGCGGTGACTTATTTAATCGTTCCCCTGTTGATGGACATTGAAGCTGTTCCTAAGTTCCTTTTTCTTTCACTACAGATAATCCCAGGACATGTATATCTTTAGGTTTAAATGTACAGTTGTTTGATTTTCTCTGAAGTTGAGCCTCTTTTTATGTTTATTGGTCAAGTTGATAAGTGTCTACTGCACAATTTTTACGTGCTGTACGATATTAATAGGCATGGCTGTGTCACAGCTTATGCAGGCAAACTGTCGTGGTGAACATTGTGTTGCTTCTCTAGTGGCAAAATCGAATGCCTTTTCTATCCCCAGAACTGTCTTAAAGACGGCAGACGTGTCTGGTTGACCAGCTGTCTGAAAAATGCCCCATGCTTACTGAACTGGCTTTTGTCCTCAATGTGGTCAGGGGGGTTCAGATATTTAAACTTTACTGTGGAGACAGAAGCATGATTATTTTAAACGTTTGCCTAAATACTGAGAACCAGCCAAACCTCCACACTCTCCTCTATTATTTAAAAAAAAATTATCAAATTATAGTTGGATAAGCATTATACCAGAACCATCTTGATTCATATATATGTGTGTGTGTGTATTTATATACCTGTCTTTTAAATTAGCACCTATTTTATTTTTCCATTGGAAGATTCAGAGCATCAGAATTTGCCATAAAAGCAGAAACACAGACATGAAACTAATAGGACAAACTTTTTAGCATTTTAAGGATTTTTCTTCTTAGCGTCCCTTAAGGGCACTTACTTGACCAGTTTATACAGCTGACTAGTATCAACATTAAAGATTTTTACATCAGCTTGAATTTTGTGTGAAATTGGTTTGTCCCGTTGTGTTTATCTTGACTTATGAAGCCGCATCCCAGTTGATGGATTTAACACATCCTCTTTGAGCAATGAGCAGGAATTAGAGACCCTGTGACTTCTTACTGTGCATCCATGGGAAGGACGCCTCCCTGCCTCCCGGGTTTAATTTTTCTATTGAGGGGTAGACACATACTGTGAAATTCATAGCCCTCACTAATCCTAAGTGCTTGGTAGGTTTTTGGATATGAACACATCCATGGGACCATAACCCAAATCAAGACGGACAATGTTTTCAGCAACCCGGAGAACTTCCTCCTGCCTCTCCCTCCTGGAGGTAACCACTCTCCTGACTTCTGTTGCCATCCGCTTTGCCTGTTCTTCTGCATACAGTGTATGTTCCTGTGTGTGGCTCCTTTTGTTCAGCCTTCTGTCTTTGAGATTCATCCATACTGTTGAGTGTGCAAAGAGCTGTTTTGTTGCCCTGGCTGGCGTGATTCAGTGGATGGAGTGCCAGCCTTCGAACCAAAGGGGTGCCGGTTCAATTTCCAATCAGGGCAGGTGCCTGGGTTTCAGGCCAGGTCCCCAGTGGGGGGGCATGTGAGAGGCAACCACACATTGATGTTTCTCTCCAGCTCTTTCTCCTCCCTCCCTCTCTCTCTAAGAATAAATAAATAAAATATTTTTTAAAAAGACTGGTGTTGCTATTCAGTTTTGTTCTATTGTATGACTACCATAGTTTATTCATCTGTCGATAATTTGAATTGTTTCCAGTCATTGGCTCTTATGCAAAACATTCTTGTACATGTCTTTTTGTGCAGTTATTTCTCTTGAATACTTAGAACTGGACTTGCTGAATGAGAAAATAGCCATATATTTAGCTTTAGAAAAATTGGAAGCTAAATATATGGACGGATTTCTGAAGAGGCTGCACTATTCATACCCTACCAGCGAGAGTTGTGCATTTTGGTGGCTCCGGGTCCTTGTGAGCACTTGTCCTTCCGTTGTCAGTCTTTTTAATCCAGCCATTCTGACGGTGTGTTGTGGTTTTAGTTTGTATTTCAACTAAGGCCTTACATTTTTTATCTAAAAGCCTTTATATGTTGTGCTGTGGAATAAGCCAATCCTCTAAAATGGCTTCTGAGATAACTGGGTAGCTTTCACCAGTCTGCTGTTCCCAGTCTGGGAATCTGTGTCCTCCTGGCCTCCCGCATGCCTGGTGTGTGTGTGTGTGTGTGTGTGTGTGTGTGTGTACTTGGCAGGTCTTTGTTTTAGGGATGAAGCTTTCTCTAGAATGCTCTTGGCCTATGTGGTCGTGCCAGGTGACTCCACTTGTGATAAGCCCATCAGATAAGGTATCTTTTCAGTTTTAGGGAAGATCTTTGTGAGCCCATGTCCCAGAGAGTCGGTTCAGAGCCTGTTCACGTAGGATTGGGAAGGGTGAGAAATCTGAGCAGTTCTGCCTCTTAAATATCAATCTGGGTGAGAAAAGCCCGAAGGAGCGAATTTTGCTGGCCCTGGGCAGACATTGGAAGTGCAGTAGCTGCCTCTAGGGCACATTGAATGGGGCCATTGTTAGGTCAGTGGTAAACCTCCGGAAGCTAAGTGACAGCTCAGAAGTTACTTCCCCATGAGGCCCTCCCTGATCACCCCATTTAAAATGTAACACTCCGAGTTCTTTTTACCTTGCTCTTTTTTCCCTCACTACCCTTACCATTTTCAAACATAATTTATCTATTTATTACTGTGCCACTTACAAGTTATGGCTTCTGCTCTGCAAACTACATTTCTGCTCCTCCAGTTGCTCCCCACTGTACTCGGCAGATGGATGACGCTGGAGGAGGCTGCAAGGCTGGTGGAGGAGGAAGAAGGGACTTGCTCCTTCCAGTGTGTTTCCTGTTCTAACAGGGTCTCCCCAGCAACAGATCTTACTCCAGCAGCGGCAGCAGCAGCAGCAGCAGCTGAGGCTTCTAACAGCAGAAGCGTCCGCAAGCATCCCCCTCACCAGCACCAGCAGCAGCACCAGCCAAGGAGCGCCTCCTCCTTGGGGGTCTGAGTTTCCCTTCTGCAGGGCTCACCTCTGAGTTTCTCAGTGTCCACTCCTCCGTTTGTTTCCGCTGCCCTGGCTTAGCTGCTTCCTGCACTCGCTGCCTCTGTGAGAGCTCAGTCTCCTCCTTTAGTTACCAAGCGAACAACCTCGCACCTCATCGACAATGCTTTATATTAAATCATCTCTATTCATATCTCTGAGGTGATTTCTGGTTCCTGAAACCTTCCTTCTTTCCTTCATGGGTAAATCAGAATTATTTTTTATGTGTCTTCTTCTGACAAGATGGTATGAGCTCAGATTAATTTACCTGTTGGAGTTTCTGCAATGGTTGGTACCCAAAGAGGAATAATTTAGGCCATTTAGTATTTTAAGTGGCACATATTTTAGCTAAACTCACCTTTCAGGAAAAAAATTAAATTGCTTCTGAACTCTGGGGAACCCAGAGACGATAGAAACTGTGTTGAATCAGGAAGAATTCTGACATGTTTGAAAACAACCTTCAGAGTGAAATGAGCACCTCTGGTGCTTGAAAGGGACAGAGAGTTGGTCTCCAGTGGAGACTGATAATCGAGTTTCTTAGCAACAGTGGCAGAAACAGTATTTGTATATAACAGGGCTTTAATTCTTCCAGGAAAAGAGACCTCACCTTATTTAATTATGAAAGAGCACAGGCAGGAATGAGTCTTAGGAAATTGAATAAACGTCATTTGGAGGTGCAGGAAGGGACCGAGAGGCGAGGACCTCATCACCCACCATCTTCAGGGACTCACCCTCATTGTGGGTTTGGCAGACAGGGTGAAAAAAAAGGCCAGTCCAGGCTGAGATCAAACCGGCAATTGAATTTCCATTTCCCCAGGCTCGGAATCCCGTGGGGAACATCGTAGGCATCTTTTCCGATTCTTCCCAAGTCACTCTCCCCCCAACACCTGCTGCTGTTTGGGGTCTCCCCAGGGCTGGGGAAGGTCTTCCTTGGTGGCTTCAGCAGTAATCTGGCATTGGTGCCTGGGGGTGTGGCAGAAGTCCAAGGATGACTTGTGAGCTGATTTCTGTGGATTTTTTTGAGGTCCTCTCCCTGGGGATTGCCGCCTGCAGTTCCACAGAGTGGGGGACAGACGTCTCCTCTGGCTGGCCACCCTGCCTCGGCTTCCGTGTCTGAGGGTCTGAGCGCCAGCCTCTCTGCTTGGATGTGGCCTGGCTTCTGGCAGGAAACTCTCTCGGGCAGATTTCTTTTGGGGCATCTCTCTCCTGACAGTCCCCTGGGGGTCTGCCCACGGGGAGCGTGTGCATTTACCACGAGGTAGGTTAACCTTCTTTCCCTGCAGACAGATGTTTTACCAGCTTTTACAGTGTGCAGTTCAGTGGCGTTGTATATTCAGTGTTGTGTAATCATCACCGCTGTCTGTTTCCAGAAGTTTTTGTCATTCCAAATAGAAGCTGGGTACCCATTAAACAGCAACCCCCCGACTCCCTCCTCCTTCCAGCCCTGGCCGACCTCTATCCTACTTTTCATCTCCATGAATTCGCCTATTGTAGGTTCCTCTTATACGTGGAATAAATATGATGTTTGTCCTTTCATGTCTGGCTTTCAAGTCTCATCTACGTTATAGCATGTGTCAGAATTTTATTCCTTCTAAAGAACAGATAACATTCAATTGTATGTAGTACTACATTTTGCTTATCCACTTATCTGTTGATAAACACTCGTGAGTTTTTTACCTTTTGGCTGTTGTGAATAATGCTACTGTGAAGTGTACAAGTGTCTGCTCGAGGCCTCGTTTTCTCCAATTTGGGGAACGTGCCTGATGATATGACTGTTTATCCGTTCACAGGCTCATTGTCTCCCTTCCACCGGAATACAGACCCCGAGGCCTAGAACAGTGCCTGACTCACTGTAGGAGCTCCACACCTGTTTCTGAACGGAACCAATGTCTCAGGTAAACCAAACAGGGAATTATCAAAATAACCCACCTCACGGAGCTGGTAAGGGGGTTACATGCAGCCCCCCCATGTACCACCACAGGGCCCTAGTGCTGGGTTACTGTTCAACTTCCATTAGCTCTGAGTCTAAAGGGATACTTCACCCGCCCAGGTTCCTGAAGGTCATGATTGCTTTTTTGGCTTCTATTTCACTCACTGTTGCCAGCTAAGATTTTTTTGACCTTCTCCCATTTACCCAAAGCCGTGAGGGCACCAAATATCAAGATGATCAAGCCCTGGTTGGTGTAGCTCACTGGATTGAGTGCCGGCCTGTGAACTGGAGGGGTCACTGGTTCGGTTCCCAGTCACGGCACATGCCTGGGTTTCGGGTCAGGTCCCCAGTTGGGGGTGTGCAAGAGGCCTATATATTTTTTTCTCTTTGAAAAAAAATATATAAGGCATGTTTATTATAGAGATTTTGAAAAATACAGATAAGAGAAGAAAATAAACATGAGTTGTAATCCCACCATCCAGAGAGCTCACTAATGTGTGGTTGTTTATTCTAGTTTTCTAAAAGATAGTTTTCATTTTAATAAAATAAAATCACCTTCTGTATACTGTTTGAAATCTGCCTTTTGATTTTTTAAAAATATTTTATTTATTTGTAGAGAGAAGGGAAAGGAAGGAGAGAGGGAAACAGCAATGTGTGGTCGCCTCTCACACGCCCCCTACTGGGGACCTGGCCCTGAACCCAGGCATGTGCCCTGACTGGGAATTGAACCTGCAACCCTTTGATTCGCAGGCCAGCACTCAATCCACTGAGCCACACCAGCCAGGTGAAATCTGCCTTTTGATTTTTAAAATCTATTCTGAACATTCTGAACAACTTTCCACACATTGCAGTATTTTTTTGCAACATCATTTTTGAGACTGAACCACTGATCATGATACTGGGTTGTAATCGTATATTATGCAGATCACCCTTAGAGCTTCCCTACAGATCACAGATGCTTTTCTCGGTTGGCTTTTACCTCCTAACTTGTATGGTGATCCCGTCTTTTCATCAGTAGGCCATGGTCCAACAAAGCCAGCCACCTCTCCGGGTAGCCGTCTGACACATGGCATTTCTCATGGGGGCAGGGCGCGTGTCTGTGTTGGTCGTCACTGTGTTGCCAGAGCCTAGAGTGAAATAGCAACTCAGTAAATGCGTGTTGGCTGATCGACCCACTTCGGACCTGGGGGGAAGGCCCAGGCGCCGTCCCTGGTCTCTGGCTTCCCTTCTTGCCACGTAGCTCGTCTGTTTTCCACCTCATAATCCATGCCCTTTGACCCAGTAATGTCTCTTCTACAATCTATCCTAGAGAATTTTCCAGAGATGCTAGCAAATACTTTTCTATCTTTGTACAAGGATGTCCACCCCAGTTTTATTTATAGTAGTGAAAAATCGGAAACTATTTCTGGCAATATGGAAATGATACATAACTGTATAATAGAGAAACACCAAGATGGGGTTTCGGAATGCTTTTTGGTGACGTGAGAAAATCCTCATGGTTTAGTGACATATGAAAAATGCAGAGTGTGAAATTATATGTGAGATCTCTCGACTCTGTTAAGCCTAGCATGGAGAACACGAAAATAATCTTAACAAGTGGGTGCATGATTTGGGAGTGCTTTTAGCTCCAAGGAACCAAAAACCTGATTTATGGTGTCATAGCCAGGAGGGGCTTATTTTTCTCTCACAAGCAGTCTAGAGGTCTGAGGGCCTGGGGTCAGCAGCTTGGTGATGTCAGGGGGGGGTCTCCCTGACCCTCTCTTTTCTTTATGGTCCCACATGGCTGCCCCAGCTCCAGGCATTGGGTGCACACCTGAGGCCGGAAGGAAGGAGGGGCGTAACACTGCCGGCAGCATCAGTTTCTTTTATCAGGATCATCAAGACCCGACCGAGGTGCCCCAGCACGTTTCTGCTTAGGCGTCTTTGACCAGAACTGTGTGCTATGGCTGTCCCCAGCTACACGGGTCCTGGGGACGTGAGTTTTTAGCTTCGCAGTCTGCAGAGTGGAGGTGGCAATGGGGAAAGGGCAGGAATCCCTGTCAGGTTAGTTAATAAATCGTGTCTTCCCCTTGTGCTTATTTCTGGCTGGTGGACTTATGGATGTTTTTTGCTTTTCTTCCTTCTTCATTTCTGTCTTGTCCAATTTTCCTACCAGTAGCATTTATAATTTCTGAAATTGAAAAAAGCTACAACAGATAGCTACTTTAAAATTCCCCTGTGAGGTTGTGGGCTCCCGTGTGTGGAAGAGTCTATCATGTCATCACTCAAAAAGGTACGGCAGAGACTGTTTGACGCTGTCGCAGCCGGATTGGCCGGTCTGCCTTCCCCAGCAGACCGTGGCTCCCAGGCCCAGGAGCAGGTCACAAGGGGAAACCTACCATGTGTTTCACTTCTGTCGGGCACCGCACTAGTTATTTGGTAAGTGTTGCTGCATCGAGTTCTTACAGCAGTCTTTCTTTTTCAGACAAGCTGCCAAAGGCTTGAATAACAAATCACACATCACGTAAAGGGAAGAAGTCAAGCTGGACCTCAGATGATAGCATTGAGCTTTAATTTTGTGTGTTCCTATCATATCATAAGCTCAGTAAAGATTGTGTTGAATGGATGAGGAGTTGATGAATCATTTGTATGTGTAAAATCTATAGCCATGCCTTGATCATTCTTTCCTGTAGGGCATCTGTATTACCATTAATTTTAATTAGCGAGGTTGAAAAATGACAGGCTGTATAAATCACCTGCAAGAGAGGAACTCTGTGCTCACTTGCCTGGGTCCGATGCCCTTGACTAATTGCTGGGTGTGTAATTAATATGACTCCAGGTGAAAAGGCAGCCGAGGACTGGTTTCCCATGGCGTCTTTCAAATTTCTTATTATAAAGAAATTCAAACACATACAAAAGCAGAGAATGGTAGTGTGAACTCCATGTATTTATCACCCAGCTTCAAGAGAATTATCAATATCTTGCTAACTTTTTCATTGATCTCCCTTCCTCCAATCACCCCCCCCCCCACACACACACAACTGGAGTATTTTAAAGCAAACACAGAGACTCATTTCACCACGAGCATTTCTATGATCGGAATGAAGAGACTTTTGTGTGGCCGGTGTTTCTCTTTCTTTAGATCTGCTAGCACAGGAAGCGACGATTTAGAAAAGTCACAGCACAGAGACTTCTGGGAGGCCCCGGAGAGGAGAGGCAGGCCATGCAATTTGCTTTGCTCTCAACCTAGGGTGCTTCTTGGCTGAAACTCCTCCAGCCTCGAGATTTATACTTTTCTCAAATGCTGAAAATAAGAAATCTGGCTTCCTGTAACTGGAGACATCTGGGGAATGTTGCTTGTGAATCCGTTTTTGGCATGAACATGTCGCCCAAGTCGCTTGAAGTGATTTGGAAATTTTGAGGCATCGAAAGTGTCTGACTAGAGCGGCGGTGGCTGAGTGGGTGGATGTTCATTGTTACACAGGCCGGTCGTTTCCCATCGGGGCTCCTGCTTCCTATATTTTTCCTGTTTACTGCTCTCAATGCTTTTAGGCCAAGGCGGGCAGGTCTCTGAAAGGGACTGAACGGGTGTGGGGGAGGAGTGGTGGCCGGCGGTGTGATAAAGGGGATCTCTACCGGCTGCCGGCCTTCTTCAGCCCGCACACCCCCCCGGCTGCCTGCAGCCCAGCCTGCCGAGAGGTCCCTGAGGGTTCTTGGAGAACGCTGTGGTGGTGTGTTTGCTGCTGGGCTCCAGCAGAATAAGGGAGGCCAAGTTCCTGACCTTCTGAGTCCCATTCAGGGTACTGGGACCAGTCTGGACCAATTGAGCCATTTCCCAGGATGAGCCAGTAAAAGTATAACACAGGGAGTAATTAGGAATTATAGTGAGGAAGGAACAAGAGGGGTCCAGCAAGCAGGATGCTGGGAGTAGTTTGGGCCATGGGCAGCAGGGGAGGCCACTGGGAACAGATGAGGAAGAGGAGAATAAGGGGAACGAGGAGAAGCTGGGGAGTCTGGCTTCACTGGATGATGACCTACTACCCTGGGCTCAGGAGCTACTGAGCAGATGAAATGGAAAAGACCCATTTTGCGGGGAGGGAGGTGGTTGATTTGTAACTCTGAACTTGTTTTGGTTCGTAACATTTCTGGCAACAAATGCGTGAGTCTCTCCGCACCAACGACCAGTTCTCCAAACCCCCAGCCCCCGGATGTCAGAATTGTTAGCCTACCATGTTACTTCAGTTCTGACGCTAACTACCCAAGGTCAGTGTCACATCCCGCAGGTCTAAGGGCTCAGTCCCACAAGACCACCCTCACTTCAGACACCAGCCGAAAGTCTCAGTGCCACCTGCACTTGTGACTAACCAGCTGTAAACCGAGGGGTCCCGTGACTTCCTCCTCAGACTCGATAATTTGCTGGAACAGCTCACAAAACTCAGGGAAACATTTTACTTTCATTTACTGGCTTATCATAAAGAATACAAATGAACAACCAAAGGAAGAGGTCCAAGGAATATCTAGTAGAATTACCGCGCCCTCTCTGGCCGTACCACTCTCCGAGCACCTTGATGTGCCAACAAACCTGGAAGCCCTGCAAATCCCATCATTTAGGGATTTTTATGGAGGATTCATTACTTTGGCATGATTGATCAAATCATTGATCATTGGTGATTCAGTCAGAATCTCTAGCCCTTCTCCCGTCCTTGGAAGTTGGGGGGTGGGCTGAAAGTTCCAAGCCTGTGATTATGCCTTGGTCTCTCTGGAGACCAGCTCCCTGGTCAGAAGTCATTAGCATACAAAAGATACCACCCCAGAGCTTCCAGGGGTTAGGAGCTATGAGTCAGGACCTAGGGACAAAGACTAAACATTTATTTTTTATTATATCACACTATCCTTCAGCAAGATTCATCCTACTTTCTCCTACCTGAGTGGGTTGAGGTTTCAGTGGGATTAAGTGGGAAGAACTAAGAGAACAATGAAAGTTCCCAGGGACCTCCATCCCCTCTGTCTCACTCTTGGGACCGGCCCTGTCCATGTCTTCTTGGCTGGGACCCTAAAGGAGAATCCAGCTGAGACTGGGCTCCGGGAGATGGAAGCGGGGAAGAGAGAGCAGAGCTAACAAGGGTGATGGGGATGTGGGTCTTCAGGAAGCTTGCTCACGCACGCATGCTGCTCTGGGGCCTCTGTCCAGGGAGACTGGACAGACAGAAACTGTCCATAGGCAGCACAACAGCTCAGCTCCCAGACTGGTTTCTCACCAAATAACGGAGTTCACAGAAACTTCAGCCCCATGATGCACTGCTTCTGAGCGGCTTCTTAGCATGCAAAGCTCACTTCCCACTGACAGGGGCTGCTCACTCACACCATGTTCCAGGAGGGCCAACAGTGGGATTAAAGGGTAAATGCTACTGGGAGAACTTGTGACAAATTGCTGTGTACCATGGTCCCCCACCCAGTCCACCTCTGCCGGTGGGGGAAATTTTACCCTTCTGGATAGATGGAACCAAGCAGCCACTTCCATTTACACATCTGCTCAGTGATTTGTTCATTCATTACTTTGGCAGTTCTCAGATGTTTATTGAGAATGTATGATTGCTTCACCTCTGGGCTCTGGGCTCCATGTACCTCTCTGCATTGCTCAGGGCCAGCGTGGCAGAGTAGAATGTCCTCTGAACCAGGACCCAGGGACTCTTGTCTGGACCCTGCCATTTACCACTCAGGTTCTCAGCTGCCGTATCTGTGAAAATGGGGCTGGTGATGCTGTTCCATTAACCTGGTGGCCACTGATATCAAAACCGGAAAAGTCGGTGTTCGTGCTGCCTGTCACTACCAGAACCAGTAAGTAGAGACAAGGGTTGAATCTGTAGGCGCTTTATTCAGATGCTGTGATCTGAGAAGATAGTTGGTTATATACCCTCAAAAAACCGTCTTATGGTTTTTTATGGGAAGAAAGGGCAGGTAAGGGATTTGGAAAAAAGGTCAATTGGATAAGAGTTGCAGACCAGGGGCGATTTTCCTAGTACTTTTTTTATCTGCCGATCAACACCTCACAAACCCTCTGCATCTCTGGCAGACCCCCCTGGGGCACAAAGGCTGAATTGCCTGTGGCCTCCTGGAGTCAGTAGCCTGCAGTCCATTTCCTGGAATAACAGCTTTGACGTGCCTTAATCACTTAAGCCTATCAACTAAGGCTGAAGTTTGTAACTCAGTGAGTTCCCCTATCAGTGTGAGAAGGTCAGAGATTTATTGTCATTATCTCACTCTCTGCCTCTCTCCCTGTGTTGGGGTGCTGATCCTGTGAAGGAGAAGGGAGGGTGCTTTGTGTGAAGGTGAAACACGTACGTAAGCGTATCCAGACTGCTGTTGGGAGTTGAGCACATGGATACTGTGCTTTCTGATTTCTTTGAGATTGGTGACATTTTCCATCAATACACATAAGAAGCCAAGTCTCTGCACTGAGATTCCAAGTGAGAGTGGGAGGGAGAGTGAGCTTGGGCCTTTTTCTTTATCTTGTCATCCAGAAAAGAGAAAAGCAAAGGAGGATGGAGTTCTGGGAAGTGATAAAGATCTTAGTGTCAGCTTGATGGGGGACTCAGATGTTGGAGGAATTTTGCTTTCAGGTAATAGCTAATAAGCTTAGTAATCGGTGTAGGTAAAAAGCTGTTGTTTCAGGAATGGAAGGTGTGCCCCACCCTGACTCCAAGAGACCAGTAAGCAGTTCCACCTTTGTGGCTCCTGAGGAAGGGGAACAATCGAGGTGGCATCTGAGTCACTGCTCCAGGCGGAGATGCCCACCGCCCAGGGCCCAGGCGAGAGAACGCTGCAGCTTTATCTGATTGACTTTCCCCTGAATTCCAATACCCTTACCTACACTTTTCTTCTCCTTATAATAAGGGTTGGTTTAAAATACAATTGAAGACAGCCTGTTAGGTACAAACCCGCCATCTTCTCAGGTGGCTGGCCACCTGAACAAAGTGCCCACAAATATTCAGTCCCTGTCTCTGCTTGTTGGGTCTGGCAGGGGACAGGCAGCATGAATACCGCCTTTTCTGGTTTCAAGCTGAAAGGGTCCTCAGAAATGAACTTCCAGCCTTCTTTCTTAACTTAATTTTATTTATTGATTTGGAGAGAGAGAAGAAGGGAGAGAGATTGATTTGTTGTTATACATTCATTGGTTGATTCTTGTATGAGCCCTGACAGTGGATCGAACCTGCAACCCTGGCGCATTGGGACACGCTAATTTCCCCAAGGCTCAGCCTTCTTTATTTATAGGCGGGAAATTGAGGACAAGAGAAAGGAACAGAATTGCCCGAAGTGTGTTTGCCTCTAAGACCTGCCCAGTGCCCCATACCCGTCCCCAGCCAGTGTATGTTCAGGTGCCCTGCCTCCCTCCCGCACCCTTGAACCCCTGGCCTGACTGCACCGTGAGCCCAGAACAAGAGCTGGGGGTGTAAGTTACCCAGCACGCCTGGTGCGTGTGCAGGTGGTGGAGGCAGGAGCGGCTCATTTCACCCCGAAGTTCAGAGGTCATTTCAGAAACCAGAGGTGCGTTATCTTCCAGAGTTGGGATTATAGGTGATTTTTATTTTCTCCTTTATGGTTTTCACGATTTTCCAACATTTCACAACAAACATCTATAACTTTATAAACCTCACCCAGTCCAAATCTTGTTTTTAATAACAGGGAAATTGGAGGGTGTTGAAATGCCCAGCTCTGAATTGAGGTCCATCCAGCAAGGCCACCTGGTGTCTGTCACAGCAGGCAGAGGCCCCGAGCTGGGAGCAGTCCCGAAGGTCATCCAACTCACCAGCCTGGCACTCAGCGCCACCGGGGCCACGTCCCCCCACCCCTTGCCTTTGCTGTCACCGTGCCCCACTCTTGAAATGTCCCCGTCCCATCACCCCTGCCAACTTGGACTCATTTTTCAGGGTCCAACCCAATTCTGCTAGTTCTGTGAAGGGGTTTTAAAGTCCTCGTCCCTGTGGGACAAACATCTGCCTCTCCCCCGTGACCACCAGTGGCACTTTGTTGCAGTTTTATAACCCTTGGCCTCAGCCTTGTCCGGAGCCTTTGCGCCCAGGCCTGACTCCCTGGTGGGCCGAAGCCTCCTGAGAGCCGGGCCTGGATATTATTTGTCTTTGTGCTCCCAGCGCCTCCCTCAGCCTGGCACACGCTGAATGTCTGTGGAACTTTCGGGAACGAAAAACAGAGTGCCCCAGAAGAGGGCTGTTGGGCCCTATGGCTCCCCGGCAGGGCTGACGGCCCCGGCACTATTTGCACTTGGGGCTGGAGAAGTCCGTGGGGTGGGGAGCTGCGGTGTTCCTCGGCCCCCTTGCCTCTACCGATAGACATGTCTGTCAACAGACACCCCCAGCTGTGCCAACCAAAAATGTGGACATCGCCTTTTGTCCTCCAGGTTGAGGACAGACACCACCGGTGTGGGGTTTATAAAGGGTGTTCATAAATGATCCCCAGGAGTAGGAATTCCCATCTGGTAGATGAGCAAGGCAAGGCCCGTGGAGAGTGCTTGTGAAGCTGGGTCTCACATGTAGGTGTCTCATTCCAAGTCCAGGGCCGACCCCACCATCCTGCAGGCCTCTCGGGACCCCAGCAAGGTCTTTGCTGCTCCGCCGTGGTGTGTCCCTTCTGTCCCAGCCCCATGTCCTGTTTTCTACCTTGTCCCTTTCCCCTCTGCCCTGTCCCCAGGGTCTGTGCCAGGCTGTGACTCACTGGTTGACCTTGCTGGTCCACGCAGACTAGACCTCAGGCTGTCACTCATCACATATCCTTCAGCACCTTGAGCTCCTCCCCATGCTTGAACACGCTGATGGTGACCTGGCCCGTCTCCGAGCCGTACTTGTTCTTGACAAAGACGCCGTAGCGCCCGCTGTCCTCACTGTTGACCTTTTCGATGGTGATGGTGACCTCAGACCCCCTCACCTCCATGTGGTAGCGGTCAAGGAAGGTGACAGGCTGGTCATTCTTCAGCCAAGAAATTTCAGGGGCGGGGTCTCCTGAGATGACGCAGGTCAGGCACAGGGTCTGGAAGGACGGGGAGGGAAGGCCTCGTCATCTCGTTACAGCCCCGGCATTCACCCCGCCGCCCCAGAGAGCTCCCAGTGCAGGTGTCCTTGTGATGAATCCCTTCTGCGTGTTTTATTGTACTGCATGAAGAGATGGCATTAAAGGGGGAGACTTTTTACTGTAACCCCGCGTCCTCCGTCCTCAGCTTCCCTACGAGAATACGCATTAGTGAGGATCTCAGATCATTATTATTCTGACACTCGGCCCCGGAATGGCCTGCACTTTGCTTTACTGCTTTTGGCTGCATTTATGTCATTATGGTTTTACCATGCAAAGAAGGCTATGTTGCTTCCATACGAAGATTTACAAAGTGAGTGTGAAAATTCTCGAAGAAGCTACAACTCAGGGCCTTAGAGTATTACGGCCAAATCCTCGAAGTCTGGAGCTGGGTTGCCTCAGCTTTGCCCTTTCAAGCTGTGTGACCTTAGGTGAGTCCTTCGGTCTCTCTGGGCCTCAGTTTTCCCAGCTACAGTCTGTGCCTAGTAATAACGCGCCATTTCACGGGGTTGCCTGGACGGTTAAACAAGCTAAAACGCGTAACACGTGTGCATTACAGTGCCTGGCGCAGAGTAAGCACCATAATAACAGTAGCTATCATTTTCTAGGATATCAGACTTGCATAATTTCAGCCCCGGAAGGACTTTTAGGGATCATCTAATTTAAGTCCTTGTGGAAACAGGTTCACAGACGTTAGTCTGTGACTCTCAGCGCCAGTAAAGAGAGCTGGCCGAGCTGGGGGGAGCACCCCGCCCCGTGGTGTCGGGGGAGCACCCCCCTGACGCCAGGCTGAGGGGCTTTCCTTTACACTACCGGTGACCCGTGAGGTCACTCGGCCAGGCCCTGGAATCACAGTGCATCACTGTTTCATGACTTTTGATGGCTGTGGGCCGGGGACAGTCGGTACCTTATCCTCCATGATCGTGGCCACATCCGGCAGACCCCTCACCACCTTGGCACGATCTGGAAGGGAAAAGTGAGACCCCGGGATGAGTGTTCCCCTGCAGACTGCTTCCCAGAAGCGGGTTCCCACCGAGATGAGGCTTGTTTGTAAGCAATGCTCTGTTTTTCTATTTTCAGCATTTCGGGGTGGAAATCTTTACACTGGTGTTACGTGTTTCCTTGCCTTCACAAACAGCAGATGGGGACATAATGTGTTTCTGTCACTGACTTGAAGTCATCAGCATGATGGGTGGTACCTGGAGGGGACAAGGAAGTACCCTTCCCTCCAGAATTGGGAAAGAAGGTAAATCAAATTGCCGGGAGCCTTAAACTGGCAAAATGCACACAACAGGGGTTGATGAACCAGAGACCCCAGAGGGGGGATGGGAAAAGTGGGATGGAAGCTTTGGGAACAGTGAGTCTGGTCAAGGGGGGCACCTGGTGGCCATTGTGGGTGGGTAAGAAGACTGGCTGTACATCATTAAGCAGAAAGTTAATGTATTCCTGAGGCTGCATTTGTGGCTGTGGGGGCAGAAGGGGTGGGTAGCCGGGACCCTAAGGCACGGACCAGGCAGGCACAGAGAGCCTGGCTGGCTGCTGTCGGTCTGCTGCACATAGGGGAGCAGGGCACTGCACTGAGGGGGAGGGAAGGCCCCAGAGGTGGGTGCTGCTGAGTGTCCCCTGGGTGCTTCCCAGCTGGGTGACATGGTCCCCTTCCCTGGACTCTTGATTCCAAAAGCCCAGCAACTGTACACGGTGAATTCGGCTTCCATTTTTAGAGCCCCGGACAGGTGTGTTTAGGAACACGTATTCCAGGATGGGAGGAGATATTCTTGCTGGGTAAGTGACAAGAGTGGCGGTGTGACGGGTTTAAGTTCCTCCACGATCATGTCAGCGCTCCTCCTGGGGAGGCGCGGGATGAGGGGGTCTCTGGGCTGCCCTCTCCCCCCGCCCAGGGAGGCTGCCCTTCTGCAAGGACTCCCCGCTGCATGCCACTCAGACCCCCACCATGGCCCCTTCCAGGTTATGTTTATGAACACCGAGGCCTACACTTCCTGCCAGGTGGGGACACTCAGGGACAATGTCTTCATGTGGGGCAAATTCCGTGCTGTACCCCCCAACCCGCCACAGATGACCCCAAGCTAGCAGAGTTTTCGTTCTCGCTTCTGCTTCTCAAGGTCGCTCAGCTTCCTTCCTTGTCGTCACGTTGTCAGGGGCTGCTCTGCTCTGCACCCAGAAGTGTTTTCCTCATTGAAATTCCTGCTTCTGATCTGCTGGGTCAGTGGGACCAGACAGCCAGTCTCTTAGAACTGGGTCGTTCAGAACTGGCCAGGGCAGACCCGATGAAGTTCAAGTGCATGGACTTGGTGGTGGCACCCATGGCAGCTAAGGCACTGCTACATCCACGTGGGTTTGGGGCTGGGCCCTTGATTAGATGAGGCCCCAGTGTCCCAACAGCCAGAACCAGCTTCAGCTTCCAAGTCGTCCTCTCCCCCCGCCTCCCTCGGAGACGCCAGCCCAGCCTCGTTCTTGTCTACCTGCTGCCTGTTGGGTTCTGCCTGACATTGCACCTGACGCTGCCCGTGAGCCTGCTTGGCACTGGGCCCGTACTGGGCACTTCCACACCCACAGTCTCTGGTACCTTCAGACTCCGATCCATCTGTCTTCACGCTGCCACCACCTAGGTCTCCCTGGTAGCTCTGTGACAGCTCAGAGACACACAGACCCCAGTGGGGCTTCCTGCGAGGAGGCGTAAGCTTCCCCAACCCCAGACATGAAAGAACAGAAAGCTCGGTGGACTTACTCTTCTCGATGATGGCCAAGGCTCTGAAAAAGACAGGTGCAAAAGGCTCAAGGTTCCATTTGTTGAAGGACAGTCCTACCCAGGTGGGGGTGAGGGGATGGCGAGGGGACCCCAGGAAGGGCTCCTGTGCGCAGTTTACCCCACACCAAGGGGCCTGTGATTTACGCTGAGAAACACTTACTTCAGTCTCTGGTGCTCAGCCATGGCGTCCTCAAAGGCTGTGAGGAGGAAACCGGAAAAGGGAAATGGCAGTGTCGGGGGTCTGCCGCTGTAAGCCCAGGGTCGGGGCTCAGGGCCGACGGGTCCTGCATGCTCCCTCCCCGCCCAGCCCAGTATTCTCTTGGGGCAGTGCCAGGTTGGGTGGGGGGATGGGAATCCCCCCACGCCCATGGAGTTTTCACTGAGGACAGACAGGCGGACAGCTCACCTTGCCCCGAGAGATCCGTCGAGAGTTGCCGGGCTTCCTTCCCAGCAGCTATCTCCAGGGTGTACTTGCCCTTGTCTGAGTCTTTGGGGTCCAGGATGTGGAGCCAGATCTCATCCAGGGTGGTGCCAGCCCTCACCCGATCGCCGCTCTCCAGGCGTTTCTCTCTGAATGTGAGGGCAGATGCCTGGTTGCCGTGGCGCAGCCCATCGGGGCTGCTGGGGACCGGCCGTCTGCAGGTCTACAGGGCCCCCTGCCCCCAACTCCTCTCCGGGGTTTTGTTTCCAGGTTCGTGGTGACCACCCGTGAGACATTCCTTAACTCTTCCTCCACTCATCCATTCGTCATTCCTCCATCCACCCACCATCCATCCGTCCATCTGTCCACCCATCTGGTGATCGACTCCTGCGGAACATCCACTACGTGCCACCGCTGGGTTGTCTATACTTGGGACATGTCCCGTAAGCAGGGGGTGGGAGGAAGTGGTGCTTGGGGGTCAGGGACCCCCAGTCACTTCCTCAGTTTTTCATTCTCCTCGTCTGAACCCTTCAGGGTTTCTTCCACAGTCACTCTCCTTTAGCCCTTAGAAAAGATATAAACACTTTTTTTTTTTTTTAACTTCCAAGTTCATTTGTGGAGCAACACGTCCCCAGGGTTGTGTTGCAGAAGGGATACCTCTGGGCCTGGTCAGAGGGCCCAGAAACTCTAGAGCTACACTGCCCTGGAATTCAACTTGGCCTTGGCTCTCACTCACTTGACACACCTGTCCAGGTCCATCTAGCCTTCTCCACAGAGTGAGTGCAGCTGTGTCTGCTCTGCAAGGCTGAGGCGTGCAAATGACAGGGAGCCCTGGGGAAATTCTGCTCTCCAATTATCTGGGGTCATTAAGTTCATGGCCAAATCCTCATGGATACCTTATCTATCCTGCCTTCAAGTCTTGGCCCTCAGCCCCACAGGTCCCTCTGCCTGAGCCTGAGATTGCTGAGGCTGCAGAGACGCGCACAGGCGCCCGGACCCACGTGACCATCTGGTTCTCTGTCGTCCCTGCAACCTCCCCTCCCCTCCCCCAGTTCCGGATGCGGCTCCCTCTGTGCTTATGGATATTCTTGGAAAATGGCCCTACCGCCAGGCCTCTCACCTTCTCTGGGGGATCTCCCCATTCCTCACTGCCTCTGTGGGCAACCCTGTCTGCGGGCCCCTTGGGACTGGGCTGGGGCAGGCGCTGGGCCCCCCTACACCTGGCTAGGGCTCTAGGGTAAAGCCGACCTACTTGTGGAACCAGGTGGTTTTCATGTACTCCACGTTGTAGTACTTGACCTTGCTGAAGATCCGGATCCCCTCCTCGGTCCCCTGGACTTTCAGTGGGGTCGCAGAGAGGACTGGGGAGGCAGAAGAGAAGTGTGAGTCTTCCCCAAGCTCTCTTGGCCAGGCCATTCTGGGGCCCACAGCTTGTCCCTGCTCTCAGGGTGTGGTGGGGGGTGCAGTGTTGTGAGGAGGCGGGAGCTTCTCCTCTCCTCTGACCCCCATCTTTGAGTTTGGAGACTAAGCCCACTCCCAGGAGCCAAGGCTGGTTGTAGTCCCTTAGAGGTGATTTGGCATCGGGGCAGGGCAGAAAGGGGGGCCTACTTACCACCGATCCTGCTCAGCTCAGTGAAGACGGCGTCCAGGGCTGGAGGGAGACAGAGAGAACGGTCAACTGACGTTGGGCTGCCCTGCGGACCCACCAGGTTGAGGACGTCCTAAGAAGGGCCGTGGAGCTCATGGGCAGCTCTTGGGGCGCAGGGAGCTCTGCCGGATGAGCCCCATGGCTCAGGGACAGATGAGGTCTGGGCACTCAGTGACTGATGGGGCGGGCACCACCGTTGAACACCTGGGCCGGCCTGACAATTTTCTGGCCAGCTGAGCCAATGAGCTGGATGAGGAGCCCTGGGCCTGCTGTGGGGCAGAGGAGTGAACTTGGGCTTTGAGTCCTGCAGCCTGGGCGCGCTGTGGTGTGTGTCAGTGACCATGAGCACCAGTGTCACACAGACCAGGCCCCTGCCACTGACTAGCTGTGCAGCCTTGTGTCGGTTACTTAACCTCTCTGGACCTCAGTGGCCCCCAGTGATGTGGGGATTCCATTCATTTTACCCCATGGGCCACATCACTGTCTCTTGGTTCCATGTGACCTCCCTACGACCCTCCCGGCCCATCTCCATCGCCAGCTCCTACCTTCGCCTGTGAGGTCCAGTATGGTGTCGTCCTCCCCTCGGTCATCAGAAACCACCGTTCTGTACGTCCCCATGTCCTCTTTGGACAGCTGGAAAGAGGGGTGAGTGGAGGCAGGGTCCGCCTGGGCTCCAGAAGGGGTCACGGACAGCGAAGCAGCTGTGCTCCAGGCAAGACCTTTCTCCTCCCTGGGCCTCCATTTACCCATCTGGAGTGGGGGAGTGTAAGGCTCCCGCCAGCTCCAGAGCCCCCCGATTCCAACTCAGGGCTTGTCTGGCTCCGAGGAAGTGGTGCGGCGCAGATCTGAGAGCAGCTGCCCGGAGCAGAGCACGGGGACCCCTCCTGGTGGAGCGGGTCTGAGCCCGGCATACCCTCCACCTGGGCTGCCCTGCTTCCTGGGGGCCCCTGGAAGGAGGGACCCCTCTGTCCTTCTCAGAAGGGAGTGTGTGCTTTCTCCCAGGACAAAGGGGTCCTCTCTGGCACATGCTTGTTAACCCCAAAGTGAAGCCTGAATCAATACTCAGTGAACCAATAACTTGGTGGCCCTTGTAAAGCGAGGTCCAGAGGTCAGAAGTGACCTCATCACACAGTGTCTCTTGTAAGGCCTGGGGAGTGATAAGAGCACCCGCCCCCGCCCCCTCAAAGGGCCTCTCGCCCCAACCATTTCTGCAGAGCGTCCTGTGAGGCAGCACCCAAGGCAGAGGCAGCTCCTAACCTGGGGATTGAGGGGCTGAGCCCCAACAGTCCTCTCCTAGGTCCTCTCCCTCCTCCCCAGGGCAGGCTCCAAAGTCCCCACCACACCTCGGGGAAGGTGGCTGGAGTGACTTCTGACCCCACTCTCTAGCCTTGTGCGTTGGTCCTTAAACCCTCTGAGCCTCAGTTTACTCATCTAAATGGTGGCGCGATCCTTGCCCTGGCTCTGTACTATCGCTGTGGTGAGGCTCAGGGGAGGCGACTCTTCCAAAGCCAGAGAGTTCTGCACCATAAGACTCAGTCGCTATTAGGCACTTACTGGATGCCAAGCCCTGTGTGAGGAGCTTACACCATGATGACAAAGGCTGACCTGGCATTGTCCTGGCCGGGATTTGGGAGAAGACCCGGACATCACCATTCCCTTCCTGGCCAGCAAACCCGCCTTTGCTCTAGCCCCCCCTTGGCACCCAGGGAGGCCGCAGAAATGTGTGGCAAGGCAGGCAACACTGAGGGCAAGACTTGTGTTTCTATCTTAACCCGGTCACACTGCTAGAGGCCACGGGGGACGTGGGTGGGTGAACTGAGTTCCAGGCCCGGAGCCCAGGTTTCCTGCCCTAAATTCCTGGACTGTCGGGGCAGGAAGGAGGCTTTGAGGGGACTCCCCTCCCGGCCCTCCCGTGTTCCCATGGAAACGGGTCAGCGAGGAGCAGTGCCCAGCCCGAGGCCACACGGGGGCAGGGTCAGGGCTGGAGTCCAAACGGAATGGAAAATCAGTGTCACTGATCCTGCTTTGTATAACACGGGGCATTGTTTTCCCCACGGTTTTCTTGCATTAACTTTGATTTTTAAAAATGCTGCCTGAAATATTTTTTTTATCTTGATTACTGAGTTTTTAGTGGCCCCTGATCTTTTGTACCTATGCTGAGCGCCCCCTGTGCCTCAGCCCAGTCCGGGCCACTCGTGGGTCCCCACCCAGAGCTCCTGGCGCTGCCAGAGGGCGGAGCGCCTCACCTCCTCGATGCAGAGAAGCCCCGCCCCCGTCTGCGGGTCGTACTGGCCGGCGGGCGTCTCTTTCTTCTGGAAGAACCACTGGAAGCGGGTTTCCTTCTTGGTGTTGGTCACCTGGGGACGTGCAGCAGGAGGCTCCATCAAGCTTCCTCTTTTTAACTAAACACTCAGCTCATCAGAATTTTTTTTTTTTTTGCCCGTATGACCCCGGACTCCTTGCACACACGCACCCTCACTGTTTGCCGTCAGCCATCTTCTCCCTCACACCTGTGTCTGCTGGCTTCTGAAGTCTGGACTTTTGCTAATGGTGTTACCTCTGCCTCTTGATCCCTCCCTCCTCTATTTTTCCTTGTAAATACCTATGTATCTTCGATTCAAGTTAAATATCACCTCCTTCAGGAAGCCTTCCTTGAAGCCTTCCCAGAGTGCTTCCATCACAGCAGGAGGCACGCCAATTTCCAAAGGTCCTGATTCTGACCCGTGGGCTCCTAGCAGCCCACTGCCCTGCACAATGTCTGGTGCACAGTAGGTGCTTTGAGTTTGCTGAACAGAAGTGCTTCTGGGAGAGTACCTGCCCCCACCTTCCCCTCCCCCAGTTCCCTAAAGAGGCTTCGGGGTGCTGAGAAGGAGCACCACTCTGGAGTCAGGCAGACGCTAGGCTCCACCTCTTGACCTTGAGCTATCTCCCCATTTGTTCCCTCATCCATAATGCAGGGGCAACAAATGCCCAAGTCCCAAGATGCTCGCAAGGCAGAGAGATATAAAATGCTCTGAAATACTGAGCAGAGCGTTGGACAAGGCTGCCAATAGACACCAGGGGACCCCTTCAACATGTAGACCCCTCACTTGCTCCCCAAAAAACCCTCCCAGGCGCAGCTTGGAGACTGAGTTCAAGACCAAGCCAACTCACACCCATTCTGTTCCCCAGGCTCTGTGAAGGCTGGCTTTGCTTTCTGGGTTAAATGCAGTCTCCCTGGGGCTATTTCCAGGAGTGGCATCAGCCAAGCCCTGGGTAGTGATTTTGGGGGAGCGGGGAAAATACAGCAACCAGGCTTGGGGACGAGCCAGAGATATCTCCCCGGCGGCCCAGGGGCAGGGCTGGAGGCAGGGGCGGGATTTGCCTTGCATGTGAGTAACACTTGGCAGTCCTCTGTGACCTTCCACTGTAAGAACTCCTCGAAATAGGGACCTGCAAGGGCAAAGCAAACATACCCGCAGGTCAGAGCTCCGGGCTCAGCCAGCTGGGGTGGGGGCAGCTAGTGGCCACTGGGACCCTCGGATTCTGCCCCCACCAGGGCAGGGGCTGGGGTAAAGCAAGGGGGGAGCCCAGAGTGTGAACTTTAAGGAGGCGTTGAATCTCCCGGTTGGGCAAGTGCTGTTTGGTTCCGGCACAGGGGCAGAATTGGGTTGAGTTACAGCGGCCCTTCCTTGGGGGCCTGGCTGGCCTGAGGGACCTATTAACCAACCCACTAGTCCAGAGTTCCCCAGCACTGACCACTGGCCTGGTGGCCGAGGCCTTTGAACTTCACCCCAGCGATTCTTACCTTGTTTTCTCTTCCAGTCCCTTCTCTTAGCATCTGCCTTCCTCAGAAGTTTGTCAAAATCTGTGAACACACAGGGAGGAACCGGCGTGAGCCAAGAGGAGAACAGGTCCGGAGATGGGTAGCAGGCGCACAGAGGAGCCCAGAGCCGGGCGCTGAGGCCGGGCGTGTGGGGCGGGGAGGGCAGGGCGCAGCTGACCGTCGTCCACCAGCGCCAGGGTGATCTGGTTTTTGGCTTTTCCGTCTTGCAGCTGCGCCGTGTACGACCCTTTGTCCTCCTCGCACAGCTCCTGGATGGTCACTTCCACCAGGCCCTTCTCTCGGTCAAAGTTGATTTTGCGGTTCTGGGGAGAACAAACCCCGAGAATCATTGTTGCTCTTTTCCAATCCTGGGAATTTGCACCGTGAAGTGCAAGTTGGGGTGCAGTTGGACTTGGGGGGCGATATGTGCACAGAGATAGAAGCTTTCAGAGATGGGGAGGGAACCCTGGATAACCCTCTGCTGCTTACAGAGTGGGGCCCTCCCCACGCTCAGCCCCCCAAAACACACCAGAGGGCCAAAAGACACCCTAAGGTGTTACTTTTTTTTTAAATACTTGTTTTACAATTTTTCATGAAAAGATAAAGGATAGTATTTAAAAAGCCTGTGCACTTGCTACCCGGAGTTAACATTCATTTATATCTTGCCACATTTTAATAGTTTTTGAAAGTTTTCTTTTCCAGATTTAAATTCTTTTTTAAAAAAGATATTACGTATTTTTAGAGAGAGGGGAAGGGAAGGAGAAAGAGGGAGAGAAGCATCAATATGTGGTTGCCTCTTGTGCACCCCCTACTGGGAGTCTTGTCCATAACCAAGGCACGCATCCTGACTGGGAATCAAACAAGCGACGCTTTGGTTCATAGGCCCACGCTCAACCCACTGAGCCACACCAGGCAGGCCTCTTTCCCAGATTTAGAATCTTATTCCCTCTGGCCTTATTTGTATGTGTGGTCTGAGGGAGCCATTTAGTTTTATTTCTATCTCTGTCAGGGCCGCCGACAGTCCTGGTGCTGTGTACTAAGAGTCTACACTTTGTAACACTTCCTCTGCCATGTGCCAAGGTCATGCTTAGTTGTAAGCAGAACATTGAAACTGATTTTCTCATTTGTTCCTCCTGATTCTGGGACAGCCAGCCGCATTGTTCAGATGCAGAAAACGGGGGCACAGAGAGGTGCAGGGTCCTGCCCAAGGGCACACAGCACAACCCAGAGGGGATGATATGTGGGTCCTGTGACATCCAGCCCCGAGCTCTTTCTCCTCTGTCAGAACCAGCACCCTCACTAGAACATAGTTTCTGAGGTCAATAAAATTCACAGATAATGTGATCTCATGATTGGATCTCTCATGAGATTGAGATTGTTACGTTTGTAAGTAAAAACCGCGGAATATGGGCAGCTCATGTGGGTCATCTAATAAAAAGCAGTGGAAAGCTACAACTGTAATAGGACAAGATGAAAGTAATGTGATTTTCAACACGAAGGTGCTCAGACACACATTCATTCTAAACTGATTTATAATGAGTTGGTTTGAATTTAAGCGAAGTAAGGAAAGCAAAAAGATCAAAACGGTTCTATACAGGAATGGGAAAATGAATGAACGAGCATGGGTGACATGTGTACTTGAATAAAAACTCTATTTGGTGTATACTGAAACTGCAAAAACTCTGTATATCTCAGAGTTAGGGTCTACACTCGGACAATTATAAGCATGAATGTAGGTTTTTCATCTGAAGAATGTCTGGTGGGACATTCAAAAGTTGGAAGGGGCATGAGAAATTCTTTCTGAGATTGTCCCTCGAATTGGCAAGCATCTACAATCCCTGCTATTTGCCCCCCAGGTGCTGAAAACCAGATATCCTTTTGCCCCATCCCACTGTCATTGTGACAGCCAGCCACAGCATGTGGCTCTTTCTGAAATATCCGCTAGGGGGCGCTCCCGACCTGTGGGGAACCGCTGTGGGAGTTTGGGGGGGGGAGGGGCGGAGCCACGTGCTGGGCTTGGAACGTCACTTAGGAATCCAAGCCCCAGTTACCGGTGAGCTGAAGATCTCCTTCTGGTTGAAGATCAGATGCAGCTCAGCGGCCGGAGATAACTTTTCCACTTCCAGCCAAAGCCGAACCTCCCCTCGCTCGAGAATGTCAATGTTCCAGCCGGAGATCAGCTTGATCACTGGGAGGCGGAGGACAGAGGAGAGGAAGAAGCGGGGTGGGGATTCTTCCCTTCCCTACCTGTGACCAGCCTCCCTCTGAGCACGCTGTTGGCATTCTGTGCAGCGCTTGGATGTCTGAAGGAGACGGACTGGGGTGGGGGTCTGAGAAGGGTTTTACTCGTGCTCGCTCTGTACTGAATTCACTTTAGGGAGGTATTTTCCCTCCCACAGCTGTAAAGCTGAGCTTCTTGCACTGGCTGAACACCAGCTCCCTGAGGATTTTCAAAAGGGGGAATGTCCTGACTCAAGCCCCAGGGTTCTGATTTGTCTGGGCCTTGGCTCAGGCATCAGGATTTTCAAAAGCTCCTGGGGTGATTCCAATGTGCACCCAAGTTTATGACATGCTACTAGCCAGAGGCTTCCTTGTTCCATTTTACCAGCTGCTGACGCCCCAGGTCTCTGGCCCTCCAGCCCCACGATGATCCCACTCTCTGTCCCTGTCCCTCCAGCTAGTTCTAGCCAACTCAGCTCTGCTCCAAACACCCAGGAGGCACCTGAGGATTGCTTACCTGGGTTTCTGATCTCATGGCTCAACTTCTTCAGCTTGTCCAGCTCTGAGACAGGAAGGACCAAGGAAGAAAACAAAATGAAATATGGGAGCCGTGGGGTCCATGGGAGCCATCATAGCATCCATGCTGAGACACCCCCCTCAACCTTGGGTCACTTGGAACACAGAGGGTGATGAGCACTGCGGACCTTGGCTCTGTGGCACCAGGGGGCATGTGGAAGGCTGCTGCAGGCCACCTTCAGATCAAGTGCCACCTCCCCAGAGAAGCACCTACTATGTGCCAGGCACTGCATTATCCTACTAGTACACAGTGCTGTGGGATGAGCATTGTTGTCCACCTCTGACCGCTCCAGGCCCACTGGTTCCTGGGCCCTATTCCTAAGCCTCTGTAATATGCTGTCCCAGTCTCTGAGGCCCGGCCCCAGCCCTGAGCCCTTCAGTCTAGAAGTCTCTAGGGTATCTCTGCACAGTGCTGTGTCCTGTGCTGTTTCTTTGTTGGATTTGTCTCTCTTGCTAAGCTGAGCTCTGGCTCTATGTAAGAGTCTGGTGCACAGTAGGTGCTCAATAAATATGTGTTGCATGGATGAACTGGCAGGGACAGAGCTCCTATTTATTTTTCCTTATAAGTCCCAGAGTGTTCAGCATGATGGGTCTGGGCAAGAATCCAGTTAACACCAAACCAAACCAGACAGAAAAACCCATCCCTTTCATGGATGGCTTTAGCTTGCATAGACTCATCTAGATGTATCTGCGTGACATTGTTTTAGTTGATCTCCAGAGAGGTGACATGACTTGCTCAAGGTCAAGTAGCCAGAAAACTGGCTTTGCAACTGGGTCTTTCTGGCTTCTGCTTCATAACAAAATCAAAGGACCTCCTACACTGTCAACAGGGAAGACAGTGGGCTGTCCCTCAGTTGCTATGGAGATAGCAGAGCATGAATCTTGTCAGTCATTAGCACGGATTTCAGTTCTGTTTAAATCATCAAACATGGATGACCCTTTAGAAGACATGGCATTTACTCTCTGGTTTGTCATAGCCCCCACTGTTCCCTATTGCCATTCTCATGTCTCTGACCAAATTATTATTATTATATTTTAGGCTACAGAAGGAAGTGAAATAATTCTGGTACCTTTGTTTTTATCAAAAGTAGAAAAAGGAGAGAGAGAGACAAGAAGAATGCAAACTCCACCAGACAGGGATTTCTGGCCATTGAGTTCATGGATGTAATCCTAGGACAGTATCTGGCCTGTGGTAGGTGCTCACTGGATATTTATTAATTGACTGGCTGATTGAATGGGTGGGTGCAAACTCTCCATCTGGGCCTGTCTCTCTGGGGAGGTGGCAGTGGAACAGGGGCATTACCTTCCTCTGTCAGCGTGTGGCTCGCTGAGATGTCTTCATCAGCATTGGTGACCACCACTGAGTAGGTGCCCAAATCCTCGAGGCCAGGTTCTTTCAGGATGACCTTGGACCTGGAGGAGGGAGGAGAGCAGATGCTCTGAGAGGGGCCTTGTGCCCTAGAGGCCTGGGAGCTGGGGTCTCAGCCAGCTTTGGGGCCCTGCAGCCCAACTCCGGACCCCAGGCAAGCTGGGAAATGGAGGTGGCTGCTTCCTCACACCTCCTCCTGGGTCCCCTGCCCAGGACAGCTCTGTCCTGGCACCTTCAGTGGCTCCCGTTTGTACGATGTCTGGCACAGGGTCTTTTTACTGGATGCACTGCTCTGTCTCTCTCTCCAGGGCCCAAGCCATCAGCCTTACTTTCCACTGTACAGGGACGAGGCCACAAGCTGCTGGGGGTGGAGAGTGAGACCTGGGGCCTTTGACAGAGACCCTTGCGGTTATGTTTCCACTCCCCTTGTTTACAAATGAGATGATTATCCGTTTCTACTTTCTCTCTTTACAAATGAGAAGATGCTGAGCCCAGGAAGTTCTGAGAACAAGTCACTGGCTCCCAGGCTGGAGAGCAGGTCCCAAGTGTCTCCGCGGAAGCAGTTACTCATAGAAAAAGACTCTATGTGCATGTTGTCATGTCAGCCCCTTAAATGCTGACACGTCCCTCCATTTGGCCCTGAAGTGGCGGTCGGTGTCCTCAGTGAGAGACAAGCAGCCCCCCTCTGCCCCGCTCATGCGTTATCTATGGGTCCCGCAGGGTGGTCTCACCCACAAGCTTCTGCCAAGTCACCGGGCAACACTTGGGACCTGGGGACTAGCTGTGCCACCCCTCCCGTCACTCACTTGTTAACTTCCTCCTGGATCTTGACCCTCTGGGGGTCCGGTGGGCCCTTGTAGTCCTTGGACCACTGAAACTCGGAGGAGTCGGGGGCCTCTGGGGCTTCAAAAGCCAAGTAGATGAAGCCTTCTTCATCCACGCCCACCTTGATCTCTGGGGCACCTGCGGGCAGGATACGGCAGAGGCCACCGGGTGTTTATAAACGGTGAACCACCACGTCGTGCCCTTCCGCTGCCAAACCCTTCCAGTGTCTGCCCATTGCACTTGAATAAAATGAACAGCCCCAGGCCCCTTACTGTGGCCTCCGAGGTCTTGCATGATCTGGCTTCTCAGCTCAAATGTCGCCTCCTCAGAGAGGCCCTCCCTGACCACCAGGGTTAAAGTAACCCTCACTCCGCCCCATTACCCTGTTTTGTGTCCCTTACGGCATTTCTTACTTTTCCCTTTACATAACTGGTCCCTGGTTCACTGTCCACCTGTACGTCTGCTGCCTGCACTAAGCAGGGACCCTGCTCTCTGGTCTCTGAGGCATCCCCTGTGTAATGTGGGCGTCACCAAATATTTGTCGAATGAATGGATAAGGCTTCATAGTTAGGAGAGCTGATGGTTCTGTCATGGACTGTTGTGTGGCCCGATCCTTTAACCTCTCTGGGCTACAGTAACATCCGTCCTAAAGTGGGGACAACGATGGCCCCTTCAGTGGCTTGTTGGGTGGGCCAGGGCAGCGTAAGAACCTAGCATGGCATCTGGCGTGTGTGGTAGGAGGGGATTTCAGGGGCTGTGGCTGCAGGCCCAGCAAAGCCTCATGCGGTGTCTGAAATAATGCTTGGGACTTGGCCTTGAGTATTGTTCTAAATGCCCATGAAGAGCTGCGTGAGTTGATGAGTGTGGCAGGTGAAAGGACGGAAGACCCCTTCCAAGAGGAGAAGATGCGTTCCTGTCTCGGGATCCCACGGAAATTCACGAAGTGGGGGATCGTGGGGAAAACAGGCAGGAAAGAAAGAGACGTGGAAGAAGAGTGGAGTGGCACTGGGGGGGGCGCAGGTCCTGTCCTTCTGCAGATCCTCCCGACCCCCCTCTGAGCCCCTTCTTGATGGCACAGCCCAGCGGTGGTGCTGGCACCTCCACCTGCCCCTACCTGGCTTGTCCTCCAGGAGAATGGGGTCAGTGGGCATGGACGGCTGCCCTGGACCAGCTGAATTCACAGCCTGCACCTGGAACACGTAACTCTTCCCCGGCTGCAAGTCAGAAATCTGGAGGCGGGAGGTGGGGAAGAAGGTGAGAGTGAGCACTGAGGACAGTGAAGAACACCCTTCTGGAAACCCTGGCCGCGGGTGCTGGGAACCACTCATCTGTGGAAGCCCAGGAAGGCACAGGCTGCTCGGGGGTGGGCATGGGCCAGGAGCACACTGCTCTCCTGACTTCCAGTTTTTAGGAGGTCTCCGCATGGCTGGGATTATCTCCATGCCTGTGTCTCCTGGAACTCCATCCACCCAGAAAACCCTCTCCCTCCCTGCTCCCTGGTTCCTCCTCGGCTTATCCCCTCAGGAAGAAGCCTGGGGGTCACCCTTGATATCTTTTTCTTGAGCTCTGCACACGTGATCCCCAAGTTCCCATGCTATTTCCCTGACGTTTCTTGAATGTGGATGCTCCTGGGAGTGTCCTGGCCATGGCCTCCGTCGAAGCCTTGCTTCTCCTGCCCCGTCAGTCCAACAGCCTCCCCGTAGCAGCTCTACCTCTGGACCCTTCTTCCCGCTCTGCCTTGCCCTCCGCCGATCTTTCCAAGAGGCCAGTCGGATTATGCTTCAATCTTTCAGTGGCTTCCAGGGTGAAGCTCAGATTTGGGGGTTTAATACCTAAACTCCTCCTGGTGTGAGCTCAGCCTCTGTCCTCTGGCTCCTCTCTGTGCCCCCTTCACTCCATGACTCCCTCAGGGTCCGCATGTTTATCACGCACATCATTTCATGCTTCCCTGCCTTTGCCCCTGCACAGCCCTCTGCCTGGAATGTCCCCTCCCTCCTCCCCCAACTCATCCTTGACTTCTCAGCTTGGGTAGATTCGAGGATTCTGGGAAGGTCTCTGACCTTCCCCCTTGGAGCTCCCAGAATCCCTTGGGTGCCCCTCCATTCTACAATTCATGCCACTGTGATCGCCTGTTACCCAAGCATGGTCACGTCTAGGGCCCGGCTCCAGACTTGGCAGGAAGTAGGTGTCAAGAGGTAATTAGTGAATGACTGAGCGAGTGGATGCCAGCCAACCATCCACACGCAGAAACGGTGCCAGGTCACCGAGGCCTGCCCTGCCCTGGCCCGGGCAGATCTGTGGGGCTGGGGGCAGAGAAGCCAGTGGCTGTCCAGCCCTGGCCGACTCTGTACAGGGGGCCTGGCCCGTGGGGCAGCAGCCACAGAATCTCACAGCATTCCTCCGGCTGAGGCTTGGCCTCGCTAATTCCCTCCCAGGTGGCCTTAATGTTACGTTTTCAAATGAAACATTTTTATTTATTTTCTGGTTATAAAGGAAATACATGCTCGTTGGGGGAACTATTAAAGCAATTGAGAAGAGTAGAAATAAAGGGTTGAAGCTCTCCTGGCAGTCCCGCCCCCCAGAGATGACCAGAAAAAACAATTCTGTAACGACCCCTTGAGACCTCGAACGCACACAACCCGTGTAAAAACGTGGCGGGCACCGTATTCTGTTTCTTTAGTGTCCTGTGCCTCACGCGTTGCTGTGGGCGTCTCAGCCCGCCTTCTGCCCTCTCCCTGCCTGTTAACGGAAGGCTTGCCTGTGCTTCTGGGAACCGCACACCCTCCTGCCTGCTGGTTAAGGACGTCCTCGGGAACGGGAGTCGGAAAAAATCTCCCCCGTCTCCCTAGACTGCGGACAGTGAACCCTAGTCCACATCATGGAACTGTCCTTACGGGTGTGCCGCAAACGAAGGGGACCTGGGAGATACCCCGGCTTCAGAGATGGGGGCCCCCGCCTGCACGAGGAACCCGGTGGCCGGGAGTCTGCGATTCTGCCGGACCGTCTAAGTTAGTGTTTCGTGTCTGCTTCGACCCGCGCCTCTGCTTTCCGGCCCGCACGGTGTCTGGGAGCTGTCTTTGTCATGCTGGGGAGCGTCGTTGGCACTTACCTGTCTCCTACAGGTGCGGGGGCTCACACAACCACCGCAGGTGAAGGCACCCGGCGATTCTGCCTGATTTCTTATGTATCCAAAGAGCTTCTTTCTATTTAAATTAGGAAACATCTACCTGCATATATGTTTGTTACTATGTAGACTGTGATATACATAGATTATATGTTATCTAACATATGTATCTCTTACTCTGTATCGGTCTTTTTCTTAGCCATATAGGATGGATATATTTTCACGTCAATATGCACATGTATGTTTGCCTTGTTCTTTATCTGATTGCCACTCCTAAACCATCTCGTCTTTATGCCACCTGCACAGAGAACATCCATTTGGAGGATGTGCTACAACTTATTTAAGCGACTCTCTTGATGGACATTTAAGTTGATTCTGACTTTTGCCTTTATGAACTGTGCAACAGTGGGCACCCCTGTCCTTAGATCTGTGTACGCTTGTTTAATTATTTCTCTGCACTTTAGTCCTTGAAACAATTCCTGGTTCTGGGGATGGGCTTGTTCAAATGCTGATAAGCCTCGCTGATTATAAGTGAGGTTTTAGGCAGGAGTCTCCTCACAGTGGAGCAGGTTGAGTCAGCAGCCAGCCAAACCTACTACCAATTGCTGTGTGACCTTGGATAAGCCACTCCCCCTCTCTGGTTCTCTGCTGCCATGAGGCGAGGGCAGTAATCCCTGAGGGTCCTTCCAGCTCTGCTGGGCTGCAGTCCTGCCATGTCCAGTGGCAGAGAAGGCCCAGGGTGGGTTGGAGGATGAAGGGGCCTGGGCTTACCCTCAGGTGGGTGCCAGAGACGGGGTCCGGGGTGACTGGCTTCCACTGCTCAGAGCCTTCCTCCTGGACATTGATGAGGTAGCCCGTGACCGGCCCGGTGCCTGTGTAGAGCGGGGGCTCCCACTTCAGCATCAGGGAGGTGGCCCGCACCTCCAATGCCTGCACGTCGTACGGGGGACCTGTGGGAGAAGGGTGGAGAAGGAGTCGGGCGGCCAGGCGGCCAGCCAGAGAGCCAGGTAGAGAGCTGGGTGGGCAGTCAGCAGGTGTGTGAACCTGTCAGTCACAACCAGGCCTGGAAGCACTTGTTCTGTGCCTAGTGGGTGGGGTCCTGGTTGGCCTTGGCATGGTGACAGAGCTTTGTCTGGGCCTGAAATAGGGTTAGCTCCTCCCGTCCCCATGTCAGAGAGCGTGAATCCTCCCAATGTCTTTGCCATCTCAGGGTTTAGGGGAGGGGCTGAGGGTGTGACTTCCAGAGTCGGATGGCCAGGGCTTGTGTCCCAGCTCTATCCTTGCAGGTTGTGGAGACTCTAGGCAAGTCACTTAGCCTCTAGGTTCCTGTTTTCTCATCTGTCAAATGGGGATAATAACAGTTCTTATAATAAAGTGCGGCTGTGCACATTAACAACATAATTTATGGAAAGTATAAGTACAGTAAATACCCAGGAAATATTGGTTGTTTATACTTGTTGTTGACTAAAGCATCACACGGACTAATTGTCTGCCATTTAGGTAAAGGTGTTGTGTAGAAAACAGAACTGAGCTGAACAGAACAATGGAGGAACAGGACCCTTCCTTCCCCAGGGAGGTGAGGGGCTCATGGGTGAGGAATAGAACAGGGCAGTGGGAGCAGTGTGTGGGTGACCAGTCTTTGTTTGTCCAGGACTTTTGGCGGTAAAGCCAAACTGGGGTAACTGGGATGAGTTGGTTGCCCTAGAAGGGTGCCTTTGGGGTTCAAGATGAATCTGTGGCCAGGATGAGAGGTCAGGTGGTGCGTTGAGCTGGAGCGTGGTTTGTGCTGGGGTGCAGGGCCCGTCGATGGGCAAGGTCACAGACCCTCTAAGGCAGGGGTAGGACTGCCTGTGTCGGAGACTGCAGGGTCCACTGGTGGAAGGGGCCAGAGGTCTGGCGTCTGGAACCAGCAGAGCAAATGTGAATGCACAGAGGTCTCGGCAGTGGTCAGTCCATCGCTTAGCTTCGGGGATGGAGTCCGTGCACAGGTCCAGCCCCTCCCAGCTTCTCACCTGGCTGGGGCATCGTCCACTCTTTGCATTCGAACAGTCTGCTGGGCGCCGACAGCTCACCCACACCTGCCCAGTTCGTCGCCCGGGCACGGAACCTATAGAAGTGGCCTTCACGAAGGTTGCTGACCTTAAGGAGCAGAAGCACAGACTGAAAACCCGAGGCTGGGGAGGAAGGAGCAGGGTTACGGCAGTGGGGGGAGAGGTTCAGAGCAGGAAGTCCATGGGGGCTGTAGTCGAGACTGGCCGTGGTCTGCACTTCAGGTACCTGGACGCTCGAGGCCAGGAGCTGAGGCCTCTTGCAGCTCCGGAGCCTCCTGTGGTGACTCTCCCACGCAAGGCGGGACACCAGATGGACGGCCACTTTCCAGCCTTACCTTGCAGACCTGGGTGGGGACGGGCTGCTGGTTGACCGGGTGCCAGTCCAGCTCCTCCGAGTCTTGCTGGTCCAGGAAGTAGCCCAGGATCTTGCCTCCTCCACGACGCTTGGGGGGTTTCCACCCGATGACCATGTCGTTTTTCCCACAGTTCAGGAGGATGAAATCGTATGGGGCAGATGGTGTGGCTACGGGGAGGCAAGGAGGTGAGACCAGGGGCAGTGGGGCCTGAGGGCGCTGGCAGGCCTCCCCCAGTGGGCGCCCACCCTCCCTGCTCCAGGGGTACTGACTTAGCCAGAGGTGCCTGCTGGTGGCCGGGACTTTGCCCCTGGGTGGGCCCCTGGTTGGGCTTCACTGCATGGCCTCGGGTCATTGTTACTTCCTTCCCAGGGGAGACGGTGGTCAGGGAGGGTCCGCTGATCCCCACTGGGGCTTATTCCCCTTGCCTCTGGGATTGGAACCTTTAAGTTGTGTTCTCTAATCCCCTGCTCTCTGCCCAGCTCAGAGCTGCCCCCCGACTCCTGCAGCCTGGACCAGCCCCCTGGACTTACCCAGAGCCTGCTTGACCCTGATGGGTTCGGTGGGCATTGAACTTTCCCCTACCCCGGCCTCGCTGACAGACCGGATGCAGAACTCATACTCCTTCCCTGTCCTCAGCCCAGGAACCGTAAACCTGAGAGAGACATACGCAGCATTCAGGGACAGCCAAACAGCTCGAAGATATTCAAAGACAATCAAAGTGTCATTTCTTCATTGTACAGCCCAGAAAAGCCCCCCCGCCAGAAGGAAAGAGGTGTGCCAAGGGCACACGGCTGGTCGGGAGCCCAGCTGGACCGCAGCCCAGCTCTCCCGAGACCCAGCGCATTGCATTATATCCACCCACTTGCTCGCTCAGAGGGTTCTGTGGGGCCCAGCAACACGGCACTGAAATGACCGCCACAGCGCGACTGAGCTGCCTTTTTGCCACCACCCCGGCAAGGTCTCCGGGGCAGCAGTGTTTACCCCCTTTCCAGCCACGACACAGGTAACCGCGGGCATGCACCTGTGCAATGAGTTCTCCGGACACACCAGAGGGCCATGCCACCCCCTGTGTGTGACACATTCCCCAGTCGTACCCTTCATGTGACTCCTCCAACCCCTGCCCTCCCTCAGGGACGCGCACTCAGTGCAGGTCGGGGGAGAGATGTTATTCTAGGGATAACGGGGGCCCTGAACTACTTTGTCAAAAGCCCGCTTTTCCCCCAGTTTGGAAACTTTAGTGGTAACAAATTATGGGTGACCTCTCGCCGCTGACTGTGAGGTGCTGAAGACCAGAGGGACACAAGTTCCTGTCACTTTTTCTGGACAAGATGATCTCGGGGCTTGTGGCCTGGGGTGAGGAGAGCCCAGCCAGGTGTGCTCCGGGCCTGTCCAGTCCTCCGATGGGAGGGAGGGGAGGGGTGTCACCACCTGAGCCCCTCCCACACAGAGCCCCAATACTGAGGGAACTCATGAGCCCAGAAGCCACAAGGCTCACCATCCCTGTGAGGACCGGGGCCTTCGAGTGCTGAGGGAGCCCCGGAGGCCAGCAGGAGTTGGAAAGGCGAGAGGACTGGAGTCTGACTGAGGCTCAGACGGGGCGAGTCTCTGCGCAAGGGCGTCAGGCATGTGCGGGGTGGCTGTGGAGTCTGAACCCCGGCCTCGCTGGTCCTGGAGCCACTGTCTGCCCTGCCCCCCCCCCCCCCCGCCCCGTCTCTCTGTCCCTCTAAGGTCCTGGAAGGACGACACCTAGTCAGTCACGTCTATCTGCAAACAGGACACCCTCAGCAAGTGTTGGCTGAAAAACAGTCCATCTGGGCCAACTCCCAATTCCTCCACTTACTAGCTAAGGCAGTTTTAGCAAGTTACTTAACTGCTTGGTGCCTCAGTTTCCTCACCTGTACAATGACAATAAAAATATTAGTCCTCAGATCATAGGATTGCAGTTAGAACTAAATGACCTAATATATGAAAAGAGCTTAGATGAGTGCCCAGTGCCATATGTGGCACGGTGGGCTTCATTGTCATTACGGCCCCTCTTCAGAGGATGCGCTGGTGCAGGAAGGGGTGGGGTAAACTCACTTGTTGCCCTGGATGGGTTTGTTGTTAACCGTTTGCCACTCAGATGACCCTGCTTCCCGGGAGTAGATGTAATAACCCAGGAGCTCCGGGCCCTCATTCACAGAATCCCAGGTCAGGGAGACAGAGGTCTGAGTGTCTCGGAAAGCTTGAACTTGAGCTGGAGGAGGGAGAGTAGCTAAAAAATAGAAACATGGGCCGAGTAAGGATGCTGAGTTACACGGCACTAACATGATAGGGGGAAAGTGGGGTGTGGGGAGAGGCGGGGAGGAGCCCCCACAGCAGTCAAGGGTGGAATGAGGATTCCAGCTGTGCCCTGGGGCTCTGGGCAGCTCTTTCCTGCCCCAGGGGTGTGCCCCAGACTCCTGTATTTTAGAAGTCCTCTCCCCTCTTACTTCCAAACATCTCCCCTTCCTCACTAAGGCTCCCATTCTTATAATTAATCCTTACAATCTCTCTCTCGCTTAGGAGTCACCAAATCTGCAGTTTTCCTAAGTGTTGAGCTTCAATCTCTAGAAAACTTGACTTCCTTTTCTTAAAACGTCTCTGTTGACTTTCATGGTTCTCTGAGACTGAGTTCCTTGAGGTAGGGACTGCCATGATTTGTTAAATGGACAGAAGGATGGATTGATGGGTGGGACAGCTTAGCTCCTGCCACAGGGGAGCAGGAAGCTGGCTCAGGAGGCAGGAGTGGGTGCTGCTTGGGGACCTTTGGAACTGAGGGACCAGTTGGCCACACTCAGCACCTATGCTGGGCCCAGCTAGATTGTGCAAGCTGTGAATCGTTGTTCTGGAAATAGGAAAAGAGTCTGTACTTCCAGGAGCCTCCCCTGCCGGAGAAATGTGGTTCCTGCTGTCCTAGTGCTGCACAGGCCTGCGATCCCATTGCTTTTCAGTTTCATGGGAGGTAGATGCGGGCAGCGACAGGGAGATGGGCTCGGCCCTGTCCCTGTAGCCCTGGGGTCCCGAGCCCCGCGTGCTGACTGCCGCCAGGGCTGGCCTGCCCTGCCGCCACCCTCTGTGTCTCACAGGTACCTGGCTTCCCACTCAAGGCGATGGGCTCGCTGGGCTCCGAGGGGTCGCTCATGCCATACTGGTTCATTGCTCGTACTCTGAAGACATACGACTTCCCTTTCTCCAGATCCAAAGGGGCGAACCTCGGGGATTTCACAGGAGTTTCTGTGCTGATGGCCTCCCAGGTGCCACTACCTATGACTGACTGTGACAAAGGAGAGAAAGTCGCGTTGGTTCAGCAGTTGTCCGAGACTGGCCCTGTGTGACCACTTCCCATGTGTGCCCTCCTTAACTTTTATCCCAGCCATGGCTGCCCCCGAACACCTGAGCTCTGGATCCACCTGCCTCCCCGCCATCACTACCTGGATGCCTACGGAGCATCTCACATTCATCACGGCCAGGACTCAGACCTCACGCCAAAGCAGCCCACGTGGAGTTAGTGACACCCACCCTTCTGCTTGCTCAGGCCAAAACCTTGGGAGGGATTCTGGCCTCTCTTCCTCTTTCCCACACGCCCAGAATATGCTCCATCCACAAATCCAGTTGGCTCTACTTTCAAAATGTATCCAGAATCCAAGCATGACTTGCCACCCGCATGTCCCCTGCCACAGCCTTGATCTGAGCCACTGTTGTCTCTCATCTGAGTAACTTTAATAGCCTCCTAATGGGTCTGCCTGCTTCTACCTCTAACTTCCTCCAGCCTTTTTCTTCTTCCTCCAAATGATGGTCTGAGGGGTCTTTGTACAGCACAAGCAGATCATGTCCTGGGCTGCTCAGAACCCTCCCTTAGCGAGGAAGTGGGGCTGGCTCCTCCTTTCCTTTAGGCCTTTATTCAGAACTCACCTTCTTGGGGAGGCCTCCCCAGTCCCCTCAACACTTTAAGTCCCCTCCTCGAGTTACGTCTTTCTCCTAAGTGCTACCATTAACTGATATGCTAAGTGTGTTACTCATTTATCTTGTTCATCCTTGGTCTCCACCCCCTGCTCGAATGTCAGCTTCAGAGGCAGGGATTTCTGTCTGGATCTGGGGCCAAAAACATGCCAAGTGCTCAGTCTGTGTTTGTGGGACGAATACGTGGGTAAGTAGATGAATTCTCACAGTAACCCTACCGGGCGGGTGTTGGGTTCCCCACTAAAGGGGAAGCTCAGGTTCAGGGAGTTTTGGAAACTTGGCAGAAAGCCATGCACCTAAGAGCTTGTGTATTTGGTATTTAAGCTCAAGTGTGGGTGCCCCAAACCTACTCACTCTCCACAGCATCTGGTGCCCCAAAGGCACCCATAAATTCTGAGGCTCTGGGTGGATAGAAGGTGAAGAGCTAAAGGTGATGCAGAGCAGTGAGGCACCCAGAGGCCACTTCTGCTGAGTTTGGAATGGGACTTAAGATCTAGAGGCACCAGGGGACCCGCTGACCCTGCCTTCCCTTTGCTTTCCCCCCTCCCTGAAGGCCTATCTGGCTTCCAGTGGCCTCGAACCCAGCTAGGCCAAGAAATCACTATAAAACCCAGTAAGCATTACTGAACACCTACTGTGTGCCGGATTCTGTTCTAGGTCCTATGTGCTTTAATTACTTTGTTCCTCATATTGACCCTAGAAGGTGTGCGCAATTTATTATCTCTATTGTACAGAAGAAAAAAATCAAGGCACAGGGAGACGAAATAGCTTGCCCAAGGTCACATAGCTAGCACATAGCAGAGATAAAATTTGAACCCAGGTAGCCTGGCTGCAAGGTCTTGACCATCATACTCACAGAACAAACCCTCGGTTACTACAACTTTCCTATGTTGGGGGAGCAGGGTCACTTGGAGTGTTCAAAGGAGGCCCATTTGGCCACCTACTATGTGCCAGGGTCAAGAGCATCTCCTCAGGAAGCATCCACAGGCCCAGGGCTGCTGGCCCGGGCTTCGTGCTGCATCATATTCCGCCCTCACAGGGGAGGCGTCCCGTCTGCGCTGGAGGAAACAGGGCCAGAGGGTTCGGGAACCTGCCCTCACGGCAGAACCCAGATGGGGAGGACCTTAATGCCATGCCATCTTCCCCTCTGCCTTGCCGCCTCTTGTTCACTGTGAAATCCACGCCGTATAGGTGCCCCCACCCTAGACCCCTGCCCTGACCCTGTTCCCAGTGAGGACCACCCCCTAAGCCCCGCCCCCCTGCCCTGTGAGCGCTGCCTGTCATGACCCTGGCTTGCGGGGACCAGCTTGGCTTCCTTCCCATCAGTGCTTGGCCCGGGGCGTGGCCCGATGTCAGCTAGACTTGGGGGCCAGGAGAGACCCCGGGAAAAGGGGATCTTACTGTTGGTAGTTCTGTGTCTCTTAATTTTTCATATTTCCATGAATAGCCTCAAGAACTGCCATCAAAAACTGGCCCCTCAGGGTGGGAGGTAACCTCCAAAGGTCATGGAATCCATGCCCCTGCTTCCGTGTTGGGCCTGCTTGGGGAACTCTCTTCCATGCTCTGAAGGCCTCCCCAGGGGCACATTGCCTCGCTCGGGGTCTTTCCACCCCCCGCCCCGAACTGCCCCACAACCAGGGTCCCACTGCATGTCCACTGCTCGGACCAGCCTGGGCCTGGGGCCTCGGGGTCTCCGTTACCTTCTCCAGGGAGTATGTCAGCGGAGCTCTGCCCCGGGGCCTTGGCTCCTCCCAGCCCAGAACCACGTAGGCCTCACGGATCTCGATGGCGTGGACGTTGGTTGGGGGTGAGGGGATGGTCACCAAGTCTAGAATCAGAGTCATCCAGAAGCGGAGATGAGTGGGCCCTCCGAGACCCCTAATCTCAGCCCCTCGTTTGATAGGGGAGGTAACAGGGGCCCAGAGAGAGGCAGGAACTTGTTCTAGGTCACCGAGCAAGGCCAGGCAGAGCTGAGGCCAGAATGCAGACCTCCTGATGTCCTGCTCCAGGCCCTCTGTGAGGGGCCTAGCAAGACAGGCCACCATCACCTGGGAACTCTGGCTCCCCCGACCGGACCCCTCCCCTGTGCCTCCCCACACCTGTACGTGGACAGCTTCCAAATCTTTGCTGACATTTGTGTACCGGAGTTTCCAGAACCATAAAGGGGTTTAGGGTCTTGGGGCAAAGTGTCAGGAGGTTCACACGTACCTTCAAAATCATCAGCGCTGACCATGATCTTGTTTCCCAGATCAAAGGAGATCTCTAGGATGGAGAATGGAGCAAGTTGGGGAAGGAGTAGGGGTGCTGGGTACATGGGGGCCGGGCCAGGTGGGTCAGGGCCGGACCTGCCCTGCGCTGGGTGCTGATTCCTCCCCTTGTTCCTGGCCCTGGCCTTTCAGCCCCTCACGGCGTGACCTCAGGCAGGGCCCAGCATTCTCAGGGCTCCAAAGCTGGGGCACTGCTGCTGCAGATCTTGAATGACGCTCTGTCCTCTTGGGACAAATGAGGACAGAGAGGAGAAGCGCTGTGCCTGGGCTCAGATTCCCAGGGCACAGCGGACCAGCAGCAAACCTAAGGTTGACTCCTCGGGGCTGAGGGCTATGTCTCCTTCCCTACCCCCCACCCCCCCAGCTGGGGGCTCCTGAGGCAGGGCTGTTTTCCCCCCTCCCATTAAGGGCACCCATGGAAGGTGCTGTGGTCCTCCCTCAGCGTAGCATCTCCTGTGCACGGGTTTGTTTCTTCCACCAGAATAGCTCTACCTCCCCCTCAGGCCAGGGGCTCCTAAGGACGACACTGTTTCCTCCAGCAGACTAGAGGTTCTTGAGGCTGTCTCCTCCATCACATTAGGGGGTCCTGAGGGCTGGGCTGTGTCTCCCTGCTTGGAACTGGGCTTGGGATGCGGGTGCGCCACCTGCGTCCTGTGTGATCAGTCCTGAGTGTGCCCAGACCGATGCTCTAGAATGTCCTTTCAGGGCCTTTGGACACACCTGTCTTCCTCCGGGCTGCATCATGGTCACCCATGACAACCGGTCCTGAGGCCTTGGAGGGGAGGCTGCTGCCTGCCTTGTTGATGGCTCTCACTCGGAATCGATAGCTCTGGCCTTCGACGAGGCCTCGGATCGGGCACCGACAGGTCCCGCCGGGGGCCTCATGGCAGGGCACCCATTGCCCAGACTCGCCCTGGCACCTGTGCGGGAGATGGCCCAGCTTTAGCCCCTGCTCGTGACTCGTACCTCCCCAGTCTGAGCCTCTACCAGGGGCCACTTCTCCGTCCTGGGCTGCCCGCCCAGCTGGTCTTGGCTAATTGAAGTCCTGCTCTCCATTTAAAAGCTTGGCTCCAACCTCAGGCCCCCAGGAGGTTGGGGGTCATCCTCCACCTCCCGTGGTGGAACCTTCCACGCCTTTCATGGAGATTCCTGTGTGCCTGAAGCTGTGCTGGGCCCTTCACACACATCGTCTCACTTAACCCCAGCAGTCGTGGAGTCAGGCGTGGTTGCCCACACTCTGCAAACGAGGACCCGCAGCTCAGAGAGTGAGACGGCTTGCCCAGGATCTCACAGCGCATGAGTGGCAGAGTTCAAGTTTCACCCGAGGGCTGTCCACTGCCCGAGGTGGCGTGCATTCCAGAGTGACCCTCAGAGTCTGGGTGCTACTGTCCTCAGGGCATATCACAGCACACATTACTGGGGGGAAGGGGCAGTGGTCACGTGTGGGCTCACATCCTGCCTCCACCACTCGGGAGCCATGTCAGGCATCGCCCCACGGGCCCCGGTTTCCTCATCTGTAGAGTGAGGCACTGCAGAGTCCCCCTGCCCCTTCGACGGGGTTGCTGGGAGGACGTAGTGAGATAGGGCAGGAGGCTCCAGGTACATAGTCTTCCAGCCCATCGGGGACGGGACTGTGTGCGGACTCAGGCTTGGACCTCTGAGCCGGCAGCACTGAGGCAGGCGGGGTGTCCGGGCCCTCCCCTGCCTGGCGTGCTCCCTCCTTCTGGGGTCACAGCTGCAGGTGCCTGTCTGTCGCTCAGGGAGGGAATGAGCCAACGAATGCACATGTGCTCAGGGTTCGGGCTCTGAGAGTTTGCCCTTCCCAGGGTCCGCTCTGCTGTACGAATTCCAGAGGGCAGGGCCCGACGCCAGCCGTGGGACTCCAGCTGTGAGCAAATACCCTCTTATTGCCCCTAAAGCGCACAGCACAGCTGGCCTCCTGACCGAGGCTGGGCACGGGGCTCCCTCTTTCTTGTGGCCCCGCGTGTGTCCTCACAACCAGGCCAGGGCTACCTCCCCGGGGATTCTGCCACTCAAGGGGCTGACTCACAGCTCGATAGAGTAGCCGATGATGGGGCTGCCCCGAGTGTCACTGGGTGGGGTCCAGGTCAGGATGAGGCAGTCTCTGTTCACATCCAGGCACAGGACATTCAGTGGGGAGCCTGGGGCCCCGGGCTTCTCTGCTGCAGCATCTGAAACCCAGGGTGGGGGTGGGGGCAGGAAGCTTCCTCCGGTCCACGTCCCCTGGGGGACTGCTCCCTCCCACTGCCACTCATTAAGCATCCAAGGGCTCACTTTTGATCTTGGGGACCAGGACCTGAATAATGGCTTCCTCTTTTTAAGCAACAGCATCTGGGGCGGTGGGATACCATTTACTAGTCTCTCCCTCTGCACACCACGCACCTAAGGCCGCCCCACCAGTGAGGTGACAAAGCCTGGAGGCAGAAACGGACCAGGGACCAGAATCACCCCAGCGTGTGCTCAGCCCTCCCTCCCATCTGCGACCAAGTCTGTGGCTGTCGGCTGTGTTCTTTGGAGGGTCCTGGAAAGCTGTAGGGATTCTTAGAGCGACTCTAACCCATCGGCCCATTTACAGCAGGGAAACGGGCCCCAAGGAGCAGGGGACTCGCTCAAAGTCCCACAGAAAATTAGTCAAGGCCAGAGCCCTGGTCTCTGGGCTTCAGCCCCCCTCGGCCCAACCCCCTCACCTCTCACAAACACATAGGTGCTCTGCTCCCGGGGCCCAAAGCGCGAAGCCACCTGGACGGTGTAGAGCCCCTCGTCCTCCTTGTAGGCACAGAACACCTTCAGGGACGCCTGGCGGTCTGCATAGAGGACCTGCTGGCGTTCCGAGGACCTTATCAGCCTCCCTGAGGAGGACAGGGGTCCGGTGTGAGCTCATGGGCCATCCGGGAACCTGCAGATACTCTGGGGCGGGGGGTTGTCTAGGCAGGGTTGGGGCTGGGTGGCTGCAGTCTGAGGCTCAGCTGGGGAGTCAGGGAGGAGGGGGTGGCTGCTGAACTCTCCAGAAGGCTTGGTGAGGGGCTGCAGTGAGGCAGGGCCCAGGGAAGGGGCTGGGAGCTCAACCAGAGGAATGAGGATTTAGGGAAATGGTGGGGTAGGTGGCTCAGTGAGCAGATGGAGGTTCTGTGAGGAAGTGAAAACAAGAGGCGGGTGCTGTGTGAGGGTCAGGGGCTCTGTGAGTGGGCTGGGACCCCCTGAAGGGGCTGGAGCTCCAGGAAGGGTGTGGGAGCTCAGCAAGGGGGTGGAGAACTGAATGGGGGCAGTGAGGGCTTGTTGAGGGAGCTCAGAAAAGGGTGGGGCTCACTGAGACAGCTGGGGTGTCAGTGAGGAGGGGACAGGGCTCATCGAGAGGGTTAGGCGTCAGCGAGGAGAGTGGGGACCCAGAGGGTGGGACCTTAGTGAGAGGAATGGGGGCTCAGGGAGTGGTCTTTCCTTCGAGACCACACTGTCGGGCTGTCCTGCTCCTTGTCCCACTCGAAGGTCCCTCCCTCCTCTCAGTGCCTCTATTCTGGAAGATCTGCAGGTTGGGAAATCATCCAGACTCGCTACTGCAGCTGTTCCTTGGGGCTCCTCCTGGCGCCTCCGTGCCTCCGCCCCCGTCCTGGCAGGTGCAGCCTCCCTGGGCTCAGAGCCTCGGGAGCCGGGGGCGGGGGCTGTACTCCTTGTCCTTGGGCTGCAGGCCTGGTCACGGATGGGGCGGGAAGGAGGTCCAGCCGTCCTCCTCCCCCGGGGCCGCCTCTTCCTGCCTCACCTGACCAGCCTTCCCCAGCCTTGCCCGTGACACGCCTGGGGTCTTCCAGCTCTTGGATGGTAATTATTTCCCGGCACCCACACCTTGACTGGGAAAAGCCCCGTGCCACTGTCACAACCTGCCCCCTGGCCCGGGCCTCTGTTCGGTTGCTTCAGGTGCCATCGCCCACTCTTAGGGCGCTGGAGAGGATCCTCTCGATGCGAAGGCTGAGACAGGGCCTGGCCCTGCAGGTCGTCAGCGGGCAGTGGCTGCAGCTGTGCTTTGGCTGCCTCCCTCCCCCAGACCAAGAGCCCCTGGTGCGGCTCACGGTCCTCCGGGCCTCTCCTGCCCCGGCACCCACGAGGCGGCCCTCTGCTTCCCTCTGCCTCTTCAGCACCCACGACCCAGCCTGCACTAACTGGGGGAGGGGCAGAGCTGAGTTTCTCTCCCCGCCAGGGGGTCCCAGGGTTGGTGAAGGAGCCCGGGCTCCAGTCCCTCTCTTCCGCCTCTGCCTCCGAAGGCTGAGGCCCAGGACGGGGTGTCCTCACCGTCTCGGAACCACTGAATGCTCTGCTCGGCGTCTAATACATCTTCCGAAAATAAACAGGTCAGGGAGAAGGGTTCCTTCTCACGGGCAAAGACTGGCTTTAGCACCGATGTGAATTCCACGCTGGGGCCGAACATCAGTCCTGGGTGGGAAGAGAAATTTAGGACAGATGGCTTCTGAGGCCGGCAGCCTAGCCTGGGGCTTCGGTGGGAGCGGGGACCCTTCTGGAGTACCTTCAGTCCTCTGGGTCAGGGAGAGGGGCCTGGTCCTGGGGGGTGGGGGTGGGGACGGGGAAGAGATTCCTCTACAAGCGACCAGATGAGCCAAAATCATATCCCCAAAGTCATACCCATTTGTCTTTTTGGGCTTTGCCTTTCTCAGTTTTGGCCACTGGACAACTTAGCAGCTGCCTCGGGACCCCCCGGACACCAGTCTGCAGACGTCAGCAGCTCCGAGGCAACCCCCACATGGACATTCTTAATGGGCAACGGATGGCCATATTCAAAGGGGGACTGTGGGGACGTCTGGTGAGAAGTCCCAGACACCCTCCCCCTGAAGGCCTGTCCCTCCCCGCAGGCTCCTTACTTTTGAAGATCTCTGAGTCGAAGCCAGCGTCCTTCCCCAGGTAAGCTGAAACGCAGAGCACACGAAGCTGGAGAGGGTCCAGCCCCACATCCTGCGGGACGGCGGGTGTGGCCTCTGGGTTGGGTTTGTGTCCTGCTCTGTTAGTGGCTCCCCCTTTGGCTTTGGGGAAGTTCCTTCACTCCTCTGTGCCTCAGTGTCTACCTCGGTAAAATGGGGACCGGGGTTCCTACCCGATGGTGGTGGGGCTCTGAACACCCGAATTCACATGAGCAAAGGCCTCCGCCAGAGCCTGCAGTTTGTGCTCAGTAAGTGGTGGTTTCCTTCCTCCGCCCAGCTGACTGCCTGGGTCACGTGTCTTCAGAGAGGTAGACCCTGGTCGGGCTGGGGTTCCTGGTGGGGTCAGGGGAAGGGGCAGCGCTAAGGGAAGCCGTCTGGGGGCCTAAGGGTGAAGTCCAAGGAGATGTTGGCACAGAATGCCAGAGAAGAGCACGGACACTTTTGTTCACATAGCAAGTGCCATGTGCCGCTTGTTAAAGGATTTAATTTCACAATAGCCCTGTCTGTTGGTGCCTTTGTAGTCCTCTCATAAAGGTGAGCAAACCCAACTAGCCTGAAGCCATCATGTGACACTGGTCCCTGGAAGGAGGTCTGGGAGACTGTTTAAGGTCACACAAAGTTGGTGGAAGACTCAGCATTAGAACCCAGAGCTCCAGCCTCCCAGCCCGAGGCCCCCCACTAGGGCCAGCACAGAGGCTGTGGAGATGAGCACAGGGTGTGGTGGTAGTGGCAGCGAGTGGACGGTCTTGGTAAGAACCTGGCTGGAGTCTGGGGGCCGATGGATTCAAAGGTGCTGGGCTTGATGAGGGGCCAAGATCTGGAGGAAGCCAGGGGAAGGGTGGGCGGACAGAGGGGACATGGCCCTGATGCCTGACCTTGGGCTTGACTCTGGGCACCTGCTATTTGTCTCTCAGGGTCACTGAGGTCATTGTCCTGGGCCCAGAGGTGTGGCCTCCTGGGCTGTGCTCTGTCCTGGTTGTGGGGTGAGGGAGGGAGACTCGGATAGAACTGCACCTTGCCTGTACCACTCAATTTAATCAACACGAGAGTCTGGGGGAGGCGGCAAGAGCGCCCTTGGTAGGAAGAGGCCGAGACGTGGAGACGCCTGCCCCGGCCCACCCAGCCTGTCGGCATCAGAGCCAGAGTGAGAGTGGGGTCTGCCTAGCTTCTGAGCACCTCCCCGGCCTTGTGCTGTGATTGCAGATGCCCTTGGGGTAACCTTCAGAGGTAGGACTGGGAAATAGCACCAGAACCCAAATGGGGCAGTGGGGGTCAACAGGCGAGATGGTAGGGCTTGGCTGTTGCCTCTGAGGACCCCTCAGCGGGGCTGGCAGGGCCGGGCCACTCTCCCAGAGGCCCTGAGCTGGATCGGGACCCGCACCCGACCCAACAGGACACTCGCACTCCTTGGAGACAGCTGTGTAGGTTGTGCAGCCTGAGGCGGAGATTCTCACTTGCTTCAAGGGCCTCGGGGAAGGGAGTGTCTCCATGGCTGCCCTGGTCACTTGGTCCCGGGCCAAGTGCCCCTGTGCCAGGGCCCCTCCTCGAGTCTGACCACAGACTCCCGCCCTCTTCTGCTCGTCCTGGGTGCTCGGTGGACTGGCCTGGCCTGTCGGGGACATGAGGACTTACTGCGGACAAGGACTTTGGCGTAGGAGGAGGCCTGGCCGTAAGCGTTCTTCACCTTCACCGTGTACGTGGCTGAGTCCTCCGTGGTGCATCTGGAAGGAGAGAGGGAGAAGGGCCCCCCAAGACCATTGGGCTCCATTGGGAGCCCGAGTCCCCATCTGGGGGTGGGGAAGGCGGGGATTAACGGGAGGGTCTCAGCGGGGAGACTTTAGGCCCTGGCTCAGGCTCCCCTTCTGAACAGCTGTGCCTTTGGGCGGGCCCCCGCCCCTCTCCATGCCTCAGTGCTCACCTCTGAAAAACTGGGGGCGCACCCTGACCCTAACCCATCTCAGGTGAGGGTACTTTGAAAGCAGGATTGTTACTACCGACTGTAGGATTAGAGAGGTTAAATGCCCTGCCCGGAGTCACACAGCAACTGGAATTCAGCCCAGCTTTAAGGCGACAAGCCCTTGCCAAGGCACAGCCTCCCGCCCTATCAACACCTCCAGGACAGAAGCCTGGAGCAGGCGCAGGGCACGGGCTTGCCGGGGACACACTGCCAGTCTGTGCCAGAGCTGGGCCAGATGCCCAGGTTCTCTCGGTCTCAGGCCCAGGTCTCCCACCATCCAGGCCACACACCTGTCATGTTCCCAGTGACCTTAGTGAAGAAGACAGTACTTGGCAGGCTGTGGCACACCTGGCACCCATCAGCGAGCAGAGAGGACCCTCAGTGCCCCCTCTCATCCCCTGGCTGCTCAGGGCAGGGATCCCTCTTGTTTTAAGGGTCAGTCCCACCTGCTCTACAAGCACTTCCTCCCCCACCCCCCAGACCCGTGGGCCTTCCCTGCACAGCCCATGAGACACCTCCCTCTATAGCATTGCGTGTGTGGTAGATACTTCCATCCATGTATCCCTGCATTGCTTCCAGAGGGTAGGGTCAATGTCCTGTGCATACGTGTGCCTCTAAAGCCCGAGTTGGCTGAAGCGGAGGGTTTGGTGCATGGGGAAGAACCCAGATGGAGAGAACTTGCTCCTACCCAGGCCCTGCCCTGTAAAAGCTATGCAACCTTTGACCTTTCACAGCCCCCGTTTCCTCACCTGCAACAACGCTTCCCTGCACGAACAGTGGCGGGCACTGCCGACCGAGTGTGTGGAGCGCCAGCACGGGGCTCGGCACCGGGAGGAATGCAACATGGGGCAGCCCCCGAGTTAGACGCACGTTGGGACTGTGCTTTTCTGCCTCCCTCCACGTGTGCGGTCTCTTCCTGCAAAACTGTGTTTGGGACTCGCCATCTCCTGAAAGGCCCGTCTAACTTTCCCTTCCCACTGCTTCCCCTTGCACATGTGTGTGGATGTGAGTGCATGCACGTGTGTGTGTGTGTGTAAGGATTTGTTTCTCTGCCCCAGCAAAGAGCTCTCCCGACTTGCCTAGCCAAGCATTCAGTCCTTGCTACTGGCCTCTGGGCCCACGTTTCTCAGTGTGGACACATTCCCACAGGGGTACGTGCTACATATCGATTCCCGGGCCCCACTTAATCTGGATCTCTCGGGGTGAGAGGAGGGTCTTTCCCACAAATCGATATTTTAACAAGCACCCCAGACACTCAGTCAATGGCTCGGAGAAAGGGTTGGGAATCCTTCTCTGGCTTCAGGGGTACTGGGGCCTGGGGGTCAGCGGTGTCTTGGGGCTCACAGCCTCACCTCCTAATCTCCAGGGTCAGCAGCCCGTAGTTGTTGGTGATTCGGTACTTTCCGGCAGGGAAGAGGCGAGGATCGATTCGCGTGTCATTTTTGTACCTGCGGAGACACAGTGGCCTGTGGCAGGCAGTGTGTTTCCGAGCAGGAAGGATTCAGAGCCTCTGGACCTGGATTCTGACCTCAGCTCTGTGCTGTGTCCTCACCCATGTGACCCAGGGCAGCACATTCACTGCTCTGAACCTCATTTGTTCCCATCTGCGAAATGGGAGCAAGAACAGCACCAACTTTGTAAGGTTGTTGTACCAAGTAAATGTGGTAGGATGTGCAAAGCTTTTCTCCAGTGGCCTGTACATTATAGATGCTCATGAGTTCCTTCCCTTCTGGGAGGCAGAGAAGAGGGAGACTGTAATTAGGGGCGGCTGCTCCTCTCCATATTGGGGTGTCTCCAGGGACCAAGGCCCAGACATTCCCTCCTCTGAGGTGGGTTACCAAGGAAGGTACTCCCATCCCTACTTCCCTCTCGACCCCTCAGGACAGAAGTTCTTCATCTTGGCTCTTGTTAAAAGCATCAGAGGCAGCTTTAAAAATCTCCACGCCCAGATTTTAAACACATGTCTTCAAGAATTTGCATCATAAACTGCTAATTATTCTCCTATAGGCGTTCTTCTCTTATTCTAAAGGATTAGAATGGATCATGGCACCACTAAATACTTTATCACTCAGCCTCTGTTCTGCTAGGTGCAGCCATGTGACTAGGTGTGGTCAGCAGGAAGTAAGACAAGCCTCATGTGGTCCCTTCCGCCCCTCATGACACCATCTTTCCTTCCACCCTGAGGCAGAACGCACTCTCACACAGGAGACACCAGGCCTGAGTCCCTGGGGAATTAATCCGCGAGCAGCACTGTGACAGCAGTTCCCCCATCTGCAAAGACACTTACACCAGAGAGGAGTGAATCCTCTTATTTAAGCCGCTACAACAGGTCTCACGCCCAGGATGCATCGCAGAATTAAAAATCACAGTTTTTGGAGGTGGGACCTGAGCGCCAGTATTTTTTAAACTCTCAGGTGATTCCCAAAGGTGGCTGAGCAGATCGCTCCTCTGCTCCTGGACACTGCTGCTTGTTCCCTGTGACCACTGGGGACCTGTCCTCCCTGATGTGGGCACTGGACTGTGAGGTGGGCTTGCCTCTTCCATCTTCCATCGCCCATTGACGGGGGTCTGGAGCCTGAGGAGTCAGGGCTGCTGAATGAACGCCTGTGGAAGCTACGTGGCCTTGGCACACATTGCTGGGTGACAGTGGTCGGCTTCTGCCTTTCCTAGAAAAAGCAGCGACTGTGGCTCTGGGAATGACCTGGACAGCCAAGGGCCTCCGAGCTCATCTTGCCCTCTCTCTCTCTGGGCTTCTCCTGCCTGTACAGGGGGCCCTGGTGGCATGGGCCGTGCTGACGGTCCTCTGCGGCAGCCAGTCATAAAATAGTAATACACGAGAGAGCCGAGGCTGGGACACACAGCCCAGAGCCTGGCTCAGAGAGGTCCGCATAAAAGAGTGAGATTTTTACTATTTGTCTAGATTTCCCTTTCTCTTCCATACTTCAGTGTTAGGTTTTAATTTTTAAGTCTGCCTGGCCTAGGAGACTGACTCTGACCTCAGAAAGAATCGAGCCCAGGGTCCACTTCGGCAGCATGGATGTGGCCAGACGCGGGCCTTGCCCAGCTTGCCCTCCTGTTGCCCCCACATGTGCGAAGTACTTAACAATTGCCGAACACATGGACTCACCCCCGAGCCCGGTGGGCCGGGGTGTTGCTCCGGACCTGGGGGCCGGTCTCTCCTGAGCCTGGACAGAGGCCTGGAGGCCAATCCCAGGGTGTGTGTGTCCCTGCTGGAGGTGACTGATGGTGGAAAACCAGCCCCAATGCCGGAGCCGCAGGCTGGAATGCTCTGTTGTGGCAACCTCGCCCTGTTGTGACAACATTGCTGGCAGGGGTGGAAGCGAGCCCCCTGCTGCGTGGCTCCCACAGAATGCTTCAGTGTGGCCCTCAGTGCCAGGGCAGGGCAGGGCAGGGTGTGGCCTCCAGCCGGGACAGCCGAGGGGCTGACCCGTGCCCCCCCAGGCCCAGCTGGCGGGGGCAGTCCTCTAGCGAAACAGAAGCTCGCAGGCAGCGACCGCCCTGGCTCCCGCCAAGTCCCAGTGCCCAGCATGGTGCCTGGCACGCTGTTTTGAGTGAACGTCATCTGGCAATGGCCAGTTCCAGTGTTAACACCCTCCAGACGCCTTCTCGATTGCTCCTGGCCTAGATGCTTTCTATTTCTCTGACTTCTGAAGCATTAGGTGTGCTTTAAGGGAAAAAAAGAACTAGGATTAGGACTTTCCTGCTCTCTAGGCCAGTGGAAGGGTGTGGGCTAGGAGGCGAAAGACCCAAGTTTGAATCCCGACTCCCACTGGCTGTGTGACTTTTGACAGGTCGCACTGCCTTTCTGAGCCTTACTTACCTTCACCTGTGAAATGGGGGTAATAGGCTGTGGCCCCAAGGCTCGAATGAGAGAAAAGTGCAGGGTCATTGAAAAGTGGGTTCAAGTACAAACTGTTGTTTTTTCCTTTGTGATCTTGGTTTTTGTGTGCTTATCTTCTCTCTTCTACTAGACCATGGTCTGTTTACCTTCAAGATCTGGCTTGTATGTTACCTCCTCTGAGAAGCCCTCCTGGATTTTCCAGGTGAGGGCAGCTACTTCCTCCACTTCACCTCCACTCTTTTACCTCAAATGTCCCCCATGAATATACGTCTATGTTGACATTTCCCTTCTGGGCTGAGAGCTCCTGGAGGTGAGACTATGTCTGGATCATTTCTATACCGCAGCGCCTGGGACAGATTATGATTTTCGTAAATAATTGGTTGAAATCCTGTCCTCAGCTTCCAGTGTGGCTGACAGCGGGCCTTAGACCCAGGGGAACTCAGGAAACTGCGGGAGCAGCTGCATGAATGACATGCCTCCCTTCGTGGTAGAACCGGGACCCCGGGCATGGCCGTGGCCACCCCCAGTGTCCACGATGCTTGTTAGGAGACACCTGCCACCTCCCCAGGGAGCAGCTCCTGCTTTGCAAGCACCTTTCACATCCTGAGAGTTCTGACATTGTGGTGGCATCAAATCTTCACCAGAGGCAGGCTGGACGGGAGGTATTCAACCCATTTCGTAGAAAAGGAAACTGAGTCTGGACTGGAGCGGGTAAGAGATCCAGCTGGGACCACGCAGTGGGTTAGTGGAGGGACAGAACCAGGTCTGGAGCACAGAGCTCCCACTCCAGGCCTGAGCTGCTTCTCACTGGAGGGCCCCTGCCCTCCCACCTGCTCCCCTGCCCTGCCTCCCCGCCCCCCAGCCACCCCACCTTGTCATCCTCCTTCCCTGGAGACACCCAGCTGGGAGCAGCTGCCTTTCCATGACACCAGAACCGTATTTTTACAAGGGCTGGCTCCCATGGCCCAGGCGTCTTCTAGCCCCAGGCTGGCTGGGAGGCAGCTAAGAATAACTTCTCCTGAGCCTCCGAGCAGCTGCTGCTCTGTTTTGGGGGGTGGGCAGAGCTCAGGGCCTGGGGGCTACAGGACTGGGCCCCTGGGGGACGTGGGGCTGTGAGGAACTCACACTCACATAACCAAGGAGGCGAGTGAGCAAGGCAAAGACCCCCCTCTCCCGCCCCAGTGGCTTACCAGGTGGCCTGGGGTGGAGGTGAGCCCTGGACCGTACAGGTCAGCAGGACCGTGGCGTGCTCCCAGACGGCGTGGGAGCGCAGTGGGATCCAGAACCAGGGCCCCCGGCCGGAACACAGCTCCCTCAGCTCTTTGGCCTCCCGGATCTTCTCCTCGGTCTGGAGGCAGGAGAAGGTCTGTGAGCCCTATGAGCCGGGATGCCTCTCTCCCCCATCTTCACGGCCACCTTGCTCCCTGACACCCAGGCTGCTCTGGAGTCAGGCCTCCGTCAGCTGGAGCCCCTGCAGCCGTATCTGAGAGGCAGTGTGGCCCAGAGGGCAGAAGGTGGGCTTTGGAAACACCTGGCCAGGGGTCAAGGCTGACTCTGCCACTTACTATTTGTGAGACCATAGACAAATCCTCACGTTCCTCTTTAGTAAATTGGGAAGATAGTAATATGCCCCTACCCCACTGTGGGGTTGTAATGAGGATTCAAGGAGTTGATATGCGAAAAACATGGGCACTGAAGAAGCCCATGTAGGTATTAGCTGTTGCTCTCCCGCCGGGGATCCCTGCTGTCGGTCAGGAATAGCATTTGCTGAGGGTCCTCGGAAGTCCTAGGCCCTGGGAAAGCGACTTTGCAAGCCTGATCTCGTTTAATTCACACCTCAACACTGAGAGCTGGTTCAACCACATACATCTATTTGGAAGATAAGAAAACTGGCTCAGGAAGAATCCGCTGCTTGCCTAAGGTCACACAGCTGGGGGCGGGGGCACTGAGATTCAAACCCTGGTGGACGGCCAGGGTCTGCAAAGAGGGTCGAAGTAAGGTGGGTGGCACCTGATGGGCTCCAGGTCTCAGGTCCCCGGGGCTCCCCAGCCCAGCCCCTCACCCGCCGTCTCAGCGCCTTGCGGTCACGTCTCTGGCGCAGCAACCACTGGGTCCGCAGGAGGGCGATGTCTGTCCTCTCCAGATCATTGCCGAAGCGCACCCGCTTCTGCCCTCGCTCCTCCAGCTCCACTGTGGAAGTCCGGCGCCTCAGCTGGGCCTCCCTGGGTGGCAACGGAGGGTGCAAGTGGCTGGTGGCTGGAGGGGAGGGCATCCCAGCCATTGCCGACACCTAGCATTGCCACCTGCACTTTAAGCTTCTTGAAGACAGAATAACTTTTAATTCTCTCTTGCCTCCAAAAATATGCAGAATGGGTCCTGCATTCAGTAGGTGCATAATAACTACTCTCAAATGGTCTGCAAGGCTCTTTCACAAACCGTTGTTCCTCTTGTTTTCACTGCAACCAAGAGGACAGGGGTCAGTCCTGCCGTTTTGTAGGACAGACACCTGAGGCTCAGTGACTCGCTTCAGAATGGCCAGGACCAGGACCCAGGCCTCCTAGCCCATGACACAGCCTCCCGATGTTCTCATGCTGAGAGGCCTTTCCAGTCTCGGACTCGTTTACTTGCTCCTCCTCTCTCCAGCCCCCTCCCACACCCTGTGTGGCCAGCTGGTGCAGGTGGACCCCCCACCCTCCCTCCTGGAGATGGTCCCCTACTACTGCCTGTGAACGTATCCAGAAGGTGGCGAGGTGGGCTCTGTGGTCAGACAGCCCTGGGCTTTAACCTCGATTCTAGACATGTCGCTCTGGCAGCTTCTTTAAGCGCAGTGTGGGAGCCCCGCACGGAGGCAGGGGACTGGACAGGGTGGCCCCTTCTCAGCCCAGCGCTCTCTAGAAAGGTCGCTTGACTTACCAAGATGTCTCTGAGGTGGCCGTCAGAGCCAAGGCGGCTGCGAGGGCGTAGTCTGCGGCGCTGAACTGGTACTCTTCCTCGCTGCCCGGGAGAGAAGGGGTTATGGCTCCTGCAGGTTTGCTGGGTGTCTGGCCGGGGCTCCCTGAGTTTAGGGCTGTGTCCGTCCATCTTGGCCTCAGGGAACAGCAGGCGTGGCTGTGCCTCCCCTCACACCGGGGTCCCAGAAAGCAGGCTGTGCCTCCTCCTTCAGACAGAGTGGTGCCTCCCCCTCAGACTGGGACCCAGGGGATAGGGCAGTGGCCGGGGTAGGGCCCTGATGCCCCCACCTGCTGCGGAAGGTCCGCCTGCGCACCGAGGACCCCATGTGCAGGCTGTGCTGCCGCTGCTCCTTCTGCTCCTCCTCCTGGCGGTGCTCCAGCCTGTGGACCTCCACGGTCTGCTGGGGCTGGGGCTCCGCTGCATTTCCCGGGCTGTGTGGCAGCGTCATGGCTGTAGGGACAACAACCTGCCAAACCAAGGCTACACAGTCACTTCATCGGTCCATCCCTTCTCCACGTGGTCCCAGCACCTCTGGGAGGTTTGTGGGGTGAGGAGGTGGGGGTTCTCTCTCCAGGGGGCAGACAGGGGGAAGGAGGACTGAGAGGGAGAAGGACTTGCCCAAGGGGACAGAGGCGGGTTCTGTGCTCTGAGCCTGGCTTATCCACCACCCAATGTGATCCCCAGCTGAGTGGGCAGAGCCCCACGTTGGGGATCGGGTTCCAGCTGCAACCCTGTCCTTGCTCGCTGTGTGACCGGGGGGCAAGGCCTTGCCTTCTCTGGGCCTCAGCTTCCCAGATGATCTCGGTGATGTTCTGTGACTCACGGTGGGCAGCTGTCCTTGCTCTCCCTGCAGGCGCCGCACTCGGTCCCACCTCTGTGTCCTTCCCTGCACTGGCTTCCTCAGCTGGAGAAGCTTCTCCGCCTCCTGGCTTGCGTGAACCTCTGTTCACGCCTCAAAGCCCAACCTGAGCTCATGTGAGCGTCATGGTTGAGCGGGGAAAGCCTGCGTCCAACCCCCTGACTCTGATCCCAGCTTCTCATTCCAGTTAAGTGTGTGACCTTGGACAAGGACTCAATGACTTGGCTTCCTCATCTATAAAATGGGTCTACCAACCTCCCACGGGGTTTGGAAAGGTTTGTTGAGTGCCTGACACATAGTAGGTACTATGTAAGTGGTAGATATGGACATTCTGTTTCTAAGAGCTACTGAAAATCTACAGCCCCTCCTAGAATTTTCCCTCCTCTAATCCCTTTTGTACTTTGTATTTGGATTTCACAATTTAGCTCTGATTTTAAAAATGCCTCCTCTCTCAAAAGCATTACCCTGGTCCCTGCAACAATCCAGACAACACAGCTCCATTACCATCCCATTTGGCTCATGAGGAGGGAAGGGCTTGCCCGAGGTCACGCAGTGGGCTGCTGGTGGGGCCATGACCGTCACCCAGGTCTGCCCAGCGCTGAGCTTTCTTGACCTCTATGTCACGCACCCACTCAGGGCCAGGCCTTAGCTGAGGCCGGGCACACAGTGGGCCCATGGCTTTTCTTGTTATAAGGGGTTCGTGACAGAGGGGTCCTCCCTTGCATTCCCTGGCTCAGGGCAGGGCCCCTAGGTCATGCCCCGTGGAGCTGGGTCAGACTGGTCTGGAGGAGGCTCAGGGGTCAGGGAGCGAGTCCTGGAGAGGGAGGCGAGGAGGCGGGAAGCCCCTGAGCTAGCTGCTCTGGGTTCTTGTCCTGGGTCCTTTCTCAGATGGGGACCTCGGTGTCACTGCTGGGATTTGTGGGCCCCCCCTGAGACGAAGCTCTAGGATGCTCGGGGGAGTCCCTGGAATGGCTTTGACACCTCCTCCAGGTGGGAATTCTGGGCGGCAGGCCCCTGCCCGGGGAGGGTCCTTGCTGGGCTTGGACCTGATACAGACCCTGACCATGAAGAAGGAAGCAGAAGAGAGTGACAGACACTCCAGCCCTGTCCTGTCTGCTCCCACCAGGCCGAGCTCTGTCCTGGCTGCCACTCCTGCTGAGGGGCCTGTGAGTGTGTGTGTGTGTGTGTGTGTGTGTGCTGAGCTGGGTGTGAACAGGGAACCCAGGTGACCACTTCTCCAAGTTCATGGCAGGTGGCCCGCAGGCTTGTCAGAGATTCTTGGTCTGTTGTGGGGTGTCAGGGGCTCAGGCTGCCAAATGTCACTCTTGGTGGGTATTTATTGACTCCTTCCAGTTCCTAAAAGCTTGTTCCTTTGGGGTGTCCATGAAGAATACCCAAGAGAGACTGGATTACTGAGGGGTGTTAGCCGGGACCAGGGGCCTGGTGCCATGGCCTCGGCTGAACAGGACAGGACACGCACTCCTCGGGTGCCCGCCTGGTTGCTCCCGATGGAGAGGGTCTGCCTGCACCCAGAGAATCGCAGTGCTGATTCTGCTCTTCCCTCCTGACAGCCCAGAGGAGAGCTGCTGGGTGCCACCCCAGGTTGGGGGGTGGCGCAGCTTTCCTGGGACTCTGTGGCCCTGGCCCCAGCAGCTGAGGCTTAACGGTCCCTGGCGTCAGCGGCTGGCTCCCTTCCCCAGATGCTTTGTCCCAATTAGCAGAGTGGGTGGGCCTGGCGCTCATCCCTGACCTCCTGGGCTTCCCGAAACCAGACCCCCGGCTTTAGCAGATGAGCCATCGGTTCTTTTTAAAGCGCTGACTGAGGCTCAGGATTAAGCGTCAGGAACACAGCCTCCCCTGCCCTCTCCCCAGAGCTGTGGGTGCCTGGCGGGGAGGGGTCAGCAGGGCGAGGGCCAGGTGAGAAAGCCGTCCCCTGCCCTCTCCTGGGGGTGCAAAGCCCTGGGCCGGAGGTCCTGCCACTTGGCCCCCTTCCTCCCAAGCCTCAGCCTGCTTTCGCACCAGCCTCTGCCAGGCAACCCCGGAGGAAGCAGGGGCAAGGCAGCCCTCCCCTTCCTCAGGAGGGAGAAAGGGTGCCCAGAGGCTTCGCGCTGGGTCCCGTGGGCGGCCGCAGAGACAGCCCGTCTGGCCTCTCCACTGTGGCTCCACCAGCTTCCGAGAGGCAGCTGCCGCGGGGGAACTGAGACAACTCTTGCCCTGTCTGGGCCTCAGTTTCCTGCCAGGCTGGATGGGCGCCCTCCTGGCCCTGCAATTTGTGCCCAGCGGGCTTGCTCTCTTTCCCTGCCCACTGGGTCTGCCAAGCATGACCCGGCCAGCACTACTTAGGTTTGCTGGACCTGCTGGACCAGTTTGCCAGTCCACTTCCCATGTACCCCCAGATGTCTTTCCCCTCCCCCCCAGCTTTTGCATCACAGAGTTCAGCTTGGAAGACCCAGGGCCACATGGAACAGTGAGACGGACAGAGATTTCTAGGCTCTTCTCCCGTTTTAATTCGGGTGCTGCCTAAGCACCTGTCTGCCCTCTCTCTTCAAGTCTCCCTGGCTCCTTTTCCAGCACACGCACAGCCCACTTCCCAGTGGGAAGTGAGGGTCTCACTCCCTGGAGGTGTCCCTCCGCACCCCGATCCCTGGAGGCGACTTACAGGAGCAGCGTGTCCACGTAGGTGTCACCGGGGAGCCGACTCCAGAGGACGAGAGGATCCTTGGTCTCTTCTTGCCCTGGGCTCAGCCAGCACAGGAAGAAAATGTGATCCTGGAGCCTGCACGCAGGGGCCTTAAATATAGCAGCGCTGAGACCGTGATGACAATGGACGAGGACTGTAAGGGGTGGTGGTGAAGGAGGGGCCGTTCCTCCCTCTGCCGCTGTGGCAGCAGCAACAGGTGGAGCCGTCCCCACCCCCACCCGGCCTCCCTGACCACTCCTCCTTCGTCAGCTGGGTCCCTTCTGCCCAACTCCAGCCCCCCAGGAAAGTGGAAAGACGGGAACGGCTCTGGCTTAGGAGTATGGAGAGCAGATAAGGGTGATTTCCCGGCTGCTGAGTGCTCTCATCTGAATTCTCCCCGCACCGACCCGTGCCTTGGGGAAGATGCCCCGCATCTCCAATCTGATTCCCCTCCTGAAAATGCAGACAGCGAGGCTGGACACCCAGACTTCATGAAGACGGTGGAAGGCATGGACCTAAATATGAGTAGTGCTCCAAGTTATCACTGGCTAAAATGGAAGTATGTGGCCTCTCGTCTCTCCACCTCCCCCAGCAGTGACTGAGCCAGCCCCTGTGTGGCCCCGGCCATGTACGGATGAGGGCATGGCACTGGCCAGTGGGGAAGCCATCTCTTCTTCACTGTCCAGGTTCCTGAGGCTGTCACCGTGGCCCATGGGGGACCCTTATTCCCAACCTTGCCACGCACCCTTCTCCCATCTCTTTTCCCTCACGTGGCTTGCATCTGCCCTTTGCCAGGCCTGGTGGGCACCAAGGATACAGAAGCGAATAAGATAAGACCCGTGATATGGAGGCATCTAGATGGGAGACAGGCCGTTACAACGGAGGGGTCAGGAAGGCGAGCCCGAGCCAGGTCTCAGGGCACGGCCAGGTTCGCGGGAGGCTGTGCCAGCTCTGGTCCTGAGAGCAGTTTCCCCCGCTCGCCCCTTCCTGGGGCTTTAGGGGACCAGAGCGGTGGTGCCTGCCACTCTGCCTACTGTCTTGGGCCTCTCACTGGAGGGGGAGAGAGAGAGAAAACAAACTGATCTCTTAGTCAAAATCCCCGTCTGCCACCCCCTTTGAAAGCCCCTGTCTAGGCCTTCTCCCTTCCTCCCTGGCCACAGTGTTAAGAGCATCTTTTGGGGGCAACCCTTGGCAGCTCTCTCCCACCTTGTATTGGGCCGACCCAGGGCTTTCCCGGGCTCACATTTATGCGTTCACTGTGAGTGTGAGTGTGTACATACAGCAAAGAGGGAGGTGGGCTTCCGGCCCATCAGGAGACTAACATTTAGACCAGTTCTGTGCCCCTCTTTTCCCCAAACCAACCTGTGGAGGTGCCTCCCCTCATGTGCCGTATGACCTCAAGCAAGTCACTCAACCATTCAGGGCCAGGTGTCTGTACGGTGGGGTCAATGAAGCCTGCCTCACAGTCCGATGGAAAAGAAACATCTAGGAAACAGTGCCTGGTCCCCGATGCCTCGGTGGGGTCCCCAGTTTGCTGACTGAGCGCCCCACCGAGAGCTGCGCGGCTCTGGGAATGTCAGGGGCCTTCTCCCACCTGCCCTTCTGGGCGTGGGATTCCCATGGACCCGTCTGCTGACCACACCCCAACGATGCCCTCACTCCTCACTGGGGATCCTGACGTGTCTCAGTGTGAACACAGCTGGCCCTCAGGTCCCGAGGCTGTGGGGACGCTATACTTGCAACGGTGCAAGTCGGTTTGAATCCCTGTCTCTGGCATCTGTGCTCACCAGTGGGAGCACCAGGGCCTCATCTCCAGGCCTCAGTTTCTTTTAAATTGGTAAATTAGAGATAAGCTCTAAGATAACAGGGAACTCGCCCACCTGTCTTAATTAGCCCTCGTCCCCAAACAGTATCTGGCATACAGCTGGGCATTCGGTGTCTGCTTGTTTGAAACTCAATGGATGAATGAGTGACTAAATACTTATCTTGTACATTAGTTTATTTAGTTCATTAGTTCCTCTTACAAGTGAGATCATATGGTATTTGTTTTTCACTGGAAAAATAAACCAGTGAGCAAAATAGAACCAGAGGCATGGACACAGGGAACAGACTGACAGGGGCTGTGGGGGGAGGCAGTGGTGGAAGGAGGGGAAGGGACTCGTCAGAGAACATGTCCGAGTGGACCACAGACATGGGCAAAGGTGTGGGGGTGGACTGTGGGAGCAGGGGGGGCTGGGCCGGGAAGAGGAGGGCAAAGGGGGAAGAATAAGGACAACCGTAACAGAATAACAGTAATAAAAAATGAAAAAATACTTATCATGCAGACGGTTATGAGGGTGAAGTGTGTAAAAGGTCTGGTATAGTACCTGACTCGCAGCTAATACTCCTCAAAATATTTCCTCTTTATCTTCCCCTCCCTTCTCTTCTTTTCCCTTTGATTGCCCTCCCTGGGCTTACGAACATTTAGGACAGTTCTTTGAACCCTGTTTCACCTACCGCCCACCCTGCATCCCCAGGTCTGTTTCCAGAGAGCAGCAAAGCTGTCCTTGGCTGATCCCATCTACCGAGAGCAGAACTGTCCGGCCCAAAGCGTTCTCCCCGCGCCCCCTTCATCCCGTACCCCATCTCCTTCCCTGCCTCTGTCACACTGTACTACAGTTCATTCAAGTGAACCGTACTCTTCTCACACTTACAAGTCGAATGGATCTCCCTTCTGCGCCCTCAGCCACAGAGTGGGAAGGGAAAATGGACTCAGACTGCCAGGGGGCTGAGTGGCGGGCGGGCTGGGGCCTCAGAGCCGCGTCCGGCCAGCGTTGGTGCCAGCTGGATTTTCTGTTATTTCCCCGTCTGTTTCTGCCTCAGCTTCCTGTCTTCGTCCTATCTCACTTTCTGGAAGGTAAGGTAGGGACAGCAGCAGGGGACGAGCCTCGGCGTTGACATCTGGCCACGGCCTCCTTATCCAGGCTGATGTTCAGACCTGGGAGGGCAAGGGGATCTGGCCCCGTGAGGCCCTGGAGGACTCCAGTCCCATCGGCCCCTCTTCTCTGGGTAGAACCTCGGCAGCCCCCCTGTGTTGCTGGGGGCTGGGGCTCGGGAGGCTGGAGTTCTGCAGGTACCCAAGAAACCCTACCTGCATCCAGGAGGGTGACCCTGGGGAGGTGATTTGAGACCATGGACAGGAAAATTCTTCCCTCAATATGCCTGAGATGAATCACTAAAGGTGCTTATGGAAAACCCAGATTCCCCAGGAGGCAGGAATTTAGTGGGGGCGGGAGGCTGAGGAAGTTGTATTATCCTGGAGCTCCCCAGGGGATTCTTATGATTAGGAAACCAACCTGGGCAAGTCACCTGCCTGAGCAACATTCCCTCCTTTGCAAATATCAATGAGTACAACCTATCTGAAATGTGTCCAGGAGGATGACTGATCCCCTGCTGAAACTGTGGGGCCACGAGGCTGAGTTCCTCCTCCCCCTCCTCGCCGAGGGCTCTGTTCCTTTACTCCTGGGCTCGGCTCTGCCAGGCCCGGGAGGCAGGTGACGGCTGGGAGATTCCTGGGCATGGGGTGAGGGCTCGGGTCACGCAGGAATGCCAAGGTCCTGGCCCAGCTCCCGGGGCCGGGGACAGTGCCCTCTAGCCAGTTCCGACTGGAACTGCAGGTCTGGGCTGCCTGCTTAGGGGGCGGAGACCTTACAGGGTCAGGCAGCTTGCTGTTTGCTCCTCGTTTGGGGTGGGTCCTGCCTGAAGAGGGTCACAGGGCTCAGAGCCATGCACCTCTCTCCTCAGGATCCCAAACTCCACCCTTAACAGTCATGGAGTAGTTGGGACGTCAGTCACCCCGAGGAGCTTAGCATTGTGGCCCTGTGAATTGGAAGAAATGTTTATGGCTTTTAATTAAAAAACCCCTCTGGGTTGCCATGTCCCACTCACCTTTGACCAAGTTCACCCCGAGTGACAGGAAGCAGACTTATTTGCAGTGTGGAAAGAGGGGGAGCATCACGAACCTCAGTTCAGCGGGTGCCGAGCAGGAGGATGCGCTTGGGTGGGGAGGCAGCTGCCCTCTCTTAGGGAGGGATTGGGTCTAAACCAGCGACCCTGAGATGTTAAACATTAATGAGAAATGCTGTGTCGCGGGGAGCGAAGGACGGGGAAGGGAGGCACGTTTGTCTGGGCGCACACTCCCAGGAGGTCACATGGGGGCAGCTGGGCTCTGGTCCTGTTTTTTCAGAAACACTCGGATGGGGCTTCGGGACAGGAAGGTGATGGGGACGCTTGTCTCCTAGGGACCCCGTTGGGGCCCTCCCCTCCTAAGTGTCATCTTTTAAAGAATCCACAGCAGTGTGGAAAGTTCTTTCTCTTGATGAGGAAAACAAGCACTCGATCTGAGCTCCAACTGTGTCATGAGCTCAGTGAGGGGCCATTGGATGGGTTCCTTCTCCCCTTCGGGCCTCAGTTTTCTGTTTCCTTTTCACAGATTTTATTTATTTATTTTTAGAGAGAGAAGGAGGGAGAAAGAGAGAAAAATCTATGTAAGGGATCAGTTGCCTTTTACATGCCAGCTGGGAACTCAGCCCAGAAGCCAGGCATGTGCCCTGACTGGGTATCGAACCAGTGACTTTTTGGTTGCAGGCCGGCGCTCAACCCATTGTGCCACACCAACCAGGGCTGGGCCTCAGGTTTCTCATCATAGGGATCATCCAAGATGCAAATGATACAAAGGATGTGCAGGAACTCTCAAAACACAGAGCAAGGGCCCTTTGCCTATGTGGGAGCAGACATGGGCAGGAGGGCGTGGAGGCAGGCCTGGGGCCCCATGCAGAGGGGGTCCTCTGAGAATGCACCCCCAAACAGCTTTCACTTACAGCCTCGGGGAAAACGTTCCACTTGCCTCTCATCCCTGTTTCCAGAAGGCCCTGCAATCCCATTGCTTGCTTCCGCCACCAGACAGCCTCACCCCGCCAGCTTGGCTGGAGCGACCCTGAGGAACCAGGAAGCTGTGAGAGAATGCCCGGTCAGCAGCCACCCTGCACTGGGGCGAGGTGTCCCTCCCTGTGCTGCCAGATCAAAACCAAAACATCGCAACAGGAAATAGCTAGCATTTACGGGGCACTGCCCATAGGTCGTGCACAATTAAGCACTTTGCAGACGGGATTGAATTCCATCCTCACCACTACCCGGTGAGGTAGGCGTTCTTCTCCCCATTTACAAATGAGGAAACTGAGGTTCTGAGCAGTGATTTGTTTATCTGGAGTCATATAGCTGGTAAGTGGTGAGGCTGGAATTTGGGTCCAGGTGGACTAAACCCAAGGCTGAGTTTCCAAAGTCCAGAGTCAGTACTGTTTGTTGGTTATGTCTTCGAGGGCATGTGGGCTTCACATCCCTGCGTTCCTTTCAAACCCTGCTCTCAGATTAGGGTCTGAAACTGCTGCAACAGAAAGGGCTTCTGTGCTCGCCCTCGCTGTGGACCTGCATTTCACTTGGGGCACATGCAGCCTCTAGCAGAGGAATGAAGTAGAAATGGTGCAACTTTAGGCAGCAGCCCTGGCTGGGAATGAGCCGCAGGCTGCACCCCTCCCTGGAGTCTTGCCATGGTGCTGTCTCTGGCCTTGGAAGAAGTGCAGGTTGTTCTGGTTCTGCCCAGCCTGCTACTAGGCATCCTGCTCAGGCTCCTCTCCTCACGCACAGAGTCACAGAGGTGGCAGAGGCCTCACTCCCTGTTGAATCAGATTATGAACCTGGCCAGGAGTGGGAGGAGGACAGGTGAGCTCCAGGAGGGTTTTGAGACCAGCACCTATTAGGTGCTGGATCCCGGGAGGTCTCCCTGCATTCACTCCCGCTCTCTGACTGCCCTGTCCTGCCTTGCAGAGCTCCGCGTGCACACGTTACGTGCACACACATTTACACACGACACCACCCATAACTCCCTCTAGGGAGTCCTCGTTGTGCCTCTGTGCTCCAGCCACGGCAGGGACCCAGTGTTCCCCTCCCCAGTTCTCTCCAGGTCAGCACCTGAGGCTGGGCTGTGTGCGCAGCACGGTGGGGGTTGCGGATAAGGAGGAAGGCCCAGACCTGCCCACTGGCCGCTCAAGGATCCCACTGCACAGTCAGGGCCAGGCCCCTGAAAAGAGAGTCCAGCTCTGCGGGCTGCTCTGGGCCTGAGGCCCGGGGGGCTGCGCTCTTGGCCTCAGTCCCGGACACTGGGTCCTCGTCGTTGGAACACACGAGGGACTCCAGCAGGCCCCAGGGACTAGAAACCTGGTCCGTGGGAGAACACGGGAGGGATGGAGTGTGCAAAGGGAGGGGCGCCGGGCGGCCCTCTATCTGGACAGAGGAGAGGAGGGGCAGCTGGCTCTTCAGGTACCCTGGTGTCCCCGGCTGGCCCTTGCGCAGCACGCTGACGTCGGGTGCCTCGTCTGTGTCAGCACACAGGGGTGGCTGGGGGGATTTTGCTTCTTCGGGCTCCTCTGCAGTCACAGAGGCCACCCCCTGCGGAGAAAGTTCACCTGCGGTGCAGCTTCCAGCTGGTGGCTCTTTCTGGAGCAGACCCCTAGGCCTGAGGTGTTTGGGACTGGAGCGTGTCACAGGTGGGGAGTCTTTGCCAGAGTCTTCCACGCATAGCCCATAGGAGGGAGGCCAGCTGTCTGGGGTGGCCCGAGGTGTGTAGGATGGGGGTCTGACCTCAGGGGTGGCCTGTGGAGCGTAGGACAGCGGGGAGGGTGCCTGGTGAGGTGGCACTCTGGAGGGCTGGAGGGCAGAGCCGTCCAGCTGCCTGAGGTAGGTGGTCTCAGGCGGGTTGTGCAGCAGCAGGGCTCCTGGGGGCTCCCTGGGTCTGCAGACCATGACTTTGGAGTACTGGACAGGCTGGGCCAGGCCGCTGGGGCCTCTGAGGTCACAGATGGGGCTCAGGACGTGCTCCTGGATGAGCTGCAGCGGTTGGAAGGTCAGCACATGCTGGATGTCCTGCACAGGGACAACAACAGTGTACCTTCAGGGCCCACTCTCTGCCCCCGGGGGTGCCCTGGGGGGTGAGGTCCTTCATGGGGACTCCAGGGTGATGGGGTCGGCCACCAGGGGCTTTTCAAGATGCATGTCCCACACGTCCCCCGCGCCTCCCAGAGACTCCTCTGGGTGCTGGGGCTTTCGTGAAGGGCCAGGGCTGCCAGCCTGTAGCTGGGGGCCATTCCCAAAGTCTGGGTTATTCTAGGCAGAGAGATTCCAGCTGTGGTTTCTCCAGGGAACAGATAACCCAGGAAGTAGATGACTTAGACTTCGGGTGGCCTTGCGGCGTGGTCTGGGGGCAGCGGCCCGCACTGCTCACGGGCCCTAAGAACCTGATGTGGGGGGCCAGGCAGGAGAGGATGGGGCGGAGGGGAGGCCAGGAGAGCTCTCCCGGGAATGGCTGTCTGGGCCGTGCGACCTGCCCTTGAGCCTCTCAGGCCTGTGACAGCCACTTGGAGCCCTGGCTGCGTGGCTGTGGCCACTACTGGTGGTTGCCACATGACTTGTATGGTTTACACAGGGCTTTACGTTTTAAGAATTAGTTGCCAACATCTGCCAATTGAGAGCTTTCACATTATAATCTTAAATTCTGACTTCTCTGGAAAATGTACTTGAAGATCTGGCCATCCGGGGCCTGCATTCCCAGGGGGTAGTACTTGGCTGCCCTCTGGACGGGGCGGGAGCTCGGGGACCCCACTGTGCCCACCACCCCCTGCAGGGACCTGCTCCCTTGGGTCCTGCGTTACCTGCCCGGACGTGGATGATTTCAAGCTGCAGGGGTTTTCTATCCAAGCCCATTCCTCCTGATCACCGGCCCCTCTTCAATACTCCCTGGCAAGCCACGTTTTTAGGTCGGAAGGGAGAAACAAGTGCTAATTTCTGCTCTGTGTGCCAATCCCTGCGTTTCAGGGGAAGCCAGGGGTTCCTGGGCCTATGTCCTCTGCCACTTCGGGGCCCTCCCCAGACCTGACCCTCCTGCCCCAGGTGGGGCTGCTCACCAGTGAGTTGGGGGGCTGAGGCGGCTTGGTGATGTATCTGTAACTCAGGAGGCAGAGGCCGGCGACCAGAAAGCCCATGGAGAACAGGAGGGCGCCGGAGAAGGAGTAAGTCCACGTCAGGTCTGCAGGAGCGAAGAGACCTCTGGTCAGGAGGAGGGGCTCATGGAGGAGGTCCGCCCTGGGGGACACAGGCTCGGGGCACTTCTCCTGGGAACCTTGGGGTCTGAGGCTCTCAGAGTGCGGTCTGGAGGGGAGGTCATGGCTCCAGGGGAACTTGTCCTCCTGGGTCTAAGGACTCTTCATCTTGTGGGGACGGCCATGGCCAGAGCCAGGGCCAGGGTGGGGGGCCTTCTGAAGTGGTCTCTCCTACCTGGCTCTGCGCACGGCCCTGCCTTCCTGGCAAAGGATGGGCGGTGACAACGGGAGGAGCCTGTCCTCCCCACACCCTGCCTCAGTAGGGGCCGAGTGTGAGGGAGGACCTTGCTCAGGAGGCAACTGGGGAGGCAGCGCCCTTTCTAAAAGGGAGGGAGACAGACAACGGAGGGCCTTAGTACTGAGCCTTCTCTCTGTGGTCCCCGGTCTCTGGCATGGGCACGGCCAGTTCTTGGCATGGCACACTTCTTGTCACCAACCCAAGTGGGACTGGTGAAGGGCTTGGTGGGGAAGAAGTAACCCCCCCCTTGGAGGGTTTTGTTGCTGTTGTTGTTAAACCCGACAGTTTGTATCATCCGGGGGTCTTGGCTCTCCAATTCACCCTCCCGTTCCCACAGGGCTTCAGCTTGAGGAGCTGATCTCCAGCTGCCTATGACCTTGGCAATGGCTGTGAACACTGGGAATCGGAGCCCCTTCCTCCAGCCCATTCCTCTCTCCTCCTCAACCCCTGCGGCTTGGGCCTCTCTGCGTCAGCTTCCCACTTCAGTGACAGCCTGTCCCCTGTCACATGATACTCCCAGCATTGCTCCAGGGAGAAGACATGACCTGAATGTCTCTACGTGACATGCCTAATGGAAAACCACTGCTCCTTGTACCGGGAGAGGACAGGGACATGGAACATTCCTATATGCCATTTCACCCCTGGGCAGGCAAGAAGAAGTAATAGAAATAACACTAGAGTGTGGGGGATTAGATGTCTGGCTCAACCACCGATAGGCTGAGCATCCTTCACTCTGCTGCACGACCCTCTCTGGTCTACCATTTATTAATAACAGTAGCCAGTGGTTATTGAATTCTTAAGGTGTACGATGCACTGTGTGGTTGCTCTACCTGTGTTACCCCACCAAACGCAGAGAGCCAGGGATGCTCCCTTTTACAGATAATGAAGCTGAGGCTCAGAGAGGTTAAGTGACTTGACCAAGGTCACGCAGCTATTCTGTGGAAAAGCCGGGATTGACACGTATAGCTCCAAAGCTCATCCTTGTAGCCATGACACAAGGAAGCCTCAGTTTCATCATCTGTAAAAATTAGATTGGGGTAGATGGCCGCTAGAGTTCTTTCCAGCATCAGGATACTGGGATGTTGCTCTGTGACCCTCCCAGATATTCTGAAAGGTAGATAAAGTGCAGATTATGGTCTCTGGGGATAAGACAGACTCCAGGATAGGGGGTCAAGGGCAAGGCATAAAGGGCAGTGAGAGGAATAAAAGTGCAATAGAGGCAATTAGCTGTAAACAGAATTGCAAAGTGCTGGTTAGAGCTCAGGCTCAGGGTCAATAAACCTAACTAGATTCGCTGACCAGCTGTGTGGCCACCGTCAGCTTGCTTAACCTCTCTGAGCCGGAGTTCCTCCTTTGTAAAATGGGCACGGGGCTACCCAGCTTTCAGGATTGTTATATGAGATGGGATGGTAGAGGTAAAGCATTTAACACAGTGCTTGGCAATAGAGTAGGAACTTAATAAATGGCAGGAATTGTTATCGATATACTTTATTTTTTAGGATAAGGCGCTTTCTATTTGCCAGCAGGAAATAGCCAGCAAGAAGTGTGATTTATATAAAAGCTGCTGAGTCCTAGGGAAAAAATGGCATCACGGCACGAGCTAGGTCATGAGGCAACAAGCCAAAGGGAGGATAAGGGCGGAGTCACCTGCATGTTGTCAAAGGCAGAGCAGGCAGGGGTGGGCCAGGGATGGGAGAGGTTCGTCTAGAGGTCTCGAGCCATCTGTATGCTCCCACCTTAGTGCCTGTAACGTTGCCCCCCGTTCTCCCTCGAGTTTTCCTCTTGCCATGTTCTGTTCTGGTCTCCTCGGTGGCCCTGTCCCCAGGAGAGGCATGCCCCATGCAAGCGGCCAGTGCTGGCTCTGCCACTGGCCGTGTCCTCCCCTGAAAATGAGTGCACTGTGGTGGAGAACAAGTCTCTCGTGGGCCCTTGGGACAACCGATGGGTTGAGTTTTCAAACAAAACTGAGGACTAGAACCTACCTGGTGACGACTTCCCAAGCTGCAATTGTCCCCAGGGCCCGCCCCTGCAGGCCCCTCAGCTCTGCTCGTTGGAGCAGAGATCACCTGCTGACATCAGTCATCTGAACAAGATGACAAACGTGGAGACTGGTTTTCCAGCTCCCTCCGACCCCCTGCTACCACTTTTATCCCCCAACCCGCTGCCCTGAGCATTACAACATTTCCATGTGTCTATGAAGAGGAACATTGAGGAAAACGTCACAGTGCTTACGGTGAGAGCGGAGCGTCCCGTGTGTCAGAGGAAGGGAGCGTGGGGCACCCTCTCACTGAGCCAGTGACTCACAACTGTCGCTCTAGTAGCACAATGGTGAGGGCGTGGTCTCCAGGATTAGTCTGTCCCTCACCACCTGTGGGGCCTCGGGCAACACCCAACTACTCTGAACTCATTTCCTCATCTGCAAAATGACGAGGGTGGTAGTGCCCACGTCATGGGTTGCTCCTGAAAATTGAGCCTAGTGTCCCTGGTCCCTGGTTAGCGGAAACACTAGTTATCGTTGCTGCCCTTATGATCTGACTTTGTAAGAAATCGAGCGACCTTTCTATCTTTGTTCTCTCCCCTGCAGATTACCTCCCAGTGTATCTCACCGGAGTTAAAATTAAGGTGTGGTTGCTTTGCTGGGGTACACACTGAGCTTGCCACAGAGAGGAAATCCGGACCCAGGCTGGAGGGTGAAGATTAAACATGTGCTGTGATAACCCACCAGCTAGCGCACTTACGGATAAACAAAGATTAACTTTAATTAAACACGCTGATAACCCTTCTGTAGTTCCCGGAGCACTGCCCAGCCTCACCTTGGTTACAGGGGGAAGCTCGTAGTCAGGACCTGAATTCAGGAGTCTCACCTCCCCTGGCTTCAGCCCAACTTACCTGGCAGTGTCTTCACACGGCACATGTAGGGGGCACTCTCTTTGGACCAGGTTGGAACAAAAATTGTGATGGTCCCAAGGAACTCCGTGTCAGGGTTCAGGCCAATGAACTCGTATTCCCTCCGGTTTCCTTCAAGGTGCTGAATTGGACAGAGAACCCTCAGTGACTCCTCTTACGCCCCAGTCTCCATGCGGAGCCCGAGCTCGTCTCATACCTCTGCCTGGGTTACTGCACGTAGGCAAAGGCGGCTACCAGCTCCCGAACCAGACGCTGGTGGATCTGCCCGCGGTGCTCCATTCCCTTCCCCCGCCTTCGGCTTTCTCTGGACCCAGTCGGTCACCAAGCTCCATACACTTGCTCTTAGAACAGTGTCTGGTACGTGGTAAGCACTCAGTAAATATTAGCTGCTGTTACCACAACTGCCACCAGCACCACCACCACCAACACCACCATCACAGCCATCACTACTACCACGACCACCATCACCTCCACCACCGGTTTATCAGGAGGCTCTAGCAATCATGAATGTGTGTGTGTTGACAACAGTTTCAAATATGCATAGAATTAAATGGAAAAATAGACAATTCCACAGTCATGGTTGGAGAACACAATGCTTCAGCAATTAAAAAAAGCTATCAACTCCACCCAAACCAGGAAAGGTGTAGAAGCTCTGAACAGCACTCCCGGCCGCCTTGCTCTGACTGACACACACAGCGCACCCCACCACACGACCGCGAGAACATGTTCTTTTCCAGTGCGCACGCAACATCCACCAAGATAGGCCGCTGCTGAGCCTTAAAACAAGTCTCAATAAATTTATAAGGACTGAAATGACACAGACTATTTTTCTGGCCACAAAATGAATTAAATCATGATAACCCCAGCGATTTACCAAAGTACAGTTGTGATAAGGACTCTCCCTACCCAATAATCTCCAATGGCTCCCGGTGATGACTGAAATACACAAGGCCCCTCCCTCCGCGGCCCCAGGCGTCTGCAGCCCCGAACTGTCTTCTCGGGTGTGTGCTCAAATTCCAGTGTGGGCGGGAAGCCTGTGAGACGCTGGCTAAGCTTCAGACCCCAGGGGTGTAACTGTAGAATTTGATTCAGTAGATTGGAGGAGGGAACATTTTAGACAAATGCTGCAGAAAATTCTGAAACCCTTGGTTTGGGACCATGTTTTGAGAAGCTGTTCTCCATGTCCCCTTGCTCCAGGCAACCTGGGCAGTTCTGTGCTTTCCGGCAATGTCCAGAGTTTTTCTGCTCCTCCCGTGATCATGGTGGGTGCGGTGCAGGCCAGTGGGGGGAAACGTGGGCTTTGAACATGGCTGGGTTTGAATCTCTGGCTTATGCTACTATTTGCTGAACAATCTTGAGCTAGTGACTTAACCTCTCTGAGCTGCTGTTTTCTCATCCAGAAGATGCAGGAGATAATAGCACCTACCACACGGAGAGTGGGTGAAGATTAAGTGACTTAACAAGCATACGTTACCTAGCACACCTCAGAAATTAGTATTGGCACCAGAAAATTGTCTGATCCGCAAGTCTTGCCAGACTTCCCTGAATGGCCACTTCCCCCTCACCTGCTTGCTTCTGCTCTGCCTCACACAATACCCTTATTTCGCTCTCCTTACACCTGTTTAACTTCTTGTTTTAATCCCATTCCTTCCCACCAGACTATACACTCTGAGTGCAGAAACAGTCAATGGAATTATGGATTAGTGGCGCATGCCGGGGGGAAATGCCACGTATTTTCTGAGTAGAAAAAAAATAACTTGTACACTGTTTGACAGCTCAGGCCCCTGCCTTCCCCCGTTCATTACTGCTGATCTGCAGACACGGCCTGTGTCCAGTCCCCACAGATGGTGGGGAACCGGCAAAGAGGACTGCGGCCGTGGCAACTGATTCCAGCATTTTCTGAAGTGGATGCCTGAGAATGTTAACAGAGGTTGTTCCCTGGGATGTGAGAAGGCGTTAGGCAAAAAAATTAAGAAAAACAATAAACATTGTGCAAAATGAAAGGTCCTATAAGTTTGGGAGAAGTTGCACTGAATAAACTGAGACAGTTCGGCTTTGCAGGACTTGTTGGAGACTGAGCACATGACTGTGTGAGTGAGCCCATTAGGGAGAGGCTGCGTCTGTGTTTTGGGAAGTGCTGATTTATATAAAACATCTCCTTTCTACTTGAAGCCATGTAGATCTAATTGAGAGGGAAGTGGGTTTCCCTGGCAGGGAGGGACCAAGGCAGCATGTATATTTGCTGTTTATTTACCATTTGGTAGGTCTGGTTGACACGGAGGTCTAAGCGATAGAACAGGTCACGGAAGATGTCCTCCAGGGTTAGCCGGTGGCCGTCTTCCGAACGGAGGGGCGTGCAGGTGGGGTGAACAATCATCCTAATGGATCTCACCTTGGGGACACAGGTCACATCGGGTGGTTTGATGGTAGCTGGGGAAAAGGAGAGAGGGAAAAGAAAAATTGGAGTCAGCTAGAAGTACCTGAGGCTGCCCTGGACCGTGGGAAATGACGGCTTCTCTGCTCCTCCCTCCCAGCCCCAGCTATGCTTCTGAAAGCACCAGCTAAACATAGACTGGAAGAGAGATGGTCTGCAAGCCACTGGGGTTTGTGTTAAAGCTAGCAAAGGGTGACCACAAGTGAGTAGGAAGGTCTCAGGGAGGATACTGGCTTCCTAGGGAGTTGATCATGCCCTTGGCCCAGCCCCCACATACCCGGGGCCCTTCACCCCGCCTGGAATCTGCCTGGATCACACACTCTCTCCCGGCCTCCTGGCAATGACTTTGGGAAGCGATGATGGTTCAGTGAGATACCCTAAATAATGTTTGGGGTGTCCCATATTATTGATTCAGCCTCAGTTCCAAGCCTAAGAATTCAGTCTTTCTTCAGATGGAACTCTCTAAATAACCACATGTGCTTTACTTGTTTACAGACCCGTTTGGGAATTGGATTGATGCTATCTATGGCTCTTCTTTCCTCCAAGATGTATGCATCCAAAAATCTTACCCTCAATTTCAGGGATTCATGAACCCCATACTCCCTGAAGCTAATTCGTAAAAACGTAGGGTCCGTTGACCTAAAAGATTAAAAACATCTGAGCCAAGTCCTGACCAGTGTGGCTCAGTTGGTTGGGCTTCATTCTGCTGGTTCTACTCCCAGTCAGGGCACGGGCCTGGGTTGCGGGTTCAGTCCCTGGTCAAGAGGCAACCGATTGGCATTTCTGTCTTACATTGATGTTTCTCTCCTTCTCTCTCTCCCTCCCTTCCCCTCTCTCTAAAACTAAATAAATAAATACATTTTTAAAAGATTTTATTCATTTATCTTTAGAGAGGAAGGGAAAGGTAGAGGGAGAGAAATATCAATGTATGGTTGCCTATCATGTATCCCCCGCTGGGAACTGGCCTGCAACCCAGGCATGTGCCCCGACTGGGAATCGAACTGCGATCCCTTAGTTCACAGGCCCGCGCTCAATCCACTGAGCTACACCAGCCAGGGCTAAATAAATCAATTCTTTTAAAAATTCTGAGTCAAAAGAATGTTCACTTTAGTGTTATTTATAAAATTGAAAAACTGAGTTAAACGTCCTCCAAAGTGCATTAGGGAAGTACCTCTATAGAATGGGTCATTTTTAGCAATGAAATATCATGCTGTGAAAAACATTTAATGGGGATGAGCAGATGAATGGTCATGACACCATCATATAAAAAACAAACAGCCAGATGACGAAAAAACAGAGTTGCTAGGAACTGCAGCTATGTTTAAATGTTCAGATTATTTTGGGCTACTTTTATTTTTCTTTGTGTACTTCTATTTTTTCCACAATTTTTTTGATAAGTGTATATTCATTGAACAAGAAAAAATAAAATAGCTTATTTACTTTAATTCTTTTATTTTCTAAAAAAACCCATGTGGCTGTTGAGCCAATTAGTGAACATCATCACCTGCTTAACTAACGTGGGGAGCTTGGCAATGCACCTTCCTTCCTTCCTTCCTTCCTTCCTTCCTTCCTTCCTTCCTTCCTTCCTTCTCTCTTTTATTGATTATGTATTGAGCATCTCCTATGTCCCAGGCACCATGCCAAGGGCTGGGGATACAGTGGATTCCACGCCCACACACAGAGCTCAGCTGTCAGCAGGGAGGCTAATGATATATAGAAGCAAACACAAGAACTGCAGGTACGAGCTGTGAAGAAATGAACAGCTAACGGTCACGAAGAGTACCAGGTGGTGATCTGGTAAAATTAGGTTGGGGGCCGGGAGTGGCCCCCCACCTCAGTCTCACTGAGGATGTGATATTGAGGCAGAGACCAGATGGAGGATTGCAAAAGAGTCTGAGGAGGAGCAGCGGGCTGGGGTGGGGACCAGGCTCAGAGACCCTGGTCGCCGTCAACAGAAGATGAAGGCGGTCTCAACTGGGGAGTTGAGGATGGGGGTGGAGGAAGACGAACAACCGCACTAGGATGTTCTCCACCGGATGCCTTTCCTAAAAGCCACATCCCTAACAGCCCCCGTACCCCCAAAAGGCAGGGTCCTTCTGGGCCGTTCTCCTCCCCTCCCCTGTAATAACAGGGGCCCTACTCACTGTGTTGCAGTGAGCTGAAGCGGTCGGTCATCTTGGTAGCGGACTGGCCTCCCGCGCTGGTGGCAGTTACCCGGGCGTAGTAGAGCTCCATCAGGCTGCCTGTCTCCGCGGTCAGGTTGCAGGACTTCCTGGTGATCCGCTGGCAGCCCTTCTTCGCCAGCCACGCTGTCTGCCCGTACCTGTATGCAAAGGAGGGGCCGGAGCACACCTTTCATGAACAGGCTTGGCATCAGACCTGTGGTTTATGAATAACAGTAGTGGTATCTCATATTTACTTAGCCTGCTTTGTGTTCCAGGCCTTTTATGGGGATGGTTTGTTATTCCGCACATTGATCCCGTGAGATTCATACATTATTCTCTCTCCTTTCAAGTAAGGAAGCTGAGGCTGGGAGGCAAACTGTGCCCAGGTGTTTGAAGCGTGCCGGCGGGGAGGCAGAGTTTGCACCCAGCCAGTCTGAAGCCGCATTCTGGGCTCACTGCCACCATGACCCTTTGAGGCAGACACTGTTATCCCCACTTACAGATGAGGGAACAGGGCTCAGAGAGGGGAGGTGATTTGGCACAGGAGGAAGTGGCAGGATCAGGAATAAAAGCCAGGTTTGCAGACTCCTGAGCCCATGCCACCCATCTGTCCCTGCGTGGGAACTGGGGCCTAGGCTAGATGGGGTAGGCACGACTTTGTGCGACTTAATCTCACCATTAATAATAAAACAATGATCTGTCAGGCACCAGGGCCAATGACTATCTTATTTAACCTACCTAACAACCTAATGATAGAGGAACTATTGCTATTCTTACTTTACTGATGGGGAAACTGAGGCTTGGTGTGGTTACTCAATTGCCCAAGGTCATATAGGTGAGAGCTGGCTTCCAAGCCAGAGCCTGTACTTTTAACCTGGCACTTCCTGCCTCCCTCTGCAAAAGAAACAAAGGAGCAGAGCTGTATCGGGGGTATAACACCAGTCAGGGTGGGGAGTACAGGGCGCACGGAAAGGGGGCGTTTTCAGGGGGCAGACTCAGAGGAGGCCACGCTGGGAGGGACGCCTACGTCTTATACTCCACACTGTAGACCGTGTCTGGGGTGCTCCTCGGCCCGCTGTCCCAAGTCAGGATGTTTTCGAAGTTGCTGGACTGGAACTTCACGTGCTGAAGGAGATCTGGGGTGTCCTCAGTGATGTGAGCTGTGGGAAGCGGGAGCAGGGTGAGCCGAGGGGCTCCTGCACCCACGGTCCAAGGAGGGGTGGTGGGGGACAGCACCCACCCACTCACCACAGACCGTGCTCGCTGACCACCACTGCTCCCCTTCTCAGTTTCCTTGAGCTCTATTCACATTCCATGAGAGTCACCATTTAGAGTGTACAGTTCAGTGGTGTTTTGATATGTTCACAAAGTTGTACCACCATTACTACTCTAAGGCCAGACCGTTTTCATCGACCTGAAAAGAAGCCCCATGTCCATTAGCTGTCTGTTCTGCTCCTCCCTCACCCCGGCCTTAGGCTGCCACTAATCCGATTTCTGTTTCTACGGATTTGCTTATTTGGGCTTCTCATATAAATAGAGTTACGCAATACACGGCCTTTGTGTCTGGCTTCTTTCACTTAGCATCATGTCTTCAAAGTTCATTCATATTGTGGCATGGACCTCCTTTTTATGGCTGAATAATATGCCATTGTATGGATATACCACATTCTGTTTATCCATTTATCAGTGGTTGTGAATAACACGCTCTGAACGTTTGTGTATACACTACCAAGTGAACATGTTTTCAGTTCTCGACCGAATGAGGAATAGCTGGGTCATATGGTAACTTTATATTTAAGGTTTTGGAGAACAGCTGAACTATTTTCCAAAGTGGCTGCACCATCTTATGTTTTCACCAGCAACGCTTGAGTGGTCCAAATATTCCACATCCTCACCAGCACTTGTTATTGCCTCTCATTCACTTCTTAACACCATCTGAAGCTGGTGAGGACCACCCATATTTCAGAGATAATCAACTAAGATGTCGAAGAAGTAACTTGCCCAAAGTCAGTAATTCCAATCAAGGCTGAAGAAGATGTTTATAAATCACAGCCTCTCTGCTGGCCAAGCCAATCCCTGCCCACCCATTTTTTAGGAACACAAAGGCTCCACTTGAGGTCAGAACTGAATGGTAGCTGCTGGTGGGCTGGTAAGGAAGGGGCAGGAAAGAGAGAGGCTGGGATTTGAGAGAAGGCCAGGGTCTCTGTGGGGCTGGGTGCAGCGCCCCCTAGTGGAGGAGGAGGGTCTGCAGTGGATGATTGCTTGTCGGGGTCAGTACCCAGGGGGGCTAGGTAGGTTGAGGGGAGGCAGGTGCTGAGGCTGGAACATGCCAGGAGGCAATGGCCTCATTCGAGTGGAGTTGGACACCCCGGCTCAGGAGGGAACTGAAGTTGATTCCCTGAAATGGAGCAGGGGGTAGAGCGTGGTTGGGTCCCCTCCTTTAGGAGATGTCAAGGCCTAAAAATTCTCCCCTCTCCTCCCACCCCACTCGCTTCTTTTCCTCCTCAAGTCCATCATCTGTTCCGGAGCCTGTGTCTTTCCTACACTTCCTGGGTAAAAGTCTACACTGTGAAATCCTGGGAAACGTGTGTTGTCGGGACAAATGGGCTGGTAGAAGTCTTCCTTATCAAAGGAAGCTATCACACTTCCATGGAAGACCAATTTTATGTCAGCCAGATGGGAAGCTGAGGAAAAACAAGCAAGCAAACACAATTCAACACGCTCTGGAATCAGCCTAGGAAAAGTCGGGCAAGGGCACCTAGGTCCCCAGAGTGACCTTATTGACTCTTAACAATCTCCTAGGGATTGTCCCCCTGGGCCCCCCATCTTAAAGGGCCAGGAGCCTGCAGGACTCCCAACCAGAGGGGTGGGGGGTCTAAAGGAGCAAATCTCTTGGGAATACATATCTTCCTAGCTCACTGAAGCCCCGGTGTGTTGGGCCGGTGTGATGCCAGCGGGAGAGAGACTGGAGGGGCCCCGGCAGCAGCCGGAAACACTGTGGTCCAGTCAGCACTGGCCGGGCACAGCAGTGAGGAGCCTGGGAAGCTCCGACCCTTCATGGGCTCATCCTGAACTTGAACTATAGGACCTTGTACAGGCCATCTTCCCCTGAGAAAAGCTCCCTGAGCTTCATTAAACTTCTCAGAAAGCAGACACAACCTAGGATCTCACGCCTGTGCCTGTAGGTTCTCCATAACGATGAACCAGAGCACTCACCTAGTTGGATCTGAAAACTCTGCCCTTTCAATCTGTTTTGAAAAGGGCTTGTGCATTCTCTACCCCAGGTGCTTTAGAGCCTGTGAATGCCCCACACCTGGCCATGGTGGGGAAAAAAATGCTCTTTCAGAGCTGGCAAGAAGGGTCACGTCCCCCATGGGACGTGGTGGGAGGCAAGGATCTGTCCCCCCCAGCCCCAGCATGCAGCTCGGCCCCAGCACAGAAGAAACTGAAACTGGCTGTCCTGGGCTTGGCAGGGTCCAGGGAGATGACCCTGATCGCTGTGCTGGGGTAGGTGGGGGCTAGGGGGCAATGGGCACTCACCGACCAGGGACCCCGCAGCCAGGATGGTCAGTAGCGTCCTCATTGGGCCGGGCACAGAGCCCTCCCGCCACTCTGGACCGAGCACCAGGGGAGGACTGGGAAATTTTGCCGCCTTGGCAGCTGGCTCCACCTGGGCTCGGGGCGGGGCGAGCAGGGGAGGGTGGGACCTGGCAGCGGGGAGCAGGTACAAAGGTACCTGGTGTAGGTGCTGAGGAATTCCAGGTTCTGGGTGGGATCCAAAGGAGTTCCTTTCCTAGTTGCAAAACACAGCAGTAGCGACTGGCCGGCTCGTTTATCTGGTCTGGTGGCTGAATCATCCCGAGACTCTTCGATGATTGATCGGGGATCCGAGAGGCAGAAAAGGGAAAAAGAACCAGGGCACACGGAGCCTTATCGGAGAGCAGTTTGGCACCGAGTATCAAAACCTATGACACGTGCACACCTTTTGCCCCAGTAATTCCATTCTCAGGGGTTTACCCTGAGGAAAATCGCCGAACCAGGCAGCAGAAAGTCCACGTGGGCAAACGTAGGTTTGCAGTCGTTCGTAGGGAAAATGATATACTAGGTAATAAATAATAATCCAAGAAGAACTCTGTGTTTCAAATACAGCTGTAGACTTACTTTGGACTCACCCTGTATGTTCCAGAATGTTCCTTGTGCCAAAGCTCTTTGGCTTTGTTCCAGCAGGAGGAGGTACAGGATGTCTGCTCCCTCCCAGGGCCCACATTGGAGCAGAGAGCCTTCTTCCCAGAGGGGCTGCCGCGAGAAGCCCCCGCACTCTCAACTGGGGGGCTCTGGAGTCTGGGATCTGCTAAAGATTAGGGAGGAAAGAATGGATCTGAAACTTCAGTGACTCTTGTGCTAAAACGGGGGCCAAATTCATGAATGGGTCTTTAGTTTGGGACGATGAAGGGTCACATGGCTCCCCCAAGCTATCTTTCTACCTTGAGCTGTACCCACAGGGATGAACGTTCTTTGGAAGTTCTTTGGAATGGGTGTTTAGGATATGGTTTGCTAAGTAATTTGGGATTATTTTCTTTTTGTCATTGGGTTTCAGGGAAAATTGAAGGGGACTGGGTCCGGGTTAGGGTGGACATGAGCACTGAGCTCTCTGCCCCTGGGAGAGTTCTGCTGACCCCAGGGACACAACAGTAGGCTAAGGCCAACAGCAGGACATCTGGCTCCTAAGGGAGCCTGGGCGTGGGGGGATTGCCTTTTGGATGTAGTAGGCTGTGATATCCAGGGATCTGTATTTAAGTTTTCCTTTTCTGCATTACAATTGTTCTCTATCAGCCCTCAGTCTCTGGTAAAGTTTGTTTGACAAAACAGCCAAATTTGAGCTGTGCTTTGGGAGAGTTAAGGTTTGGCTTGAACCAGTCATGCCTTGTAATTACAGGAAACTACATTTCCCAGACTCCTTTGTCAACTGCTTCCTGATAGGTCTGACCCGTGGGAGGCGCTGGAGAAAGACTGGAAAGCTGGCAGAGAGAAGTCAGGGTATTCCTTCCCCTCTTTCTTTGCTTTGAGTAGCATCCCCAGCAATGGTTGCGTGTCCTCTGGACCTCTGGGTCCCTTTGGCCAGGCTGCTATCAATATCTTTCTGTTAGGTGGCCAGCTCCTGGAAATATCACCCCCTTGACCCCTACTTTTCCCTATAGTTCAAAGGGTGGAGCAATTTCCTGCTGGGATTACCAGCTCTTTTATCATCTAGATAACCAACTCCCTTGGTTTGAAAGACCTGAGAGGTTTCTGTGCTCCTGAGTAGACCTCGATGGATGCGGGGCCTTTGGTGACTTCAGGCACAAGATAGTGTGGGGAGATCAGGTCCAGAGAAACAGGTTACAAAACGCCAAGAAGGGCCCAGAGGAGAGGAGCGGCAGCTGGAGCCACCTTGGCTGGCTTGCAGAGAGGACAGATCTGGGGATCGTGAAAGTGTCCCTGGGGACTCTCAGAGTGCCTGGAGGGAGGATCTTGATGGAAAAACTAGACTTCTTGACATTCTGAGGTATTGGGTTGTGTAGTAATTAATGGGAAGCAAGATACCTGGATCTTTAAAGATCTTGGGAACACTCAGACTTCAATTCTAATAGGAAAGAAAGGAAGGAAGGAAGGAAGGAAGGGAGGAAGAAAAAGAAAGAAAGAAAGAAAGAAAGAAAGAAAGAAAGAAAGAAAGAAAGAAAGAAAGAAAGGAAGGAAGGAAGGAAGGAAGGAAGGAAGGAAGGGAGGAAGAAAAAGAAAGAAAGAAAGAAAGAAAGAAAGAAAGAAAGAAAGAAAGAAAGAAAGAAAGAAAGAAAGAAAGGAAGGAAGGAAGGAAGGAAGGAAGGGAGGAAGAAAAAGAAAGAAAGAAAGAAAGAAAGAAAGGAAGGGAGGAAGAAAGAAAGAAAGAAAGAAAGGAAGGAAGGAAGGAAGGGAGGAAGAAAAAGAAAGAAAGAAAGAAAGAAAGAAAGAAAGAAAGAAAGAAAGAAAGAAAGAAAGAAAGAAAGAAAGAAAGAAAGGAAGGGAGGAAGAAAGAAAAAGAGAGAAGGAACAGTTTCTGTGTCCAACAGTAGGGGCTTGGTTAAATGGATAATAGCATGTCCACCAAATGCAGGATGAATGCAGCCTTCAAAATAATGCTGGAGAAAAGTGTGCTGTGGCCTGGTAAAGATTCACCATATTTCATCCAACAAAAACCAGCTTGGCATAAAGTGTGCACAGTACGAGCCTGGTTAAAACACACACATGCACACACAGAGAAAGATACATACACAAGTCTTGAAAGATGTAATATGAGAATATTAATGGAGTCATCGCTGGGTCGTAGTAGAATTACAGGTGCTGTTTACTTTCTTTCCTTTGCTCATCTGCATTTTCTAAACGTTTTCTTAAGAGAAAGCAAGGCTTATGAACGAAACAAATAGACATTAAAGAAGTGCCTTTGTGACGTGTCTGATTATCTGACCCCTCTGACACACACCTGAACCTAGTACACAATGACACTGAGTGTGAACAGTAATCATGAAAAAAGAAGGGTCTTGGTCGGGGCTGCACCCCGCTCCTGGTCCGTCCTTCCCCTCCCTTAGGAAAACTCCCTATTTTTTGAAACCCCAGGGATGGTCTTTCCTGCAGCGAGAAGCTGATAGCACTGCAGCACCCCTACTCTCACTCTAAAAATCCTTCTAGAGCTCTGCTCTGCGAGCATTTGGCACTTTGCAACGTTGTTCTTCAGCGGCTCTCCTGTTCTCGGGCGGGAAAGGAGAGGCTCAGGTCGGGATAAGGTAAGACAGGAGGCTGGTCTCCAAAGACCAGAGGGGCTGTTGCCTGGAGGAGGGCCTTGTCCCTCTTTGTGTAACTACCTCTGCCCAGGGGGGCTGCAAGGGGACGGGTTAAGAAGGCAGACTTCTTTGGATGTAAGGAAATGGCTCTTGTTATGATGGCGTGGCTGACTTGAGGCTGGGCTGCTCTTGGTTGCTGGGGCTATTCAGTAAGAGGCTGTGGCTGCTGGTCCCTAGATACCTGTATTCTCTGGTCTGTAAAATTCAGTAGCTCTTGTCTTCCCAGTGAGAGAGATGCATTTTGGAGTGCAAAGAGCACACCTTGTGTTTCTCTGAACCCTCCACGTGGCCGAACAGAGAGCACCTGTGCAGCGTAGACTTATGGAATTGACCTTTACACAGCAGATTCGCCTGCTGACTGTCTCTAGCTCGGATGGCCAGAAAAACGCCCTTGTTTTCCCTCTGGTAAATTTCTCCAGCGCACCTTGTATTATCTAGCCTCTGGGCCTTGGTACGAGCTGTAGCTGCCCCATGGAACACTCGTTCCCCACCCTCTTCCCTGCCTGATTCCTGCTCCTTCTTCGGAGCTCTTCTCAAATTCTCGTCCTCTAGGAAGCCTCGCCTACATGACCACTCACCGGGGCGGGCTCGGAGCCCAGCTCTGGTGGCCCCCATCCCTCCCTTATCCTAGTGTGCATTGCACCATATTATTTTTTCGCCTGTCACCAGTTATGCAGATGAAGCATGCAACTTGCTCTTCTTGACATCTCGGCATCCACCACGAGCTGGCACCAAGCAGGTCCCTGGCAGTATTTGTTGACTGACTGAGTGATCTGGGGTGAGCTGGCCAGGGCTTCAATACTGGCTGTGGAAAATCCCTATGCAGAAAAAGCATATTCTAAAATCATAAGTATTCAGGAATCATCCTGTCCCTTCTTTCAACACCCAGGGGCTCCAGAATCTGTTCTGCAGAAGCAAGAACATCAGGAGACAGAGCGGTGTGCTTTGGGGGAGAGGGTGCCATGTGGTTGGGGACACAGCTGTGAGAGAGCCTGAAGGAGGTCCCTGGTCACTCAGGGGTGGGAAGAGCAATGAACAAAGCTTCTCCCAGAGCCTCTTCTTGAGAAAAGCCTGAGGATCAGACTCACTCGGAGTCTCCCAGCCTGGGCTGTGTCAGTCAGGGACATGGACTTCGATGTTCCAGGTTGGGATCCTGGGTTCTGTCCTTACCCTGCACCTGACTCCAGATGACCTTGAGTAAGTCTTGTCCCCTTTCCGGGCCTCAGTTTCTCTGGCTATTAGGGAGACTTGGTCTAGGAGTCCTCTAAGGACCTTGGAACTTGAATGACCTCTGTGTCCCTGTCACTGTGGGGTTGAAAAGCCTTCCCTGACACCCTAGAGTTCCCTTCATGGCTATTGTCAGTGACACAACACAAAATCACTCAACAATTATTGAGTCTGCCTAGAATTTCAGCTCCCTGTCAGGGTAAGGAGTTCTCGAAGCTCAGTATGTGCTCATCAGACCAAACTTCTTCACAGAAACATGAAGAAGACCCTGTGTCTCATGCCAGGATGGGGGGAGCAGTTTCACATGGCTCCTGGGAACCAGGAAGTGAGCAAAATGTGGGTTTTGGGCAGACAGACATGGGTTCAAATCCTAGCTCCGCCACTCACCTGTACTTTGCAGGTCACTTAATCTCCCACCCTGAGCTTTCTCATCTGCAAAAAGGAAATAATAGTCTCTACTCCCCAGGGCTGCTGGGAGGGTTCAACCAACTGACGCCTCCTGACAGATTCTGAGGAGGA